TTAGCTTATTAGAAGTAAATTTTCAGAAATAAATCAAATTTGCCGCGCATGTAACCTTTATAAGGTTATCTAAGGTTGAGAAACTCCAAATGTGCGGTCAGACTTCAAATCTTTGAGACGTGTACCAAAAATGGAATCGAGTGTCCGCGTGCACGAGTGCATGAAGAAGGAGTCTCGCGGCTGCTTTGCATCATTTTTCGCGGCGTAATAACGAGAATGCCACCCAGCGAATAATGCTAATGCGCGCGCCCTAAAAATGAGCCAAAAGCCGCGCGGAATGAAAATTCGCTAATTTCGCGGCTTGAAAGAAGAAGAGCTTCTTCTCCTCTCCAAATGATGGAATTAGCATAACTCATTATTGCTGCTCTCGGTACGCACGGCAGAAAAAAGGCGGCTTCGCGCTTTTAATATAAATATCACGTCTGCCTTTCTTCTATATAGAGGTGGTCCTGCCGGCGCGCCAGGAAAAAATCCGCGCAAAAGCCGCCTGCAGAAGGGATTTTTGGACCTCCCACTAGCTGCCGGCCGACCCAGAGCAAACAGAGCAGACGACCGCACTTTGATATTTTCGCTGGAAACGGCGCGGGCACTCGATTCTAGTCTTGAATAATTACAATTTTTACTCAGAGGTAGATGAACCGACGGAAACTCCAATCACAAGTACAGCCCAGATATTCCCCAGAATTTATAAAAGTAATGAAAGCGTCTATAACAATATGTTTAAATATGTAAAAATACGTTGAATTGTTGTTGGTTTTTAAATTTAAAAAAAAAATTAGAATCCAATTTTCGTATCAAGGGAAAAAATGTTTTATTTTTTGTATTTTTTAGGAAACTGATTATTTTTATAAAACTTTAAATTTAATAAACTTTATAATTTTTCTTTACTTATTGCAGGGTTTTTTTATATTTTTTTTTTAAATAAAAATTTTATAAAACAATTAGTAAAAGTTATTAAATTAATGTATAAATTTTATTAATAAATTGGAAACTATCTTATTACCTTGACAATTTTAATAAAAGTAAATAAATTAATTATTTTGGCTTCATACAATGTAGAATGAATGAAATATATTTTAATTTCTATTGGGAAGAGGCATTACATTTTTCAAACCATTACCGTTTTTAAAATCTTTGAGCTATGCAATCTTACACTTTTATAAACTTTCCACATCTCTTGAAATTTGGTATCAGGCCGGGGATGAAATGGGGTTGATGAGCATGGTGGAGATGCAGACGAAATCTTCAAAAAGTAATTGAGGGAATGTTACAAAGCTTATTATATTTATCAATGTTTTTTCTTTAAATTCACCACTTTTTAGTTAACCGTGTGAATTTTCTAACATCAAAATTTAAAATTTGATCATTGACAGGAACATTCTAATGCCATAAAATTTAGTAAGTAGGAAATTTGTGTAACGCAAAATTTGAAGTTAGAATTTGAAGATATACAGTCTCATTTTTTTTTCAAAATGCTATCGTTAAACTAAAAAAGTGGCTCTTGAATTTCAAATATGGTCCCACGGAAGCATAATATATTTCACGAAGATTAATTGATTCGTCAATATTAAATAAAGTTAAATTTTTGATATTTTTGCAGATTTTTTCTTATTGTTAGTATTATTAACTTTTCCGTTGTATAAATTTTGTTGATCATTCACAATCCACCACCCTAAGTATGCAAAAACGCGAAAAATAATAATATCAGCCAGCGGTGGCGGCGGCCGGTAAATTTTCTCAAGCGCTCGGGGCCTCGGCGGTGGCTCTCGGTCTAACAGGTGGCACAGGCAGGCAGGCCTGGCGGGCGGCGGCGGCGATTGTTGGTTGTTGCAGAGCAGACCGGTGTCAACAAAAACAACTCCAGATCGCCTGTCGCGAAAATTATTTTGGCAAGAGATTGCAAAACAAGCGACGGCGGAGGGGCGGACCGACCGACGGCGGTGAGAATTATGAAAAAAAAAAATTGTATATGGATGTGTCGGTCACGCCATCCTCCGGCCGATGGTCTCTGCTCTCGGTCGGTCGGTTGTTTCCCATCGGCTAGACTGCATGGCTACTCTCCTCGCGACGGCCTTTTTTCTCTCTCTGGCCTCGAGCCCTCTCTCTCTCTCCCGCTCGCGCGCTCTGCTCTTTGCACGCTTAAAATAATCAGGTCAAATTACCATAATATTATTTACACAGAGAGCGGTACTCTATGCTCTGTAATTAAATTTCTTTCTGCATAATCAGCCCGCGGTGCGCTTTGCTTTCTAACCGAGTTGCGCGCCTTTTGGCCATGTTTTAATTTTTTAACCGAGGCAATTTTCTTGATTGTTCCAAGTGTGCCGATTATCAACTGACCAGAGCTGGGTCAATTATTGAAAAAAAGCGAAAATATTATTGCATTCATATTCAACATAAAAAACTAGAGTCTTATAAACTTCAAATCCATCTATTTTTCCAACCATATACAAAAATTATAATCCCAATAAAATTCAAATAAATTATTTAGATTATAGAAATTTTTGAAAGCTTTTGAAAAGCAGAAATTGAATGCTGCAAAAAAATTCGCCCGTTTCTATTTATTTGCAAACTTTAAAACAGTATATAAGACAAAATTCAGGGAATTGATATTATAGAATATAGAAAATAGAAAATTTAAGTTTATAATATTTTTTGGGAAAAAACGTCATCCTCATGAACCATCCTTTCGTTTTAGTCTAAAAATGTTATTAGAAAAATTTGAACTGTTCCCTAAAAAAAGTTACCGATCTACTCGCTATGATTTCGTTAAAAGTTGGTCAAAATTAAGATTTTTCAGAAATTAGTAACAATCAGCCTGTTTTATAAACGTAGAATATTTTTTTTTATGCTTCATTAAAATATAAAGCTCTATTTGAATGGTGAAATTTGTAGTGTTGATGTCTTCATGAATATTCTTAAAACTGATTTTGAAATAACAATTTATAATTATTAGTAATTTAAGGTTCAAAATTAATTTTTTAATATTTATACATCCACGCGAGAATTGGAGCGTGCTCGTTTCTTGGTGCCAAATATAGACGCTGGCGGGCAGCGACCCTTTCCAGAAAATTGAGCCTATTTCTGCTGACGGCTCGAGCGGTGTCACCTAAAAGCCCAATTACGCCCTTTATACTGCGCGCACGGTTTAATGAGTAAACATCTCAAACTGGCAGGCGGGCGGCTGAACGAACGAACGAACGAAAATTGATTTTTATTTTTAAACCTCGCACTGATCTATCACTCGGGGTGCGAGAGACAAGAAGAAGCTGTGCCGGTGGTGCTAGTGCCAGATAAAAAAGCAGAGAGAATAAAAAGAAAGCGCGACGAGTGTTTAAGCAGCGCGAGATTTAAGAGAGAAGCAAGTGAGCGAAGACATCCCCATATCTTACAAGACAAGGACACACACACGCTTGCTTCGAAACACGACCATCTCTCGAAATAAATGCACGCAGCACGCATACCGCGAGCAGTTATTTCCCTCTTTAAAACGACGGTCTGTCAAGTGGCGAGAAGCTTTTATGCGCTCTTACTTCTTCAGCAGCCACTCCAGACAATCGCCGCTAATTTACTGTGCCGAAGACAGACACGGCCAGAGCTTCATAAACTTTCGCACACAATGTAATACTTAGCCACCCTCTGTATGTGCAAATGTGTGCCAAAATGGCTTCTAATAGAGTTCAAAAGAAATTTAACAAGTGTTTGAGAGAGCTTGAAAATAATTAGGTCCATGCGAACGTTGAATAAATCTATATAATATACTTTTAAATGCTCATTTTATTGGGATTTTATGACATGCGAAGGGTGTTTGAGGATAAGTAAGAGTTACGAATGGTCGATAAAATATATTACCTCCAGTAAATAATTAAAAAGATTTTTCAAATCTTGTTAGGGGAAACTTTGCTGGTTAAATAAGAAAAAAAATTATGTGAAAAAGATAAAATTTTGAACCAAATAATTCTAATGAAACAAAAATTGAATCACCCGGAATCACCAAAATAATTTGCTCTTAAGATAATTAAAAATATTAATCTAATCTATTTTACTGAAAAATTATTCCAAAAACTGTTAAATCGTGTCAATACACTATGGTTGCCCAAAATTTGTGTTCAAACTTTGATTTTCATAACGATCGGGCCTCTCTAGTTTGTAACCAACTTTTACAAAAATGTCTTTAAAATTTAGATTTTTTATTAAATTTAATATTTTACGCTTTATAACAGGATTAAATTTTAAATCTTTTTATTTTATTGTTGATACAAAATAAACTGTTATCTTAGATGACAGCTACATAATTAAATTAAAGTTAGTTGGATTATAATTTTATTCATTTTAGGCACTTTTAGACAAAACCATTAATTGAAAGAAAGTTGTCTTTTAAATGGATATTTTGATCTACAAATAATAATATTAAAATTGGACACTTATATTCAGAATATTTTATTCATTTTTCAGATGAGCAGGAAATAAATTCAAATACTCTATCTTAAACATTTTAACTGATAACTCACAATGGCTAATGTTTCTTCTCAGCCAAATTCACAACACCTCGCATGCTTTTTCATGTCGCCCGACGCCTTTAGTTATCATTCAAGCAGGACAAATGCGATGAAAAAGGACTTAAACACAAATGTTGGTGTGTGTGTGTTATTAATAGGCAGACGCCGCTCAATAGAGCAATCACCGGCTCGACACTTTCGAGAGAGAGATTCGGCGTGGCTGATTTTTCAATTGTGCTCGCGTGAGATGTGCACGATCATCGGCTGCTCTCTCGCGGGCAACGAATCTTTCTTTATTACGTACGCTAAGCCTGGACTAGCTTAGCCGCCTTCTTTCTTTCTTTCTCGCGCTCACGCTGATGGTGTGTGTCAGATAAATATTTGTGTTGGCTGCACAAGGAAGGCAGGCACGTGCTAGACCACTGTGCGCGACGGGAACAAAAATCTTTCTTATGTCGAGGGAAAAATAATTATTTTAAATGTGTGTAATGTATGTTGCAGAAATGCGGCCTCCGTCGGTCACCGGCCTGCAGAACGTCACAGTCAGGGCCAGGCTAAAGCTGAAGCTTACCTGCCAGTACGACGGCAGCCCACCACCGCTCATCGAGTGGTACAAGCGGGGGAGGCGGATTGAGCCCTCGAAAAGGACCAAAATTGTAAATAAAAAGTAAGTGATTTCTTTAATTTCCATTGTATGTGTTAAATTTTGATTTCCATTGGAAAATACACATGAATCTGAATAACATTACTAATAAGTATTTATGCAAGTTTTTAAAAATTATAAATTTTAACTGTTAAATTAAATATCTTGAAGTTGTTTGAAATAAAAGTAATTGATGACAATGGAGCTCAGTTGCAACTTTCCTGGAAAATTTTTAATAAAAATAATACATATATTTATTATAAAAAAACTATTTGATTTATAATTCCCGTTTAATTTATCAGTTTTGTAATTTTACTATTTATCTTAAAATTATTTTATTTATTATTTAAAAAAAACACCCACACAAATCCCTATAGCCGTGTTTTTCATTAATTTTTTTAAAAGCTATTGCAATGCAATATTATTCAAAAAATTATAAATTTTTTAAGAAAATGAATTAAAAAATTACATCTCAATGTACTAGTAGCATTATCCCTTCATCTATAAGATACGTTCATTGTTACATACATTCTTTTCATTAAGTTATTCAAAACTATTTTTAGGATTTCAAATTTTGACTTTTTATATATGTTGTGGTTTCAAACTACCAACACAGATTATGTTTGTTATTTTACTAATTTCTAAAGTAAAATATTATTCTCAAAGCTCCAAACAATTATGATGGAAAAGACATTTTTCAAGCGAATTTAAAATTTCCACAAAAACCCGTTGAAGTCTGCGAAGCCTCTATAAGAAACTAAATTATGGACAGTAAATTTTTTACAAATCCGGTTGGAATTTGTCACTGTCAAGCTGTTGCGGGGGCGGATCATGAGCAAGGGGTGGTTCTCGGCGGCGGCGGCGCTTTATTTTGTTATTGTTGTGCTTGGGCGGTGTGATAGCGGTAATGACGAGAGCGATCTCGCGGGTGATGGTGGCAACCCTTGAGGAACCCCCTCCCAGTCTGGCCCAGAAATAAACCACAGCGAAGATGCGAGAGAGCCAACGCGTGCGTTTTTTCCTCTTCTCGGTCGTCAGCCAGCTCAACTGCCGCCGCCGCCGCCACTGCAGAAAAGAGAAGAATAACGAAAAGAAATGCTTTCTCTCACCAAAGAACCCTTCCTTCCCTTCCTCCAGTATATAGCAAATGTAAATCAATCATGGATGGATTTTGGATACTTGGATGGATAAATTGATCCGCTGGCAGGCTCGAATATTTGTCTGGAGAGCACTTTGCCTTCAAATACCCATTTGTACTTTCAAATATAACCAAATTGGATTTTTTTCTATGTTGATAACTTCTTGGTGAAAATCATATTCATTTTTTCTATCCTTCTTCATATTACTTTAACTCTCAGATGATCTTAAAAGTATTGAATATATAATGAAATTTTAGTTGAATATGTTAAGGAAATGAGTAATAAGCTTTGGGAACATTTTTCTTTCGAGCAGATTTTCAGGAAACTTTTATATCTGTGGAAAACGTTAAAACAGGTTATATTTATCTAGGTGGAAAAATTTGTTTGGAGAAATTGATACTCAAGGAGATGATCATGGGAATGAAAAGATCGGGCTTTTCCTCATTGGGAAAATTGTTTTTATTAAAAAACAAATGGCGCTACCAGTTTCTGCGACCCTATTTCATGATCAAGAAAAATACGAAAAGTCAGCAAAAATGAAAAACACAACATTTGTTTTTGAACAAAAACATTTTCGCAACGAGTAAAAGCTCGACCTCTTCTTTCCGATGTGGAAAAATATTAGTTAATGACATCATTCATCTGAAAATTAGAAAATTTTACATTTTTAGGCTGTTTAGTTTGTCATATGATTGCCTGTCTATTTTTCAAAATTAAATCTAATTTTAAAATACACATTTCAATTAAAATCCAAAATTTAATAAATTTTGAGAAAAATTGTAAAAGTGAAAGAAAAAATGGAAGCAACGAGAGCATGAAATGCCTGGCACAGTGCTCTCTTTCTAAAGGCTGGAAATAAGCTGTCGGTGTGTGCGAGATGTCTGACTTGATGTCTAGCACCTGGGCCGCCCGGCCGTCTCATCTTTCTTGCTCGCGTGAATCCTCAAGGGTGCGCGATGTCGAGAAAGAGACCGGCCGGCCGGCAGGCTGGATAAATACGTCCGTTTGGCACTGCTGCGGGTGATTCACTCGGGAGCTGAGAGCCAGCACAGCTCCAACCTTTAATTAATTAATCGCCAGCCGAGTGCCAACTTTGACAAAAGTGCTGTGCCCACGTCGACGTGAGAGACAGGTCTGTGCGAAGCGCCCAAACCGACGTTTGAAAACTTGTGAAGCAGAAGCTTTTTTTGTATTTTTTATATGAATTCAATTAAAATATAACGAGCTGCACACACATACAAATAAAAAATGGCATTTTAAGTTAAAAAGAAAAGATACAATTCAGCAGAAACTTATTTATTTAATATCAGTAATATCATTTCAATTTAAAAAATATACACATTTGTAGTTGTCAATGGAAGTTTGTTGAGTCATAAATTGTTTCTACTTAATTTAAAAAGACAGCAATAATTAATTTATTAAAAAATTTCATTACAAATTTTTTTAAATAACTTGCTCTCTTGTCAAACAGGAAAGTAACATAATTGAATTGATTTTATTGTTTTTAATGATTTTGTGTCTCTTTGTTTTCGCAGGCGGCGGTCGGTGCTGACGATCGCGCGAGTGTCCAAGAGCGACGCTGGCAAGTACGAGTGCAGAGCGGTGTCGGTTACTGACGAGAAAGTGAGTGCGTCCGCTCATGTTACAGTCACTAATGAGCAAACGCCAAGTCGACCAGATAACAGTGAGTACCACACGCGTCTTTCTTTCTCTCTTCTTTTTCGATTCTTCCCTCTGCTCTGTTTCTTTCTTTTGTTATATTTGCGCTCGGTCGTGCCTCTTCAATGAGCAATCCCTTTTGGCGAGTGAGCGCGCGGTCAGGTGTTTTGGCGAAAGCGTCTGCAATTCACAGCCAAAGCATCTTGAGGAGCAGAATGCGTGCCGCCATCACTCAAGTAGTAGTTCATATGGCAGGGTGTGACTCACAAATCGAATTCGACTGGCACACTGAAATAAATTAGCCAAGCGACTACACTTAAATATCTCAACATTCAACTTTTAATGAAAAATTTCTATTACATATAACTCTATTTGAAACAATTTTACTGTAATTAAAGTGTGCTCCGATGGATTTTTTTTTAATTTAATATTTTCAAAGCAAAGGATATCTTTCTGCTTATAATATAAATTAATTATTTTAAATTTTTTATCTAATTAATTTGCGTTAATGCTTAAATTAAGTTATTCAATGTTTATTTTATATTTGACTGTACTTAAGTAATTAATTTTATACATTATATGATCAATTTTAATTTAATTCAAAATTTTTTTTTATATTTTTTTATTAAAAAAGAATGTATAATCATTTGGTAATAATATGAATTATTTAACAAATATCTTTTCTTTAACAAGAGTTGATTGAAAAGATGTAAACAATTTAATCTCAATGTTATAAGTTGACGATTTATACATAGTGCAAAGTGCGTCCGCAACAGCCTCATAAAGTGGCACTGCTTCTTGTGTTTCATGTGGCACTCGCACGGCAAAAAATAGCCATGAAAAATGATTGTTGTGACTTAATGACATGTTACATTTTTATTGCTCCGAAATGGCCCGAGCAGGTGGTGCTGCTACTTTTTAACGCAGCACATTCGCGATTATGAATCACCGCGAAGTGGGAAAAGCCGACTGCTGCCAGATAAAGGGCCGCGCCGCTAAAATCCTCTTAATTCGACGGAGATGTAAATATCAAGTCCGGTGCGAAAAAAATCCAGAGTTAGTCAACTTGTTCTTTTTCTCGAGCAGTCGACTTCATAAAATTTATTTTCCTCCGGGTGAAAAATGCTCGCGGCGACCGCAGCCTGCGCGACTCTACTTCGCCGGCGTACAGAGAGTTACATTTGCAACACATGAATCCAATAAATTCTTTGCTCCGCGTGATTCACTTGATTATTCCGAGAAAAGTTTGGCTAGCTCTGATGTGTTCGTGGCCGGCTGCTAAAATCGCTCAAAATCTCCGCCCGGCAGAGGGCCTCTCTGCACCTTCTGCTCTGAACTTTGGCAGGGCTGCAATTGATTCATTGCGGCTAATTCCGGACCGATGCAGTGATTCATGACGACCAGAGACTCACTCACTGCCTGCTAATTCTGATCTTGACACTAATTAGTCACCTAGAGTTGCCCTCCTTTCGATTTACTGCTTTTAAATGTGTCTGTCTGTGTGCCCGGCGGAAACGGCTGCTTTTTCGGCTACTCGGCTTTGCAGGGGGACTTTTTTGTATTGCGTTGTAGCAAAGGGTCTCTTCTCACAATTAAGGGTTTAAGTTTATAAAATCACAATTTTCTCAGCATTGGGCACTCCTCTGCGCATTGAACGGCGAACAAAATTTAAAATTAAATCAGAACAATTTTTAATGCTTAATTTGACATTTGAATATTTTTTTTCGAAAACAATTAACAACTCCCAAAACCCATAGACAAAAAACAGACTTTAAATTCGAATTGATTCAAATCACCATGACTAAAAAATAGTTAAAAATTAAAATACGAAAGTCAAGAGGACAAAAGTTGTAATTTATAAAATTTTTTATTATTAAAATATTAAATTATTATCTTAAAAACATTAAAAATTATTTAGTTTTTATTTTAAATTTTCTTGGTTTAACCTTCAATGTTAACTATTTTGTTTTTAATTAACAGAGGGATCAAACTAATTTTAATTAAGTAAAAAAAAAACATTTCCTTTTATGTTAGATTTTGTACACTTGTTAGAGTTTATAAACAAAATGTTTTTAACCAAAAAAAGTAGTGCGTTTGAATTTTTGAAACTTTTACAACAATTGAACTTATTATGAAAAGTTACTTTTGCCGTTGGAGCTTATTTACCTCGAGAGGGCCCCTTTACTTTTTTCTACGTGTCGCTCGTCTCGTTAACGAGCGGGCCGATTTTTAATTCATCTCAAAGGGCCGAGACATGAAGGAAGCGCTTTCTTTTGAGCCCTGCTTTTTGTGGACGTGCGTGCGGCGGTTTATATTTACTTTGACGCCGCGTGACGCAAAGTGCGCCATAAAGTGCCGCGACGACGGCGGCGGGCAAACCGAGGCAGAGGGTCAGGGTCGCCGAAAAAGAGAGAAAAGACGAGCACCCTCGCGTCGCAATTAGCCGCACGTCCCGCACGTCGTCGTCATTACGGTCCGTTTGCACGATTTATGCCCGCTCGCCTTTATGAAGAAGAAGAAGGAGCAAAGTCTCTCCTTTCGACTTGCTATTAATAAACCGACTCTTCAGCGCCTTAATGAGCTATTATACAACACTCGAAGCGTGACAGAGCGGGGCCGCCTCTCGTCTTTCTCTTTCTCTCTCTCCCCGCATTTGAATACACGAAATTCATCATCGAGACAGGCCGAACAAGTTAGCACGGCCCGACAGAAAACCCCTGCCTGCAGACGGAGTTATGCAACCGGCGGCGCACGCCTGTCCACCCGGCTGCCTGCGACACACACGCGCTTTTTCTTTATTTCTTTCTTGGCTCGAGGCTCCTTTTCACTGCGTTTTCGTGGAGATCGGCCAATTTTGAGCAGCCTACAAAATGAAACGTCTGCGCTCGAAAATAAACGCAAAACGCTCAGACGAGCGTTACGAATGATTTGCTCCACAGATGAAAGCCAAAGATGATGCGCGCAAGGCAGTTTTGAGTTGCAAAATATAAAAAAACTTTCATTTCAAACCTTAGCAAAATTGCTTCTGTTATGGTTTTTGTCATTAATATTATTTAATTTACACTAAATTTTCATCCGGAACCTAAAATTTTGGAGCATTACTTTATTTTCAATTATTTGTAGCAAAATTCATGTTCAATTATTTGCAGAAACAATTTTGAGATGCCATTCTTTATAGCAAAATTTGGATGAAGGTTTAAATTGAGAAATCTAAAAAAATTTCATCAAATGCCTATTATAATTCCCAGTTTCAATAAATTTCTCCCTTTCATGTTTAATGATTAAAGATTAAAATTTATTTCTTAAAATTTAATTTGAATTTTTGATGCAAATTAAATTCTAACATTAGAAGTTTTATCCACTAAAGAAACATTTTGACAACATTTTCTCCTCTCTTCTAATTCCAGGCACAACGCTGTGGCCGTTGGTGAACACGCTGTGTCCAATCAACTCATACTGTTTAAATGGAGGAACGTGTCTCTATTACGAAGCTGTGGGAGAGCTAGTGTGCGAGTAAGTATATCACATACGTGGCTCATGGAATGGATGAAAATCGGAGGCGCCAGTCTGGTTATTTTCACGCCGCAAGAATGTCCGTGTGTTTACAATTTTAACGTCAGACCCGGAGGTGGCTTTTGCACAGGCACCTGCGTTTGCGAACGCGAAACCAACCAACGCGCATTTTGTCGTCTCTTGCGTCAGACCGTGCAGGGTCATTCATAAAAAGACGAGCCGAAAACTCAAATCGATGGTTTTTCATTCACAAAAAAGAGCGGAGGCGAACTTTCTTTCGCCTGCTAATTGTTTAATTAATGAGTCAAAATGAAAAATTGTTCATCTTTTTTACCACCATAAAATGGGTGAATTTATTTGAAATAAAATACAAAAAGACATTACACTAATTAGCACACTAACCACAATTTGGAGAATAAAAAAAAGACGGTGCAAGTTTTTATGTATGTTTGGAGTTAGGCAATCTCAACACATACCTTCAAAACAGGTTGCCTATATTCTTTAGAAAAAAGTGAGAATTATGCTCAATATTTATTGCTTTATAATATTCGTTGTGAAATTTCAAATTTTTAATGAATTGACGTGTGTATTTTTTTCAGGTGTGCTGAAGGGTTCAAAGGAAAGCGTTGCGAAAACAAGGATGTTTACAACAAGGGTAGCAGTACGTATCAGAAAACGCTGCGGCCTTTCAGCTGCAAACTAGGCTATTCCTCATCATTTTACTGCTAGACGGGGAGGATGAGCGCGCGACAAGCCGATTTTTTGCCACTCTCGCTCTCTCATTTTAAAAGAAATGACTCAGGACTACTTTTTTTACGATAATTTATCAAAAACGCAACAGACCAAAAGAGGGATGGAATTACTTATCCTTTTTTTCCTTCGATTCTCTCAGACGGAGAGTCGCATACACTTTTTCGCCTTTGTCATCGTTCACATCAATTTTCAAGTCACCCACCTCCTTTTTTGGAAACATCATCGGGAAGAGACCGAGTTGGAACCTTGTTACTCGCGCCTTCATTTCATAAATTGTTGTTCCCGATAAGCCGCTTGCTTCACTAGTCAACCACCCCACGAGCAAAGCCTAAAAATATTCCCCTGCCCTGAGGAGCGCTGGGAAGAGACACGAATCTGACGAGGTACGCACACCTTCCCGAGAAGCGAGTATGATGTTTTCCACAAAAAGGAGGGAGGCGAGTTGGAAGCAGACAGCGTGTTTTCAAAATTTGGGAAAAAATTATAACAGTATAGATCAGATCCTGGGCGATACTCAGAACCAAGTGTGTTGAAATTGGCAAACCTTTCCACGTGCAAGAAAATTCTTATTGTTTGTTACTCACCGACTATCTTGACTCTTTTGAATCCGTTTCTCCTGCTCTTTGTATGATTGACTCATGACAGTATTTTCGTTCTTGAATCTTTTGCATCGTGCTTTTGACTGATTTGAGCACCAAAATGACGTCTTCAGTAGCAAATCAAAATTTCAATTGAGCGTCATTTCCGTGCACAAGACTTGTATTCCTGTAGTTTTATCACATTTTATAGACACGAGCGGATATATAATTTATTTCCTTTTGGTATCAGAAATTTTAAATCCGCTTCTGGCTATGGAATTTCAAAATACAAATCCCTCCAAATACTATATGCATGTGTTTCGTTTTGTGAGTGTGCGTTCGTGAACCACGATTAACCCGAACAAACGTTTTTCCATCACCATTTTTATACACGTCTCAATTTCCCCAACAACTCAAAGTACTTTGACCCCAAATTATTTTCTAAGAAATTCCGGAAGCAATTTTACAGTCGGTCTCATTAAATGAAATGGCTTAATTACGTGCACGAACTCACAACCCCTTTTGCTGATCTCGCGCCCCCCTCTGTTCAGGTCGAGGTAAGGGACCCTTGCTGCGCGGGGCCCGCGAACGTAGCGCCAGCAGGTTGGCGGGGCGGGCCTCCGGTGGCGTGCTGCACGGCTTGGGGGTGGCCACCCTATCTTCCCTAAATCGCGCTTCCGTGTGGGATGGTGCCGTTGTTTAGACGCGCAGCCTTTATTTGCTCGTAGGTCACCCCTTTTTCTTGCCATTTCTTGCCAATTAAAAAAGAAAAAAGTCACGCGTGCCTTTTCACTCCAAGGGCTGCAAATTTGATTCTCTAGTCATTTATAAATTTTCAAAGTGTTTGGCTATTTAATTTAAGTGATTTTAAATTACGAATTAAAAATTACTTTTTGTCGAATTTATTAAATCATTTAAATGCAATTTTTAGTTATTAAAATAACTTAATTTTTTTATTTTTGTTTATTTGGCAAATTGTATTTTACTGCATTTTTTATATCAGGTTAATAAGATAATATTTTTTAAATTCTTATAATTTGGACACAAAATTGTTCATTGTATCAAGTGAAATTAGGTGCACCTCTTTTGGTGAGAATATAGCGCACGTTAATTATGTCCCATTTATACAATTTCACCCCTCAAAAGCGCATCGCTCAGATTTTTTTGCAACCATGCACTTGTATTATATATACTGCATGATTTCAACTTACTAACCACCCTCATCGTAGTCAATTTTTTGCTCCCGCATTTTAGAAAAATAGACACGCACACACTCAAGATTCTTTTTTTGAAATTTTTGTTAGTGAAAAAATTCCTTGAGCTGAACTAACTGTGTTTTTCTCTCTTGTCCTTTTTGCAGTTAACTCGTGGCAAGCCATCTAATCCATGTCCCAATGCGATAACCACGGAAAGCAACCACTAAACAACTACCCCCGCCAAACACACCATCCACCTATCCATCGACTCTCTTTGATGATCTCAACCCCAAAACCCACCATCCCTGCTACATTCCTTGAGCTAAAATTGCTAATAACAAAAAAAAAATAGAGCCTCTCTATCTTTGTCTTTGTCTCTCACGTTAATGTCTAATCTGTAAGCGGGATTTTTTCCCTGTTTAAGCGCACATTTAGTGAACTAGCGAATTAATATGTAGTGTGTTAAAAACTATTAACTCGTCGTGTCTCTCTGTGTTAGCTCTCTCTTAGCTCACACTCACTACTTTTCTGTGTCTCTTGTGGAGTAAAAGGTTTTCTCTGCCCTTAAACTAACCTTTTTGGAAATGTTTTCTCTCTCACACACACGATATATATATTGTGTATCGGAAAAAATAATGGAAAATGGTGCTGGAAAACTGTCTTACCTATAGAAATCTTTTGGGTGGAGAATGAGTAAATAATTTTGGAAAACACAATTATTCATACCGAGCTTCTGACTGGTTTGGGAGCTACTGCTGCTGCTTTCGAGAGCCCTCCCTCCTTACACTGACGGAGAACATCACACACCTTTTTGGTTTAATTTATTATGATTTTCGTTATATAATATTTTACGTCACACTACATCTGCTCTGGTTGAATTAATTATGGGCTGCAGGCATTTTTTTCATATATTAACTATTACTTGGAAAATAATAACTTGCATTTTAATTGTTTCTCATTTTTCTCAATTCACCGTGAAAGGGTTGTTGAAGTTGATTTCCGAGCGAGATTAATAATGATTAACTCTTTTCTTTTTTACGCAGTCACTTCAATAAAGAATCTCTCTTTTTAAAAATAACGTTTGGAAAAAAAAATTAATTTTAAAAGCAAAAAACCCACCTCTCTTTTTCTTCATCCCCCTATTCCACTACTCTCACTCTACCCCAGTCGAATGAACGCCCTTGATGACTCGACAGAAAGAAGAAGGACTTCTTGTTGCGGAGGCGACGACGGCCAGCAGCAGTCCCAGCAGTCGGCCGCCCTAGGCGCTGCCGCCCTTCTGCGCCGAAGAATGTCCGAGTGTCTCGCTTCCTCAAACTGCGCCGTCTCTATGCGCAGGAGGCGCCTCAGGGACTTGACGCTCTTCACTCTGCCCCTCACCCCTAAGGAGAGAACCTTCATGCAGGGCGACAAGCCCAATCCACGCTTTTCTCAGCCCAAATTAAAGTAGCCCGGCGCAATCTGAATTATATAGGCAAGTCATTTTGACTAGTTACATTATTTGAATTTCTTTCCTGTATCTCCATTTAATTTTTAAATTTAAAGTAAATCAATTTTTTGATTCTTATTAAGCGCAACATTCTTCGAATTATCCCAAATTTATATAATTTAAGTTATGCTGTGAAAAAGAAAAAGAAGTTGTTGGTGCAACTTATCATAATAAAATTTAATTTTTACGATGCAATGGAAATTAATTTTTCAATTCACGATATCTAAATAAAATATCAATTTAAAAAAATAATCAGCAACTAAAAATTTTGCTTTCAGGACGTTCAAAGTAGCAGCCGGGCGAAAATCCAATTTTGAAAACAGAATTGCGCGCATTAGAAAAAGTATATATTTGAAGAACACACTGCATAGGCTCTTTATAGTTTGAAACTTATGAAAACCGAGTGCCACCAAAAACGATGGATTGTTTTGCAACGAAGCCCCTGACAATGAGATGAGAATTTTAGCAGCAATTAAGTGAGGCGGAATGGAGAATCAAATTTTTTTTCGTTGAAGTGAATGAATTCAGTGGGAAATCTGTAAGCATACCAAAGACTTTTATGTGTGTAATATAAATTATGTGCATAGAATGTGGACATTATTGAAGGATGAGTTGTTATAACTATGACATGTATTCGAATGTGCCATGACGAGTGATACTTTAAAAAAAATGAGATGATGGTATTTGTGTACAATAAATATAATGAAGTAAAAATACATTATAGTAATACTTGTGGAAAAGTGAAATTGCAGTGAGAGAAGTCAAAGTGATATACGAAGTAATGACAAAGTAGGAAATATTTAAAGAGAAAGAGACCTGATGGAAAACAATGAATTGACTCTTTATCAATTGTTAAAAAAAAAACTTTAAAGAAATAAAAAATGTTGCAAGTCTACAAGCTGAGAAAACATCTTTAATAAAAAGTTCTGCGGCAAGTTAATACAGCGTGCGCTAGTTTCCTTTTTGCTGTCTTGTGTGATCCTTGAACTGGCGCTTAAAATTATACTGACAATGTTACAATGAATGTGTAAATTTCATTGCTCTACGTAGCGTTTGTTTTTCTTTCAAACTTCAAGACCAAATATATTTAACTGTTGTCATCAGAGACTAGTTCCGATTAATAGGTCTACAAGCTGTTGATTAGCAAAAGAAGTTGTAGCGGATTAAAACACTGTTGCAGTCAATCTGTTAGTAAATAGCAATTAATTATGATGTCTGTTTAGACCATTAATAATTCCAAACATTCTCAAAGAAAGTTGCTGTTAACACAATTATGTAATAAAATATAATATATTTCTTTGTGAGGAGCGGACTGTGGGGAATATTGGCTGAATTTGAACCAGTCTTTTACTTCATTGAAAGGAAAAAAAAAAATGTTGTAATCAAGAGTCAATCACAAAGTTGCCTTGAAAGGAAAAAATAAAATTATCGCCAGCAGTCTGTTCCTATTCTTGTGAAACTTCTATAAATGGCTGCTTTTTGTGTGCTTCAACAAAAACTAGGCAAGCTTTAAAGTATCTAAATACCAAGTCTTTTCTTGTTGCTCCATCAGACCACGTAGCTACTTGATGAAACAACCACGCAACACACTGTTCACAATATTGATTATTTTGCATTTATCAAAATATAATGGAAACACGACAAAATGTGTCAGCAAGAAAGCATGACAACTGATTTTGAACCAATCAAAAAATTCTATTCGTGATTGATTTGTACTTTTGTTTCACTTTTATTTTTTCATGTGAAAAGTTCCTTGTCTTTTGATCCCAACTATATTTGAAAATTGCACAATGAGATGTCTCATGTTTTTTCTTACAATTGTCAAAGCTTTTGAATCTTAGCTGCTACATTTAGACATGTTTAATGTCTATTGTTAAATGTTTGATGTAAATATGCAAATAGAAAAAAGAAATAAATTATAATAGCTTGTAACATTAAATTTTTTGTATTTTTTTTAACAACCCAATTTTGTTAGGTCCGTTATGATCATGAATAAAATAAGAGTTTTCAGTGGTATCGATTACTTTATTTCCACCATGGGATGCATGCAAGTAAACAAAAAATCCAAGTTTGCCTCTACTGCTCTTCTTCATCATCTGAAAGTAAAAAGGCTTTCAAACTATCTGTCCAGATAGATTATTTTAATTTATAGTAAAATATGAAATTATTCCACAGTACTAATAAGTACAGATAACTATTACAGACATGCCATTTTGCCCCAATATGTTTTAAAATAAATAAGCCGACGACTACGTAAATGATAAATTCAAGTGCAATAATGGTGTGCACTAAGGTTCTACATAATTTTAGCATTCCATAGTTTGTTAAGCTAACTTACAAAATTTTTACTCTCAAGTTGTTAAAGGGGCTGAAAAGCTTCACTTTCTCTCAAAACTGTGGACCAAAGACATAAAATTCTGTGTGATTCTATTCATCAAAACTACACACAGATAACAATGGAAAGTGAAGCAGTTAACGTATGTTAATATCTTTATTTTTGCTGGTATTTGTTAGAAAATATAAAAGCATTTCTAATTACCTCCGTCATCCTCATCCAAATCGTCGTTCTCAGACTCAAATGCATTGTCGGGCACGCTGTACAGGCGGATCATGGGCTGTAAACAAGGAGATCGTATGACCCATTATATATTATTATTTGTAAATTTACTTTGTTGGGGTCCTTCATGATGAGATATTTGCCGTCTGGCTGAGACTTGCAGATATCAATAATGCATCGGAGAATGCCCCATGCATTGTCCATGTTCAGCGTAATTTGGGTTGCAAATTCAGTCGGCTTATACTGTTGTGTGCCGAGGATCACATGCTTTGAAGCATCCCGGACATGAGCTCTGGACACATAGCTATAACAAAAATTAAGCAGAGTTTAGAAGAAGAAAATTACGATAAATACAAATTTTAGATGGAAATTTTTTTAATTTCAACTCACCCAAACTTAATTTGGTCAGAGCCTGCCAGCAGAGCCTGGACGGTCCACTTGGCCAATTTGCAAGAATTGTTTCGCAATTCGTTGGCAAGGACAGCACCACGCTGAATATCCAGCTTCTGGCGCCACTCCACATTACCGGAAAGCTACAAGAAAGAATAATTTTACTACCGTTGTTTCCTAAGTAACTATAATTTTTACCTTCGAATCCCACTCATTAAGGGCCTTGATGGAGAGGAACTGGTTCTCTCCATTTGGTCCTGTCACAACAGCATCATGCTCGCAACGACAGACCAAAACGACTCCATTGTCCAGATCCCATTTGCGGTACCTATAGGCCACAGAGGCCACTTGGCCTGCTTCCTCGTCAGACACAAATGGATTAGGTTCGTCAAACTTGAAGGGAGCTTCCCCCTGCAGAATACAAGTAGATGCTAAAAAATACTCGGCAAAAAAGAAGAAATTCCTACAGGTTTCAGGACTTGCTGCGAGAAGTTGTGGTTGATCATGGTTGCCTCGAGAGCGAGATTCCTCGGAGAGTTGGGCGAGTTTGCCACACTGCTATCCTCAACTGGGGGCTCGACAGAAGTCTCGTTCACCGTGAGCAAATCTACAAATATAGCAGTTAGTTTAAATTTTCAAGGTCGGGTTAATTATAACTAACCAAATTCGGTGTTGTCTCGTTTGTCCAAGAACAGTTTGTCACCGATCTTATCAATTACAATGTCCCATGAATAGTTGGAGCGAGTGCAGCACATCAAGGTTGCGAGAATGGCGTCGGTAGCATACACATTGCCCTCAGTCTTGGACAACTAAAAGGATATATTTTTTACTATTTCAAATTAAATTGTTAGCAAAGAGAACAAACCTTTCTGATGACAGGGTCATCGGTGGTGGTGACCGTATGGAAAATACGGTTCACCCGCTGCAGGGGCTTCTCGTTTTTGCAATTAACACGGTCATACGCCTTGTCGTAGAACTCCAGCTGACCACAGCAGACACTAGAATGAATTTAATATCATATCATCCACGTCTTAATCACTTTAATATCCTACATGTCCTCTCCCTCCTCGACATTGGGCAGAGACAGCTTGGCCAATCGAGGGAAGTCCATCTCCTCGATGGTAACCCAGTCTGGCTTGACAGTGACCGAAGCGTCCCTGTTCTTCACTGGAGGCATGTTCTTCATGTTCCGCATGCCCATGTGCCTCTGCCAGCCTTTGTTCTTGTTGGTCTGCCTCTGGCGTTCTCTGCATAAACAAAATTGAAAGAAAAATTGTAAACTGACCTAAGGACCACATACCTGTCCCTCAATTTGGCGCCTCCACGCAGAGACTGCATCTGAGACTGCTGGTGGCGTTGCTGCTGTGCTCGGCCACGCATACCTCTCATCTGACGGAAACGACCTCTCTGGTAGGGTGGCTTCTGCACCCTGGCGGTGTCCACTAAGTGGAAGGTGCTCTCGTCTTCATCGTGGTAGTATGCGTACTGGCTGCCTGCACCAAACTGTGAAGCGTACTTGTCTAAAATAAAAGGGAAATAATTAAGATTCCAATTAACCTAAACTTCATTGATTTTAATGATAATTCTTACTGGTGTACTTCTTATCCTGGAATGCTGCACCGGTCCAGTCGGAAATCTAAAATTTTTAAAGTGATATAGACCGTCTGCAAGGGATGTTTTGTAAACATACCTTTCCCAATCTATCGCCCTTGGAGAAAGGCTGGTAGGGCATGTTCCTGAACTGGTCCGGCATTTCGCAAGGACCCCATCCAGTCGGGTTGTCTTGGATGACGGGCGCGTTAAATTTCGGCACCTCTTCGGCACCTTCGGCTGCCATTGCGGCCTTCTTATATACTTGTGTAGAAAATCGGAAAACTTGTCGGCTCTTGAAGTAAGAACACGTTTTCACAACAAGCCGGAAATGGCTGAATTGCGGCTCATTGGACAGTGCTGCCGTATGCTCAAACGTGAGTAAAATGCACTAAATGATTTTGCATATTAACCAATACGAATCGTGATGTTTTCTCCGGTTCGGGAATTGGCCAATCAAATACTGCAATTGAGTTCTCCGATTAATAATGCATTTAAATCGGTTTTAATTATTTGAAGGAATTTAATAATTCTTCAGACATGGATTATATCAATAGAGATTGAAACAATAAAGAAACAATTTATCAGCGGAAATTTTTTTATCATTTTAAATCATTAGTGTCGTGATAAAAACATCTTTCTTTCTGCTTTATTTTGTAGTTTTTTTTTTTCAAATAACCGGTACTGCTAATAATTTTTTGTAAAAACCGGTGCTCACTTCTTCTAAAGTGACACCTGTGCGCAGTGCTGAAAATCCTTTCCGTTCTCCAATCCCAAAGCAAGCTTCGCAAAGTATAAAGAGCGAGGCGAACCACAAACTAGTGGAGCCGAAGATCTCGCTGACAATTTGTCGCACCGCCTCCCCTTCCTGCGGCCGTCGTGACCTGAAATCGTGCCGCCGTAGATTCCAGGTCGTCGGCCGAGCCTTGTAATTCCTGCGTAACGCCTTCAGAAAACTCGTTCAAGTAAGTTTTGAGGCACCTGAATTTTCAGGAAAATGTAAAATCTTGGCCGCTCTGTTTTCTGTTTTGACGTGGGAGTGGTACCGTTACTTGGAGAATACGCAGAACAAACTTGTCTGTGTTTGCGTCACATTATTGGAGCAAATTCCGGGGGCTTCTGAAAAAATGCATTTTTTTAAGGCTGCGTAGCCCTTATCATCAGCTTTTATAAACAAATGTTGACTTTTAGGATCTTTTGAAAAAACAAAATGCAAAACACATAGATCAGGTTTTTGACATTTCTATAGCTAAAAATATTGTTTAATTTAATTCCTCAAGTAATTTGATGTTCTAAAAATTTCTTAAAAATTGTTTGCACATTCTGAATTTAATTATGAATTTTTTGTTTAATGGCAGTTAAAAATCGATGATCCGAAATAAAAGCAGCTGCTGGAGCTCTCATTCACTGATGCATTCAAGAGGAGTCATTCTTCTTTAAAGATCTAACAGCATTAATTTACAGCAAACAACAAAAATGTAAGCTCTTTCATGATTATCCCAATGCTTATCAATATGAATTTGTTATTTACTAATTGATTTGCGCAGATGGAGAATCCTGAGCAAACCTTTCTGATGCAAATGGGTCTGACCAGGGATGCTGTGACCTGCTCTAATCCCACATTGCCTGTTCTGAAGGAATTGGCTGCAGATTTCTTGAACAACAAAGTAATATAATGATATTGAACAAGCTTTGTAAATCTTAAATTAATTTCCCATTTTTTTAGTTCCCTGATCATGGCCTCACTATACCACCTGACAGGATTCTATTATTCCTGCACGACTATAACTCTGACAATATTCTGCAGAGAGTTAACCCTAACACTGAGGTTCCCGAAGGTTCACTGATTGAAATAGTTCTCTCTGGTAAAAATTAATTGATGAATTATTAAAATGTTTACCAATTGATATTTTTCTCTAATTTTTAGATAGTTTTTTTTTTTAATTTTTAACATTAAAATTACTACATGATAAATATGTGACACATATAAACTCTGCAGGTCAGCAACCAAAGGAGGAGGCTCGGGTTTGTCCTCATGCCTTGGCCGTGCACTCCTACAAAGCACCAACGTTTTGTGACTACTGTGGTGAGATGCTGTTTGGGCTGGTGCGTCAAGGCCTTAAATGCGAGGGCTGCGGCCTAAACTACCACAAGCGATGCGTGGTCAAGGTGCCGAACAACTGCAGCAACAAGGCGCGCCGCATATCATCTTCTCACACTACGGCCCCAAGTCCTTCTGGGTCACAGACTTCGTTAGTCTCGGACGACAGCAACCTGGCAAGTCAATTCAAATTCCCCATGTGGAAATTTAAATAGTGGACTTGACTACCTGTAGCCTCTTTTTGTCAGTTTCTTTGATTGTTCACTTTTTACACCTAATTATCTTACATTATTTTATTGGACGTATGTATTTCGCAAAATATTATTTCAAGCTTAAGTTTGTTGTTTTGTTTTTTTTTTCTGTGTGATGTGTGGGGTTGGATTGTGTTTTTGCATTGAAATTTTACTGTGGCTAAAAAATCATTACATATATTTTTTTTTTTCAAAAGTGCACTGCTATTATACATTTTTATTTTACACCATTTTCAATTTACACCTGCTTACTTTAAAAATGTTGTTAATTGAAAAAAAAATGGTGCAAGAGATTGGCGTTTGAATATTGCAACCCAGAGCATTTTGCCAAATTTTTGGCTTGTAAATCTGGTGCTCTTGAGAATTTAAAACATAGATTTTGAGGTTGGATTGTTGCCGTAGTTGTCTGTGCCCGTGACCTCGCCCCCAAAGCCCCGTTCTCCCTCTTTGGGGGGCCGAGTGGCCATCAAGATTCCGCACACGTTTGTAGTGCACAGCTACACAAGGCCCACTGTGTGCCGGGTGTGCAAGAAGCTGCTCAAGGGACTGTTCAAGCAAGGCCTCCAGTGCAAGGACTGCCACTACAACACTCACAAGAAATGTCTCGAGCATGTGCCGAAAGACTGCACTGGCGAGGAATCAGTTCGCGAGCTTTATGGTGACCCAGTTTAGCACAGCACTTTCAGAATCGTTAATGTATTCTTTCTGCAGAGAGTGCAGCCGAGAAAGAGAACAGAAATGATGAGGAGAGCGACGGTGGCGAATCTCCCACTGGGAATAGAAGATCACAAGGCTCCCCGGGACCTAGTCATTGTTCTAATGGCAATTATTATGTGAGTTTTATTTTTAACTTATGTTTTTATATTGGTTGGTTACATTTTATAGGAAATCATGCCTTCTGAGAATAACGGATCAGACGAAACAGTCAACAGACCAATGAGGTAAATTTTCCAATAAAGTAGAAATCATACGATTATACTGACCGACTAATCAAACTTCAGCTCAACTCCAAGCAACAACATTCCGCTCATGAGAATTGTGCAGTCAGTGAAACATACCAAAAAAAGAGGTGGCTCCAAAGTCCTAAAAGAAGGCTGGATGGTGCATTGCACTAACAAAGATAAGACTGTAAGAAAAAGATGCTTAAAATATGCATCGACATGGTAATCACTTGTTAATTTTGTAATTATTGCAGCGCAAGAGGCATTACTGGCGCCTTGACACTAAGACCATTACACTGTTCCAAAATGACACGAGCAGCAAGTATTATAAAGAGATGCCCCTTTCTGAAATCTTGGCTATCGAGACGGCTAAAATTATGCACGGAGGTATATTTTATTTTTCCTTTTTTCAAACTGATTTTTGTGTCTATTCGTTGTAAATCATAGTTTGTAATTTTTATAACAACTTGATCTAATATACAGAGTTCATGCACTGCTTTGAGTTACGCACAGCCAATGTGGACTACTACGTGGGTGAAGACCCGCTTTTCACTGCTCCAGGCACATCGATGCCTCCTGCGGATAGTGGAATAGGCTCTCATGTAGCAAGGAGCTGGGAAACAAGTATCAGACAAGCACTCATGCCTGTTACATCACAAGCTAGCAACCGTAATTATTTGTTTCTTGTTACTTAAATCTGGTGTCGACAAAAGTCGGTGTCCAATCAATTTATTTAATGAAATATAAAATTATGTAGGTTGTTTTAAACTGATTATAATATTCAAAATAATCAAAATTTATATCTCAGCAGTAAGCGAGAGCAGCAGTGGCAGCGAGAAAGAGGAACGAATCACAGACATCCATCAGATTTACCAGATTTTCCCCGACGAAGTACTTGGATCTGGTCAATTTGGGATTGTCTATGGTGGTGTACATAGGAAAACGAACAGGCCTTGTGCCATCAAGGTTATTGATAAACTACGGTTTCCCACAAAACAAGAGGCTGAACTGAAAAATGAAGTTGAAATCCTGCAAGATATTGCACATCTTGGAATCGTTAATCTAGAGAGGATGTTTGAAAGCCCAGAGAGAATTTTTGTTGTTATGGAGAAACTTCGAGGTGACATGCTGGAGATGATTTTGTCAAGTGAAAAGGGCCGCCTCTCAGAAAGAATCACCAAATTTCTGATCACGCAGGTAGATTTATCATCCCCGTTTGTATAGCTATAGTGAGATTGATTTTTTTAGATTCTCATAGCCCTAAAACACCTGCACAGCAAAAATGTTGTCCACTGCGACCTTAAACCTGAAAACGTTTTGCTCTCCACCAATGTAGACTACCCACAAGTGAAGCTCTGTGACTTTGGCTATGCCAAAATCATTGGAGAAAAGTCATTCAGAAAATCAGTAGTCGGCACTCCAGCATACCTAGGTTAGTTAAGTTTTGCTCATTAAGGCTAGCAGAATTAATTTAAAATCAATTTTAGCTCCGGAAGTGTTGCGGAATAAGTGCTACAACCGATCATTGGATATGTGGAGCGTTGGTGTGATTGTGTATGTGAGTCTCAGTGGAACTTTTCCATTTAATGAAGAGGAGGACATCAATGATCAAATCCAAAATGCAGCATTTATGTACCCACCCAACCCTTGGAAGGAAATATCCTCTGATGGTACTTAAAAATTTATACCGTCACTGTCGCGGAACATTGTCCGATCTTCCCCTTCCACTTTCCCATAAGAAACAATGCCCCGTACCTGGAGATTGGATAGTTTTCCACCACAGTGACGATATACTTTAATTAAAAAGCAATCAATTAATTTATGCTAATTATCACACCAGCCATCGATCTGATTAACAACCTTTTGCAAGTAAAACAGCGCAAGAGACTGACTGTGGATAAATCTTTATCTCACATTTGGCTGCAGGTGAGAAATAAAATTTCTAAAAATAAAACATTTCAGATTACAATTAAGGGGCATACAATTTTTTCAAGGGAAAAAGGTGAAAACTTTTTAAACACTTTATAATTATAGGACTACCAGACCTGGTGTGACTTGCGAAAACTAGAAGGACAGCTTGGAACTAGATACCTTACCCATGAAAGCGATGATGCTCGCTGGGAGTGCTACCGCCGAGAGGTAGCCAGTCGAGATGTCCTTTGACACTCATCATGGGGATGGTTGCGGTGGGTGAAAGGTAGCAAGAACAGCACAAGGAATAACGCCTGCCTGCAGCTCTCATCCTATCTCAAGCAGTGAAAATCAAGTGCCTTAAAACTTCTACGATTTTAATTTTGTAAGCTACATTTGTGCACATATTTATTCAGTACTTTAAATTTAAACCAAAATTAGTTGACCGTATCACCATAAATGCATTGTCATATAACAGAGTCTTTAAGAATGAGAGTAATCTACATTTTATTTTATTTTTAACAGCCAATTCTAATTATATATTGCTCAATAACATTGTAACTTGATTACGCCTTATTCTTTTGATTGCGAGAAAAATAATAATTATGCAAGGGAGGGAAATCTTCATGTTATGTGATATGCCTGATATGATTCAGTGTAAAAGGTATTTTTAGCGTCTGAGGATTTAGAAGCCACTGAAAATTTAAGATGCATTTTTTATTCAATGTGAGATTTCTTTGCAGTTGCTATTTTTCATTTTATTAGGCTCGAAACAGTTGGCATCATTATGTATTCATCTAGCTTTACAAGTTAATATAGTTGGCTTGGAATTTTTTATTTTAAAAATATGTTGATAATTAATGAAGCATTTATATATTGTGACTCATTGTTAAAATAATATTTAAGTGGTTATGCAAATTATTTCTCATTCCGGCATTCTAAATTGCCTAGGTATAAGGATAAAACTATTACACTTACATTTAGAGAAAGTTAAGCAAGTACTCAATTTTTTTCAAGCAAAAAATTATTCTAATGATTATAAGGACGGATGAAGTAAATTTAGATGGCATGTGGAAAAACAAGTGTAGCTAATTCACCAACGAATTTTTCAAGCATAAAATATTCTTGGACTAATTATCTTAAAAATATTTCTGTGGTACTTCGTCTGTGAAAAATTGAATGTTGTTAGCTTCAAATATTGGTTGCAGCATTCTGACTGCTGGGCCTTTGGTTCTTATTAACGCATTTTGTTAAGTAAGCGCACACTATGTGAGTCTTCCAAACAAAATTCCTCGGCCTAAGCCTTCTGCTCAGTTTAATCTGTGTAAAATACTCATGATGCAATTTTGTTCTGGAATTGGTTGTAACAAATGTAGTTCTTATATACAAAATAAAACACTAAATTATTGTTGAGATTCTTACAACTACAGATTTTTTTTAAACCATATTTTATTTCAATTTCTGACAGCCTGAAAATTCAAATTAATTTAATTGTAGCTTAAAGGTCACAGGCAATGGAGTGGTTTCGTCTGCTACAATTATTTCATTTCCATTGATTAAACCCAATTCAATGAGTGACTTTTTCAGATTAGGTCTGGTACTCTTCTCAATGCTTGGAACAGTAGACAAATAGAGCGTAGTTTGTTTACCGTTGATGTTTGCAGTAAGGGCAGGGTTTTTCATTCTAGCGCCATTGTCTTGGCATAGGGTGCTCAAAAGCTCCTCCAGTTTAGCTTCACCTTTGATTTTCAAGACGTTGACTTTTCTGGCGCAAACCAAACAGTCCTCCTAATGATTAAAATAGTTATAATTATTTAAACTCTGTAAAAAAAGGGAAATTCCTAACATTTTTCATGTTTGAGTAAGCAAATGTGTAAACACCGTCAGACTGGTTGAGACCAACGTAGTCGTTCAGAGGTTTGCACACACTTGTGGCCAGTTTGAAAACCTCGCTGGCACACACTGCAGCAATCGATGCGTTGGTGGAGGCAACGGCCGGAATAATATTCTTCACCACGCCTTGGACCAACTTGTAATCAACCCCACTGATACCTGAAATGAAAATATCTTAGAGTTCCTCACTATAATCAAAGCACAAGAATTGATTACCAAAATGAGATGCTCTTTCAACAGATTTTTCGTGAATCCAGCAGAGATGCGCTGGGTCATCTCCATCGATTTCACCTTGAAATGGATTTTCCTTGGGCCATTGAATAATCTTGACATACTCAATGCAGTGCTCTGGAAGGCGGGGAGTGTTGGCAATGGTACACAGTGGGTACGTGACCTGTTCAAAATTAACCTCATGGAAACTAGCTCGCTAATGAATTTGCAGCACAAACCTGAGGAGGGTAAAGCCCCAAAGTGCACTCAATGCAGGCAGTCATTCCGGGCATTATCACACGAGCGTTCCCTTTAAGACCTTCAGTACCACCATCAACTAATGGAATCATTGTGTTCAAATTTGTGTTGTCATCATCGTCATACTCCAGCAAGGAAAAGAGCATTCCATTAATCCATCTAAATTAACATTACAAAATCAAAATTATTTAAACAAAATTTCTGTACCTTCTAGCTGGCACAGAATCAAGACCACACACAACAACGTGAAATTGCCTGTAGAAGTCCTCGTCTTTGTCTTGAATTTTGCAAAAATGCCTGATGAAATAATAAAAAATTGTTACAGATATTTATTAAAACTTTTCTCAAAATATTTTACGGTGTAACGGAGACACCAGGGATGCGACTGTTAATGTAATTTGCAGCCACTTCTGCCTTAGGACTGCCAATGTCCTTTCTTCTGAAGAGAAACTGCCTGTTGAGATTGGACAGTTCAATTGTGTCCATGTCGATGACGTCCAGCTGAGTGAAACCCATTAGTGCCAAATCTTTGAGCAGCTCGCATCCAAGACCTCCGGCGCCCACGACAAGGACGCGACATTGACCCAGGAGACCGTGCAAGAGGCCAGGTGTGTGGTCAAAATCTGGAAGGCAAAAGGGGCCGCTTCTCTCAAGGATGTTCCTCATCCAGGCTTTAGGAGCTGCCGGTTGCGGCGAATCTGCTGGAGCAAAGTATTTTGTTGAAAATTTAGAGTCAACATGCAAATAATCGTCTTACCATTACATTGAACTTCCATATCTGTACTGCCTGACATTATGCAATTTTATTATTGTACGCTGCCGGTGCTTAACAAGCATAAAATTAAAAATGACCAACTAATCAGTCTGGGTCTGGATGAGATGAAAAAAAGAAAACAACAATCAACACAAAATCCACAACTGAAAACATATATAGGGTTTTTACAAAGGAGTTTTCTAGCTTAATTTTCTTAACATCACGATTTCTTTTGGAAACTCTTCAAGGCACTTCTTATTTTTATGTTAATTAAATTTAATATGTTTATAATAAATCCTTAGACTTTATAATCAAAAGAAAGTCAGTATACAGCAAAGGTATTATTTATATAGCTTATCTCCTTTATTTTCACATCACTATTATAAGCTGTCAAAACTAATTTAAAAAACTACCGCCAAGAATTTTTTACATGGTGCCAGCTTTCAAGTTGCTTAATATTTTACAACAGTATCTTATTAATATAAAAAACATTTTAATATCTATTGCTTTTATAAAATTTCACCACAATTATACAGATGTCAAAGTTTATTCGCGATTTGGAAATATAGAACAAATTCAGTCGAAATAACTATGTGGGCGTTACCCGACAATCACGAGATTTCATGCAAAACGGCAACAGTGTTGTGGTGTCACCCTCGGTGACGTCAATACGGTTGACTGAGGCGACTCCGATAACAGCAGCGAAGCAGCCATTTTTCACTTAGAATTAACAAAATCTCGCCCCAATCGGTTCGTGCACCTAATCTCACCCCGCAAACAGTTCTCGTTTAGTCAGCAATGAATCCAGAATAGTAAGTATGCCCATCGGAGGTCGCCGATGCCCACGCCAAAGCACCTTCCGTTGTCCGTTTCTGTGCGCAAATTTCCGCACTCTTCCGTCATAACACCCGAGAGTGCCAGCAATTTAAAGCCACTGTCCCAATTGCGCACATCAACTAAAAATTCGCACGCCACCCTCAAGTTGCAATCGGCCCCTTTCAGTACAATGACCCTGAACTTAGGCCAGTGGGCACCTTGACCGCTCCTGGGGGCATTCGTATTATGCTCTTTTTGGCTGGTCACTGGGCCGTGGGCGCGTGACTCATGGAATTCTCCAGGTCAGCTACTGGCATGAACTTGTCCATTCTTTTGACTCCTGAGATTCCAAGGTTCTAACTTGTGAACCTTCGGAGGGAGTGAGGGACAAGCATGGGGTGTCTCAGGACGGAACATGCCAGTCAGCTGACGGTGACGTTTGCCAGAGGGGCTGCTGGAGAAGTGAAAGCAATGGGCGGAATTTTACAGTTTCTTTTCCAACCTGCTTTAGATCGCATTAAAAGAAACGTAAAATTGCTCTCCAGAAAAAAAATGAGATGACTTAACATTTGTCCTTTTTTTATGCCTTTCGTGAAAAATCATAACTATGACCACAATTTAATTGCGTACCACTATTGGTGAGTCACTATGTTTGCGACATAGCCATCGTTTAGTGTATTTTTCTTTCTCCTTATATATCAATCTGTGTTGACATGGAGTGAAAATACGTTTCATTGTGTTTCAGTGACTATTTGTTTAAACTCCTGCTCATTGGCGACAGTGGTGTTGGGAAGTCGTGTCTCCTACTTAGGTTTGCCGTAAGTGTTATCTTGTCAATAAAGGGTTTCCTGGTGATTAATAAATTCTTCAACCTCAACAGGACGATTCCTACACCGAGTCTTACATAAGCACAATTGGAGTTGACTTTGTAAGTTGAAAAGTTTTGAAATTTTGATTTTAATGATTAATCCAAGTGTTGTTTTACTCATTAGTTATGGGAAATTATAAATAGATCATTAAAAAATATTTGAAAGATTAGGATTGTCCAAAAGGTCTTAAGTGATGCATAAAAAATATTTTTATATATTAACTTTTTTTATGAAAATATATCTAAATTTTCACCTGGAAATAGCATTCGAATGATAACAGACTTTATTGATAAGAAGTATTATAATTAATTTGTGATAAATGGGCTACAACCGGAAACGGGCCAAGTAGATTTTATTCTATATTTTCCTTGTTAAAATAAAATAATTTGTTTTTGAATTTTATGTATTTTAATGTATTGACTGCCATTTCTACAATTAACGGCACTATCTCTTTGCAGAAAATAAGAACCATAGAGTTGGACGGCAAGTCCATCAAACTGCAGATCTGGGACACGGCCGGCCAAGAACGTTTCCGCACCATTACGTCAAGTTATTACCGTGGCGCACATGGAATCATTGTTGTCTACGACTGCACTGACCAGGAGTCTTTCAACAATGTCAAGCAGTGGCTTGAAGAAATTGATCGTTATGCTTGCGATAATGTCAACAAACTGCTCGTGGGCAACAAATTTGACCTGACGACCAAGAAAGTGGTCGACTACACCACAGCCAAGGTAATTTTTCCACTCAATTAAATTTTCTTACTGCAATGTTGATAAATTTCATTTCTAGTATTTAATTCACCATCATTTTATTTAAGCCTCAGTTCCAAAATTTAAATTATTTTTATTTAACAAAATCTTTCATCAATGAATTGTCTAAACATGTTTTATGGTCTTTAAGGAGTATGCAGATCAACTAGGCATTCCGTTTTTGGAAACATCGGCAAAGAACGCAACCAACGTGGAGCAGGCTTTCATGACGATGGCTGCTGAAATCAAAAACCGAGTCGGGCCTCCCTCTTCTGCAGCAGACACAGCGAACAAGGTTAAAATCGACCAGGGCAGGCCTATTGAGAGCAGCAAATCTGGCTGCTGCTGAAGTCCATAAAGAGGGTAAGCATTTTTAAATTGTTTGTACAAAAATTTTTTCCATCTATTATGCAACCAAAATTATATAATGTTGCTAAAATTAAAAGAAAAAATTCAAAACTAAATTATTTAATGGCAAAGCTTTGAATTCTTATCTTTTTGCGAGAAACCTATAATAAAAATAATAATAAGAAGATGCAGCCCATCTCTGCGCGCACCTCTCTTGAGGCCCAGCGTTTTAGCAACCTGTTTGCCAGAGGTGTCACCGTTTCTTCACATTTTGTAATTTCCTTTCTTATTTGGTTTATTTGTGAAGAATTTTCAGCTACAATAATTGCAGTTTTCATTATTGTTTCCATATAAAAACAGCTAATTTTTTTACGTCAATCGTTTTGATGTAATTGAGCTGGCTTGAAGTGAGAACAATATTAAACAGTTACACAACTTTCATAAAAGTCGCATAATTCAAGATTCGTAGTGCCCATGTGACCATTATTATAAATTCGTAATGATTTTAATTCCAGGAAGGAGGCTACTGCAAGCGATGCCAGACCAAATTAGCTGCTGTTGCTTCTCCTGTATTGCAAAAAGTGGCCGAGTGGGACTGTGATTATAGAACTGTTATTCGTGTCTGCCTCCGACCGACCGTCACATTCAAACAACCTCCAACTTACCACCACAACCACCTCCACTCGAGCCCCTTCCAGCCACCCCCGTTATCTCCACGGGGCTGCCTGTTTGGGGCGTCTGTCCGTTTAGTGTATCGCTTGTTGGGACTCTTCAGGAAACAGTAAATTGGAAAATTTGTCGCATTGGATCTTTTTACGACACCCCCCTTTAAAATTGCAATGTGTGTATAAATTTATGAATAATATGTCACTGATTAGTAATACGACATAGTAAGGCGCATTATTAATAATTTAAAAGAATTTCTCTCCTCCTTTCTGTTGTCCATTCAAATTTCTATTATTTGAAGAAAAAAAATAAATTTTCCGCACGCTTTCATAAGGTGCTAATTACTCTCCTCATTCGGACTTGTTTTTTAGCTACCACCCGTCATTCCATTCATATTTAAGAAATTTATTATGGTTATCATGCATATTTTGTAGTTTGTTACTCCGCAATAAATGTTCACATAAAATGGAGCAGCTGACATTATTTTATTATTATTGTGTTACTTTCAACTATTGGGTTTGTAACTTAGCAAGAATGTGTATAAATGAGACAACTTTTGTATCAAAGCTTTTTTAATGTTTTCAAGTTGAATTAATTGTTGAGCTTCACTTAAAAAAAATTATAAGACACTTTCAATATATAGTGATATTGTGTTGCTTACTGAAAATTTGTATGTAGGCAAAGAAACATTATGCAAAGTAAATAAAAATTCTTTTATTTGAAACAATTATTTAAAATTAGGCTATTGACACAGACCTTACAACCTTTTTATAACGAAAACATTCTCTGCACCATATTTTTATAATTGGTGTCAGAATCTTGGGTCAGTTCTTTAAGTCTACATAATAATTTGATAGCATCTTTGTTGTTTGGATCATCTTTAAGCAGGACTTTTAGGCTGCTTTCTGCTGTGTTGTATTCCTTAAAAAAATTATTAGTACTTTTTACAAGGAGCAAATAATAAATAGAAGAAAGCGGGGTTTATAAAATAAACTATTACCTTCAGTTCCACTGAGGAACATGCCAGCCTGTAGAGCGCTTTTGGCATATCTGGAGAGAGCTCGAGTGCCATTAAAGAGAGGTTTTTCGCATGCGAGAAATTTTTCTGCTGAAGCTGGCAAGCTGCCATGTTTGAGCACAGGGTAGCTTTTAAGTCGGTGCTGTCTTTCACCTCTCCAATGACCAACAGAGAATGCGCTTTGGAAAAAATGTGGAATGCGTCTTCAGTTCTTTTTACCTTGAACAGCGTTACTGCATTGTCTTTTAATTTTCTTACGACCTGCAACACAAAAATTTTAAATTTAAATTTCCATGGTTCAAAAAAATAGCAAACCTCTTGAATTTGTTCCTCTTGCCAAGCATAAATGGGCTCTGCATTTTTCATATCTAAAAGCTCAATTGTCGCTTTTCCTTGCTCCACTCCGTCTTTGAAAATTTTCACTTCACTTTTCTCACCCGGCACCATAGTTATCAAAACCCTGTCCAAAACTCTGTGCTCCTGGCAGTCTGCCTCGCCCGTTATTATTGTCAGTCGACCTTCGCTGAAAAATCCTTGCACATCAGAGATTTCCAGTTGGCACTCGGCACCTTGAGGCATCGGACAGTCGGCCCATGGTCCCTTTACAAGGAAATTTTTGGTCACGCGCAAATTCTCTGTCCAACACTCCCAGTCGTTTTGCTGATCTCCAGTAGCAGTCATGTTATGTGCGTTGACGTCTTTAAAATTTGAAAGCATAGAATATTTTTTATTAATACATAGCTATAAAAATAAAAATTAACTAACTACATAATAAAATAAGGAAAAAATATATAATTATGTACATTTTAATTCAGCGTTTTTCTTTAGAGTGCAAATTGTACACACACAAAATGTTATAGTAATTTTAACCGATTAATGAAGTTCTTGAAAACTGCAACTTTCAATCTACAACACAATTTGCTGAAAAACTCATTTGCCAAAACAAAACACATGAAATGTAATAGAAAAGAGAAGGGACAAGCAGCAGTTTGTTTAGGTTTATGATTTAAATATCATCTGATAGATGGCGTTGTGTAGTCCAAGATCGCAAAGGAGCGTTATTTACCATTAACCAAAGAAGTAAAGTATCAATTTTATACTTCTTGCCATTAACATTGACTTTGATGTTTTGGTGGTGTTATAGGCTTTTGTTCAAAATGTTTGGCTGATTGAAATGTTATTTTTATATTAATTAACTTTCTATATTAATTTATTTTTGTTAAATAAAGAAATAATAAAGCCAAGTTCCCTGTATTTAATGATAATTGGAACAATCCTGTTATAATTTGACTAAATTTTTTGTTACTAAAAAATGTTTTAATAAATGCAAAAAAAATCTTGAGATGTTCGGTTTGTGAGAAAATAAATATAACGATGTTGTCGATGTTTTTATTATGAGAATTATTTTTAATTCACCTCTGAGAACATTTTTGAACAACAAAATTCACCTTAAACCTATTGAGTCTTGGGAGTCTGTGGGGAGATTTTTAATTCTGGCCCATTTCAGTGCTATTCAACGGTTTTAATTTTCCTTTGCTTGCTTAGAATCTCGTAGCAAAATGTTTCTTCGTCATCATCTTCAGGATTTGTCTCGTCCAGCTCATACCTATTGATTTTGAATTTATATTAGTAATTTGTAAATTTGTGAAATTTTCAATAAAATTTTTTCCATACTTCATAGACAAAAAGAATGACTTGGCGCCAGGGTTGTTTTTCAGAATGGTCAGCACAACTCGTTCCATATTGGCTTGCCAAGCAAACATTTCCAAAATTTGCATCATACGTCGACCAAGGCCTTTGCGTCGAGCAGTCTCACTCAGCTGCAGCTCGTAACTATAAAGTACATACAATTTTTATTCCTGCGCCTCAATTTTAAATGCTAGCGATATAATTGTTACCAATAAAGCACTGGTCTTCCCTCGTCAAAATCAAATCTGAAGTGAGAAAAAGCAACAAGCGATCCATCATCACCTTTGGCCAAAATGTACCTAGCATCCTCATCAAAAAGTTCATCGTACTTTTCCTTTTCGTTCCATCCCCAATCACATGACTCGTAACTGATGAAGAAATACAAGTTCATATTAATTTTCTTCCACATAAAAATTAAATTTATTTTCTTACGTTTCTTTCATGTTAGTTCTCATTAAATCTAAAACCTTCTCCTTTGCGATTTCATCAAGATCGTCGACTTTAGAGAAAGAAATGGTCACGTCCAGACCATCCTTACTGAATTTGCTGAAGGGCTGCAAATTTGCCATGGGGTCATCCTGAAAAATTAATAGAAAAATAAGTATTAAGTTACAGCAATATGTGTTCAACACAAACTTGTTTTTTAGCTGCGTTTAAAATGCCTTGGGTTTTGGCAATCTTAGCAATTTCCTCCTTTCGCTGTTGACGATTTTCTTTGCACTTCTTGCTGCTTTTCTAGATAATTAATTGAATGAGGAAAATAACATTCAAAATTGCGACCGTACAAAAAAATCATAAAAATTAAAAAAAAATTAATTGGCCCTGCGTTCACAATTTATCAATGAAGTTGATAAACTGCTTCCAATTTTTAAAAACATCTTGAATAATTGTAATAACGTACCCCCATGCTGATCGTGGAAGAATATATTCACTGATGATGTGAGAAAAACGTGGAATTAGTTACGCAGTGATGGTGAGGTTTAATGAATTAAATTGTGGCCGCCGGCTTTAATTTAATATTAAAAACGTCAACTCTTCACGGCTCACTCTCTTCTCACAATCACAGCTGTGTCCCGCCAGTTTTCGCTCTTTGCTGCGCTGGCTGCGCTGCGCTGTAACATGATTTCCAGCGTCTCCTGCAATTTTTTTGCTTCATTTCAATTTCAACCCCACCCTTTCATGAAAGTGGAGCTCCGAACCAATCACAACAACTCCAATCGCAACTTTTGCTGACAGGCGCGGGCCGCGTGCAGACGCACTCGCACTGACGCAGACTGAAAAGAGTGCAAAGACTGCAAAGCAAGCATTAAAATGACTAAACTTAAACTCACTAAAGTAAGCTGAGCAGAGATCTCTGCTTGAATAAGGGGAGAGTAAAATATTTTACTCTTTTGCTCTCCTTACGCTTGAACGCAGTTCAGCACAGCATCAGCAGCCATATAAAGCGCAAGGAGGGACCTCAAGGGACCAAGATCACCAAGAGGACAGCAGGGAATCTGGAAGAGAGGATCGTGCCCATCGGTGTGTTGCGGACACTAGAGGTGCGGTACGAATTTATATGTTCATACGAAACATGAAACCACCAAGAACGAAGATATGAAATTCAATTTCATCTTTGTTCTTGGTGTCGTTCAGATTCATGTTTTTACTTTCAGAAATTGGTATGCGAAGATGTACCCCGTACTTTATACAATTCATTTCAGGACAGGAACAGTAAAAATCGACGGAAAACACAGTATTATACATAGTTGAATTGCCCACTTTCGCCATATCGCCAATCAAAAGGAGCCGCGGCACGGAAAAATTTCATTTCTATCTCGCGACATTTCCCTTTTTGTCGCATCTCCTAGCAGTCCAAATTATTCTCCATAAACTCAAGAAAATTACGTGTAATTAGTATGTAATACGTGCTAAATTTTCTTCTCGCCTCCGTGAATATGAATATGTAATTATGATTTCGGTTTTTCATTATGACCGTTGGGTGTATGTTTCTCTGTTTCTGTAATTTTCTCCAGCATCTAAAATTTTCTAAATCGTCAAAAAATCCTCTGTAGCGCAACGTTACGCGACTCTTACTTATTTTAATTGAATTAGATTAATAAGCTTGTCTAAGTATAATAATACTCGCATCAAACAACCACGTATTTCTGAGAAAGTCGAATAATTACGAAATTTATTATTTTATGTAATGAAAATGCTGAAACAGCATAATCGTAATAGACTTTTTACCGCTTACTACAAGAGGCGTCAAAATTTCACTTTTTGTTCTTTTTATACATTCAAAAGATAAAACAAAACCTGCTTTTTTTAATTTTTGCAAATTGAGTTTTTAGAGTTTATTCAAAATTTAGAAATGTAATTAACTGAAAAAAATGTATTTTTTTTGGTCTGTCGCCTGAAGGTATTTTAAAATAATAATCAAATGTTGTAACTCTAAAATTTAATTTTGTAGAAAAATTTCATACAGCTGTTAAGTTAATTGTTAATATGGATTGTGTTCGAGTTCCTCGCAAAATGCTATTTTTATTTTCCTATTACTCTCATTAAACGAGTATAAAATGAAGGAAAGGCCAACATTTTAATCGAACTATTCCAGTCCAAATGTTAAGTCATAGCTCCACTATTTTGTCAGAATTTTTAGATATTTTATTATTGTTATTCATATACACGACAAAATAATGTTTTATTATTTTTCAGGCAAAATGGATTTGATAAGTAGTAAAAATGCTAAAACAGATGCTCATCAAGGAAATCTCATTTCCTTTGACTCATTTGAAGACCTGAATTCGCAAGTCGACCCACAGGAACTGCATGATTTCTTCCACTCCAATTTGGCTGAAAATGGCTTTAAACTTAGGTATTTATGTGCTTTCTGAGATTTTGTTTTAAAATTTAAAATAATTTATTATTCAAAATATTAGAAATAAAATTTAAGATAATAATACTTCTAAAATATTTTAAGCAATCTCGAGCGTGAAGCCACTGGATCAAATGGAGTTGTTTTCAAGACAAAAGTCACAGACTTCATTGGTGAAGAATCTGACGAAGGCAATGCTTCACTTGATGAGGAGGAGGAAGATAACACAAGGAAAGTTGACTCTGAGGAACATTTGACAAACACTAAGGTTTCTCAATCTGAGATAATTCTTGGAGAGATTAAGAACAAAGAGGAAAAAAGAGAATTCATCCCTTCTTTTGATGAACTTGTGACAAAAATGTTTCCTGTCCGTGATGATAAGAAACTTATGAAAAGGGTAGGTCATGTTTAATAGAAATTGTATATTATTTATAAATTTTCATCCTATATATTATATAGGTTATGAATGAGGGCAATGGAGAGAAGGTGGTTGATGATGCCTTAGTGAAATTCAGTATTGATGCTTATCTAGACAAGAGTGATGAACCATTTGACTCAAGCAAACTGAGACAAACACCTATGAAAAGTCGCATGGGCGAGGGAACGCTTTTTCAGGGTTTGGAAGAGGCCATCATGACCATGGAGAAGAACGAGAAGGCCCAGTTCTTGTTGCATCCTGACTTGGCCTTTGGTGCCAATGGCTGCCCACCTAGAATCCCAGGAAGTATAACACCAACATATAAAATAGTTATAAACTGTGTTAAAGAGACATTTTAAATTTCATTAGATGCATATTTGATGTATGAAATCACTGTCGATGACATCATGGAAGGGAAAGTTGCCGACTTGATGCAGACTCGGAACAACGCAAATGCAGACTTCCCTACTGTTCTTAAGGTGGTGCTGAAGGAACATGCTGAAGGAGTCGAGTATTTCAAAAACCAGTCGTACAGATCAGCTATTATAAGGTTTTGTTATATATATTATCCCATAATTATTTTGTCAAATTTTCATTACTTCAGCTTCAGGAGTGCTCTACGACGCCTTGAGAAATGTGAGAAAATTAAGAATGAGGACGAGTCAAAGGAGCAGATGAAAAATCTGCTGAAGATTTTTGTGAACTTGGCTGTTTGCCACAATAGCCCACCTGTGAACGAGCCTGAGAAAGCTTGTGTTATGTGTCAAGAAGCACTGAAAATAGATCCCAAAAATTGCAAGGCCAATTTCCAGTTAACTAATAGTCCATAGCAAAATTTAATTTTTTCCAATAACCTTATTCTTTGTAGTTACGGGAAGGCACTTGCTTCCCTTGGAGACTATGATGGGGCTCAGAGAAAGCTTCTGAGAGCCAAGGACATAAACCCTTATGACGAGACAATCAATTTGGAACTTGCAAAAGTGATTATATCCAAAAATATCATAGTGCATATTTAATAAAAATTTACACTTGCAATAGGTTCATGACAAGAAAATCAGATCTGCCACTAAAGAGAAAGAGATGGCTCAGAACATGTTTCAAACTGCCTCACCAAATCAGAGAGCAGGAAATAAAGATATTTCAGCTGATGGACACTCTCTCAAAGAAGTAAGTTTTGGTTGTTATGCTCTAATATTAGCTGATGAAATTTTTTGCAGAATGACCATGAGCAATTTAAAGTGCAGATGAGAAAGAGGATTGAGAGATTTATTTCCAACAAAAACCAGAAGCAGTTGGAATTGCCAATTGTGTTAAGTGAAAAAGAATATGTAACACTGCAGGAGTTGGCTCACGAGAAGCATCTGAGCTTTTCAACTAGAGGGTGCAACCACTATGTAATTTCAAAATCTGACTAGGCCCCTTGATTGTAAACCCACGTTTCTCATATATGTGACTTATAAATTTTAATTTTAAAACACACTGTCATAATCATTAAAATAAAACTTTGAAACTGCACATTTTCACATAACTTGTCTCGCTTTTGCATCACTAAAGACACACCAGTTTGTCACTATTGCCACTATCTTCTGCTGTGTTCTGGTCAGTCTGAACCAAAACAAATTCTCCTTCTTTGGTCATAACAATCAGAAATTTTCCTTGCTCTGTAGAATTTATTGGGACTTCAACAGTTCCTGAAATTTATCTCTTATTTAAAGAAACTATGCTTTTTTAGAAAATTTACCTTGTGGAGCTATTGCTGTGTTCTCATGACTTGCTTGAATGTTGACGCTGGTTGCTTGCTCAGGAATGGCAACGACTTGCACAGCACCGGATTCGGGGTCGTGTGCCAAAGCTACAGTGCTCCCTTCGGGTTGCTGAGGCAGAAGATAGTACTCGCCATTGTCTGAAACCATCAACTGCATTCCCGCAGGCACCTCTAATGCACCTGGGTCGACACCTTTAGGAATCTCCACGTGCTGGGGTCCACTAGACTGATCCGATTTATGTTGAGCTAATTCAGCAGAAGATATGGGCTGCTTTTTTGGCAATTTTTTTACATCTGTTGGAGTTTTGCTGCCTTTAGGTAGCTCTGATGCAATGAGGACCCTTGGTCTTTTCTGTACAGCTTTCCTGACAACTTTTGGGGTTTGAGAAGGCTGTTGAGAAGGCTGAGCTGTCGGAGTCGGTGCAATTTTTTTTTGCAACAGTTTAGGAAGTGGACTTTTGGTCAACACAGGAGATTCAGCAGATACATGAGGCAGTATTGTGGAGTGAATCTTATTTGGTGTTTTCCCCACATTAATTTTAGCAGGAACAAAAACCTTGGAAATTGGAGCAGGGGATGTTTTTGCACTCAATATTTTGATGACGCTTGTCACAGGTTTTGGTTTCAACTTGATTTCTGTTTTTTCGGGCAGCTCTTGGCAGAAATGTTTTTGTGGAGCATCCTCGAACAGCTTGAGACCTTGCCTCTTCCGGATTCCCGGCCTGTTCCTCAAAATATTGTTAGTAATGATGACAAGGCCTGGCTGCTCTTCTTTTGGCTTGTTCTTGCATAGCATTGGGGCCAGTAACAGAAGGGATGAGCTTTCTTTGATTTCGTGGATTCCGGGCTTTACTTTGGTGAGGGCATTAGCATTCACTCGAATGGAGCGATAACAGTTGCTGACATGGAGAATTCTGTCATCAGAAGGAGTCCCTTGCTGTAAAACCTTTCTTTGCTTTTTCAGAAAACTGGGCTTCATGGAGGATTTCCTCTTTTTCCCAAAGACACGGGGTTTCTCCTCTAGCGAGTCCGATTCATCTCCTATCTCCTCTGAGGATGAACTTGTTGATCCCCCTTCAGGAGAGCCACCGACATCATCAGGCCTAAATTCATCATCAGACGCATCGCCACTGTCTTCCTCATCTTCCTCTCCCAATTCAGCTTTCAGAAATTCTTCGTCAATCTGAGCATCTAAAGGACAAAATTACAAGCATTCAATAACAAATTATGTTTCTTTTCTTATATAATACCAGTTTTCTTTAAAGTCCATTCCTTTACTTTGTTCAGTGCCTTCTGTTTGCTTGAACGGCAAGGCCTGTCAAAAAGATTAATTTAGTAAGTTACTGAATGAATAAAATTGCAATTTATAATCAACCTAGACGGGGATGCCAAATTCTCCTCAAATTGCTGGATCAAATGTTTGTAGCCTTCTAGACTTTCTTCAGACTCCCAAGACGACTGTGCTCTAAATTTTTTAAAAAAAATTAGGCTAACTACTTCCTTAAAAATTATAGCTTACTCTGGTAATCCTACCCAGTTGACAAGATATACAAGCGATTTGCTTTTTTTGTCAATTTTCTTGTTCACGACTTTTTGAGGTGTCCGACTGATGCTCTCTGGTGGAGAGTTAATACTCTAGGCATGTGCGGTTAATTTTCCAATATTGGCCTTGTTAAGATAAAAATATTTCACCTCTAACTGCTTTTTGCGCCCACGCCTTGAAGTCTGAATCCTTTCTACGGCAAGTAATGGATTTTCGGTGGATACATTTGCAAGTGGATCAGTTTCAGCTGCGCTACCTAACTGCTGGGTAAAGAGTTCCTCAAAATGATCTGCTGATGGTCCCTGATAATGATGAAAGTATCAAATAAAATTGCATGTAATATTTCTTTCTCATGGAATTCGTGCCTCATCTTTAGACTTGTGGATCCAGTTCATGTCAAAGAGAATGTTCCCTGCAATTTTCCAAGCTTCTTTAATACTTCCTGGAAGTTCTTGCCATTTTTTCCACAAAACAGAATTTTCTCCAGCTAGAAAATTCTTTTATTAGTAACATATCATATATCTCATCCTCTTTTGAGTGGAACAATATTAAATACCATTCCTAAATTTCATCTTTTTGCACTCAGGTGAATTTTTCCACAGCATGAAAGCCCAGACATCGGCTGTGGGATTCTGTAATAAAATAACCACGTTCAGAGTAAAGTTACAAATAATAAAGCTGCTCAAGTATGTAATATTCTTACAAATTTTGATGGATCCGTCTCAGGCGGAACACAGTTTCCTCGTTGCTTGTGCTTTTGGATATCAACTAAAAGATGGAAAACTTCCAAACAGTTTCCACATACAAGAATATCCAGACCATTAAGTGGTTTCATATGGTATTTTGCGGCTGTTGAAAATAAAAGAAGAATGATGAACATACATAATTCTTTATTAATCAAAGGAAATAATAATGCTCAAGTATGAGGAACGATTTGGAATAATAATTTTACATCATTTAATAATTTGTGTAGTTAATTAAATTAAATAATAAAAGGGTTATACCTTTAGTCAAATTGATACTACTGCAAGCCTTAGCAATCTTGTCAACGTTTGGTTGCCCAAGAGGCATTTTGCTGACTTGTTGAACTTGCAGAAACGCCAGGACTTTAAAAGATTTTTTAGTCAAAGGACAAACTTTCTGCAAGGTGCCATGGGCGCAGGAATCTCAGTCCCGTAATTTTTCAAATAACCTACGAGTTTTGAAGCGATAATTTTTTTAATTTTAGTGGTCCTCTTGCTCTTTTGTCTCCGTATACTCCGTAAACAAACGTTAGTGGGAGTGGCAAGTGGCAGCTTTTTCAGCGCCCTCTGCACTTTACGCTCATTGGCTGATCCATTTTTAAAAGTCTTGCGTCAAGGAGTCTCAAAATAATAATTTGAGCAGCAGCGTTCAGTACACGCATCCAAGAAGTCACGCATCAACGCACAAATAATGTCATGTTTTAAAGTGTTAATACTAAAAGACATTGAAAGACATAACTAACGGAAAGACACATTCGAGTGAGTCGAGGCTCATGAGTGCGAAAAAATGGAAAATGCTTAAAACATTTAATCAAGAGCAAAGTTTTTAAACTTTTTTTTACCCAATATGTGTAAAATTAATGGTAATTTTCATTACTCTTCTTTCAACATAATTACATATATAAAATGCTAAAAGATAACAATTGAAGATGTTTTTTTTTTAATAATATTAATATATTTCTTTAACATTTTTAGTTTAAAAAATGATTCTTTTTAATTTTATTTGTAAGGAGCAAGGAGAGATCAATCAAAATAATGAAGTAAGTAATTTTTACAATATATATATATCATTTTCTTCAAGAATGTATGCTTGATTGTTTATTTCATATCAATGCTTTTTTTTTCAAGAAAACAGAATCAACATTCAAAAATTACTTTACAGGCTATATCATACCAATATTTTTCCCACCTTTTGATGGGGTTGATGGGTATTTTAAAAATAGAGACAACTGGATACCTGATATAATACAACCAAGAGAATTTGTGATCTGAAAAGAGAGAGTAAAATATTAATTTCTGAAAATTAAATTTTAAAATTCAACGGACCTCAACATAAGCATCGTCAATTATAAATCCATACGTCATCCACTCTGCCGAGACAATCGTATTGGCAACGATCATCGAAAAGGGAAGACTTTCGGTACTTTTGACCTTGATTACATGAGCCTGAGAGAAATGATTTGTTTGAAATGATTAAAAACATTGCAAAGTTTAATTATTTAATTAACAAACCAATGTGGCAAAAGGTGCGGCAAAAAACACTATGGTCACACAACAGCAAATGAATCCCAAATGTGCTTTGGCAGTAGTATTGTCAGGCATGTACTGCATGTAAGTGATGATAAGTAAAAGTGCAAAGCAAACGGCTAAGAACTGTCTCAAAACTGAGATCTGAAAATGTATAGAAATTAATAGTAAAAAAAAAAAATTAACAGTTTCATACCTTTCTGGTAGTGTAAATGGTATAGCAGATCACATAGGAAAATTGGAGGAACGCTCCAACAATATTTGTGATAATCACAGAGTTGTCATTCAGGAGATGACCATATCTAAGCCACAAACTGCATCTAAAATAGTTTTTTATCTTAGAAATAATGATTCTTTACAACAAAATAGGCTTCCATACGAAAGAAATCCTGCTATGAAAGGGAAAGCCGAAGTATCACCAACAGTGCCAGTCTTGTAAAACTTTTTGCAAACCAGCCTAAAAACGTTTTGTTAAAAATTAATGACAAAGTTAAATTATACCTGCAATTCAGCACTTACACTCCTGCGAGGAACTGAAGTATCGTACAAAATGCAGCAATGGTGGCAAGTGGTTCCTTGAAGTCTAAAAGGTTCATTTTTCTTTAACAACGGTGACAGCGCTTGCAGATCCTCTCAGCTCCGTGATCCCATTGCTCGTACAAAATACCCCTGAAATTTCAAAATGACTTTGTAAACTCCAGCCTGGGAATAAAAACATAAAAACAAACAGCATTAATTATATATTCACGTCTGAGAATTTTCTTTTTTAAGTAAATAATAAAATAAGTAAATCTTTCAGTTTGTTATTATCTAGAGATTTTTAAAATTAAATTGGACTGCGTACACTGTACGACCATAATTTACTTCACAATTTGAAAAACAGATTTATTTCAAATTCTGCTTTTTGCAAAGAAACCAAACAAAAATTACCAGAAGAAACGTTGGTATTAATTAAGTGCGATTTATTTTTGCCACTAGTATAAAATCCGGTAAAATGTAAAACGTCAACAAATATGTATGATAATGGACAGGGTGACAGGGACAGAACTCACAGGACCCGCCCTCTTTTTCAAAAATTACCACGCGAAGGGGCGCAGGAAGTAGGGGAACAAGGGGAGGTGGGAGTGGCAGTTTTGATCAAGTTTTGATTGAGAAAAAAGTGACAGATAATACGCGGAATCAACAGTAGAAAGCCTTTTGATAAAAGATTTTTTAGTTCTTTAAAATCAATTTTTCGTATCAAAATGGGCAACACGTCGTCACTGCTTCTAAGAGAAGATGAAATTGCCCAAATTCAGGAGAAAACTGGATGTGAGTACATAATGCGAAAAAAGCAAAGTGAGAGGGCCAAGGCCCAAGGTTGACCCCTTTTCATTTTATATTTTATGCATGTTTCCCCGAAAAAATTCAATATTGATTGATTGTTTTATTTTACAGTCACGCCGAATCAAATTGAGCGATTGTACAGCAGATTCACCAGCCTGGACCGAGGCAACTGTGGCACACTGAGCAGGGAAGACCTTTTGCGAATCCCAGAACTGGCCATCAATCCGCTTGGTGACAGGATCGTTCACGCTTTCTTCCAGGAAGGCACCGGCGACTCCATCAACTTTCTGCAATTTATGCAGGTTTTGGCTCACTTCAGACCAATCAAGAAAAACAAAGACACAAAGTTGAACTCCCGGGAACAGAAATTGAAGTGTAAGTGTAAATATCTAAGCACTTAAAAACTAATTAACCTAAATATTTATACATATAATCGCTTTTAGTTGCCTTCAAAATGTATGACCTTGACGGTGATGGAAAAATCTCCAGAGATGAGCTCCTTGCAATTTTGCAAATGATGGTGGGGTCAAATATTAGGTAAAAATGGAAACCACAATTTTTGTTTAATTTATATAACATGAATTTGGTCATTTAAAACCCAATAAATATTCTTACATACGGAAAAGATAGATCGATTAAAAATAAATATTTATTCCAGTGAAGAGCAACTGACAAGTATTGCAGAACGAACCATTTTTGAAGCTGATCAAGACGGTGATCAGATGATTTCTTTTGCTGAATTCTGCAACGCCTTGGAGCGCACTGATGTAGAGCAGAAGATGTCGATCCGATTCCTCAACTAGGTGCATTTTTCAACTGAAATTTATCTATTTTTTCTAGAAAGCTTGAACCTATAAACTATTTAATTTTCAAAATCGTTCCTCTATTTCTTGGCTATTAGGTCCACCTATATTCCAAAGCACAACTGTTGGTTATAATATTTATGTAATTGTGATTTATTTTCAAAGAAAAGATAAAATATTGTAAAAATGTAGATTTGCTGATGACTGGTTCGTCAAATTTGCGTGGATTGAGACTTTATTGCTATTTAGAAAGTTGAAGGTTTGTGATAAGATTGTAATTGATTAATATAAATTGAATTATATATCTTGTATGAAATTAATTTTATTTAATTTTCTTAAACAACCTTATTATTTACGATTTATGTAATAACACCAGCATGCAAGTAGCAGCTAGTTCGACTAGCGCAGGCATTATACTTGTTACTGCAAAGACCCACCAAAACATGTTGCAATCCCAACTGTCTACAACTGCAAGAGACAGGAGTATTGAGCCAAGTCCGTGGCAAAATGACGCTGAGGGAATATGTTAAAGAAAATTTTTTATGATTATGATTTTAAATTGGAGAAATGTTTGAGAAGGATACAAATTGCTGACACTGAAGTTATGAACATGGAGAGTCCAGAAAGAAATCCAATTAGTTCCACAAAAATGAGGGCCACTGCTGTGCATAATCCAATTAAAAGCCTGTCAGTGTGCAAAGTTGCGAAATATATTAGATGCATTATGCATTATTATTTTTTATACTTTACCTAGTATCTTTGACTTGGAAATCTTCCATAGAATATTCAAGTGGCATACAAGCATGCACATTTTCTTCCTTTAAAAAAAAAATAATAATTTATTCCAGAAATTTGGATTTTAATAATAATATAATGCTTACGTACCCTACTCCAAATCAAGATTGTCAAAACAACTAAATGAGCTAAGAGTGTAAGAAATCGCGCTGGTATCAGTCCACCGTCTGCTTGTATACTCATTTTATAATAAGACTTATTTTTAATACAGCGAAGAGAGAAACTAAAGTACTGATCAAATATTTTAACCTTTGAATTTAAACGACAATAATATAATTATGACCAGAGACGCGGCAAACGGCTGTATTCAGTTTTGAACAAAACAATTCTTTTACCGCCTGATTAGCGTTCCTTATTATTTTGTATGAAATCAATGGAAACCACAAAGTAGCTGTTTTCGCTGCTGCCTATATAAATCTAATTATGATGAAAGCTTTTGCGACTATACAGAGATGCCAGTCAAGTGACTCTTGGTCGGACTCATGCTTCAAGCAAAGGAATCCAAGACTTGCCGCCACTAACTTTAAATTACATTTCTCTTCTATTGGGTTAGAACAGCTCAAATATTTCTTCGCCGACCAATCAAATTCCACTCTGTTCTGCTCCCCTCTCTGCAACATTTTTGGCCTTGATCATAAGAATAACATTACAAGGTCATGGCATGTTGATCGCTTAGCTAGCTAAAAGCATCCCTTTTAATTAAATCACCCTCTTTAAGTATTATTTGTTCAAACTAAAATATAAGAAATATCGGGAATAAATTATAAGTAATAAAATAGAGAACCAATTTAATTACTAGTTTTAAATTTTTTAAATAATTTTAATTTACCTTGGTGTAATTGCTGAGGTAGCGCGCGAAGTCCAGAGAGCCGCATCGCCGCGTGTATTATGTGTATGGTGCAAAGTGTGAAAAATGCCAAAAATGCCTCTCAAGTTTTAGAAGAAAAAGTCAGTCTTACTTTTCTCGCCTATAGGGTGGGGGGGGGGATAGGCAGGCAGGCAGGGCAAGGTAAGAGTGGTATGGTAAGACGGCACCACACAGGCACACACATGAAACCATGAACAGCGAACAGGTCGTTCAGATTAGCAATGCGCATAATCACGAAATTGAGGGTGCGTGTTCGTCAGTGTTCGTGCGCAGTGAAGGAAGAGGAGTAGGAGGAATGACTGACAAAGAGATCTGATCTGAATAATATGCGAAGATTGGTTCTGGCCTTGGGCCATGGTGAGCGGAGAGGAAGAGGAGGCAGTGTTTAATGGTAAAATCGTCATGTTTAGTAATTTAGTTTGTCGTAGTCATTGCTAAAATATCTCAAAATAAATATTCATTTATGTGCGCTGTGAACTGTGGGCATTTTTATACCTCATCTCATTAATATTTACAAATTTTTGCCTCTTTTATATCGTCAATGCTCGTTGTGTGCAGCAGGATAGAGCCTGCATAGCTTTGGTCCTTGACCAGATCGGCTGCATTTTGCAGCGATCGGAGCCAAATATTTGTAATTATATTTTTTTTTAAACGCTTGGAACACAAATACATCCTTCATATAATAACGCAAGCTATTTTTTTGTAAATCAGGTCGTTTTTAACGATTAATCATTGAAATGTTATCGAAACTATGCATACATTTGTTTATATTATTTGTTTTCAATTCTGCTTTTATTTTTAAATACATGACTTACATGAGATGTATTGTATACACACATTTAAGTACTGCGTCAACATTTTTAACTTTTCCATCTTTTTCATACAATTTTCTCGTAATTCGCTGAGAGGCGCCAATATAATTATTTAATCTTATTTTACTGAGGAGTTTTTTTTCGTGAAAAGAGACAACTTTCATACTGCTGCCTGAAGACCAAAATGCGTATTTCTTGCTCAGGATAATTCAATTACCATCGAAAAATACTTGGAAAATGGAATTTTCTCTAGACAATCTTTCCTGATCCTGATCCTACATATTATGATGCTTAAGATTTTTTGTCGCGTACAGTAATAATTAATAAGATTTAATCCATTGCTACATAAACAAAAAGCGTCCTGTTTCAGCTATTTTCCCTGTGAAAAAAATAAAAAGTTGTAACTTTACGCGTCGGTGTTAAAAAAAAAATCAAGTGATTTATATCAGGCGTCGTCATTTTTAAAAATTCATGTGAGTGTCGTTTGGTCCCAAAACACTTTCAATTGCATCTTCTAAATTTTGTTGAATTATGCGACACGGAAATAAATAAATAATGTTTAAAAAAAACGCATCCACTTTACTCTCAAGCATCGTAAATTTAATTTGCCCTTTGTGTCAATTTTTAATCCATGGTCCCAATGAAATAAATTAATTATTATTTCCTTGTATCTGTAAATTTTCCATGGATTATTTCAAAGAAATATAAATATACTTAAAGAAAAAATATTTTGGTAGGAAATGTTAGGAAACTTTTTCATCAAAGCAGTAACGCCTTATAAAATAAACACCTCCTCACCTGCTCCTCACTGAAAATCTCATTTTGGCACTTGTCTAATTTATGAATCACTGTTTGTCAAAATTAACAATTAAATTTAATCTTCATTATTTATATACTGCAATTAACAAACATGACCTGACAGCTCTTTGGTACAATTAATGTATTATATAATCAGAACGAGTAATAATATCCTGAGTGTTGGTGATAGTTTGGGGTGGGCGCCCTCGGCTGCGCGGTGGACGCGTGGTAGGCGGCCGCCGACGAGGGAGGGTAGTTTTGGTAGTTGGGGGGTGGCGGCGGCGAAATGCTCTGGTCAGGGGAGACCTGGACGCCGCGCGCCGTGCTCAGGTCCAGGGTGTGGTGCGCTGTCGGAGGCAGGTGGTGCCAGTGGTGGCGCAGAAGCTCCGACTGGTACGGGGGTGGCGACGGCGCCTGCGGGGGAGGCGACTGGCACCTCACCGGCTCCACTTCGTACATCAACCCTGCAGCCGCCACTGCTGCTCGGTGGTGGTGGTGGTGCAGGTGGGGCGGCAGCAACTCGGGGAAGCGCGCGTAAGTCCCTGCCGAGGGAAAGGCTGAGTTGCGGGACATGTCCAGACCCTGCTCTTGCTGCTCAAACACCATCTCGGGACTTCTCATCACTCGGTAGTCCGTCGTAATGTCAGGGGGCACAACCTGGATTTAAAGTTATCAATATTATATTAATAAGTAATTTTTTTATCAATTTTATTGTTTTACAGTCTAATTGTAAGTGAAACCAAGATTTTGGATTTTTTTTTTTAAATTATGCTTTTGCGTGGATGTAGAAATTTGTATTGCTATTATTTTTTAATATTTTTAAACTGGTGTAAAAGTAGAAGTCGCATGCATTTGATTGAAAAAAAGTGGAAAAAAGCAAAAAAAAAAAAAAAAAAAAAAATTATTATTAATTTAATAAATTTAGTCCCCTTTTCCAATAAATAGGGGATAAAAAATCCTTTCTTCAGCTTCTCTTATTAGCATTCTTTTAATTTTAATCAAATTAATTAACACAATTTGGGGCCTGATCCAATGCGCTCACCACATTTATGATAAACACAAAATTTTTATTAGTTTTGAAATTAATGAAATTTTCAAAAGACACTAATAAAACTCACCATATCATTATCATACTGCTTGTAACTCATGTCCAGTCCAGTTTCGGGAATGCGATTGCTCTTATTGCTGATGACGATGTTGCCGTAGTCGACCTCCTGCGGCAACTCGTTCGAGTGCATTCCGTTCAGTCTGGAAAGGAAGCTGTTGGACGATCCTGGTAGATTAGTGGAAAGACTCGAAGGGTCCATCGGAATGGTTTTCAGTTCGGCCAATTTCACGGTGAGATCTCTTTCAGCAGCGTCCAGGGCTGCTTCGACTAGAAGACTTGCACTAGGTTCTTGTCTTCGTAGCGGACCAAAATCGTCCGTCTCTTGACGTCGGAGGGAGCCAAAATCTGCACCCATTGAATTTGGACTTCTCCGCAGCTGAAATATTTGAATTGTAAAATTTTTGCATAATACAGATTATTTGTGTTGAAATCATACCGGATCTGGAAGGTCTGACGCGATTGATGTGTCGCCTGGGCGCAAGATTCGAGTGTATCCAGACAGGTCACTTCTTCTGATGGAGGAAATCTCGTTCCTCAAATTATTCACTTCCTCGCCCCACCTATTCTTGTCCATCAACATTTCTTGGTTCTCGACCACCACTTGCACTTGTTCCGGCTGAAGCATTTCTCCTCCATGCCAACGCTTTTCGTGCAGCATCATTTCGACAGGAGCCGCGACTGCCGCCGCCGTTGACACGATGATGTCACCCATCCACTTTTTGCTGGCCTTGCTCAGGATGGTGCCTGGTCGCGCCAAAAGGTCGCTGCTCATCATTGGCGAGTTGGTTGGACTTACAATTATTGGAGGAGAAGAGCTATTTGAGATAACTGGAAATAAAAATTTTCAATTTAAATTGATAAATCTTTGATTTAAAATTTAAAATATTTTTAAATATTTCAACAAAAAATTGTTTCCTCATTTTGACATTTTCATAATCAATTTTTAATTATTTTTTTAACTGGAATAAAAAAAAATCGTCGCAAAAGAGCATAAGACCAAGGCCAATTTAATATTGCTAAAAGTTACTTAAATTAATTTGGTTCGTTTAAAAATTACCTGAATCAGGTTGGACACTGCCAAGGTTTGATTCGAGCACTACCGAGTTGGTCTCATTCACAATCGCCAAATTGGAAGCGCGGCTGTTCTCGTCCTCTTCCAGAGAGGGTAAACTGGGTGACGGAGGGGGCGAGTCGTCACTGCCCGTTGGTGTGAATGGGGGGCTGATGGTCTCGTCCGGCTCTTGGTGCTGCGATTCGCTGCCACTCTCCGTCTGTCCGCCTGCGTACGCATCAAAAGTGTACGCCACGCACCTCTCGATCTTGGGCATGCTGTCGTCGGTGAAGCCGTGGACCTTCTTGTAATGGAACTGCAGGCACTGCTTTGTGGTGAACGCGGCCATGCAAGTGCCCTCCTTGCACCTGCAATTATTTATTATTTTCAATTTTTTTTATGCAGTCATCTAATTACCGAAAAGGTTTGACACCGGAATGTGTGAGCATGTGGATTTTCAAGTTGGACTTGTTCTGAAACATCTTTCCGCAGCGGTCGCAAGTGCACGCGCCAATCATGTCTTTGTGGTGCACCTCCTTCAGATGTCTTTGCAGTGCGGCTCTCGAGCCCAACAGCTTGTGGCACATTTTGCATTGGAACTCTTTGAGAACCTCAGCTAGATCTGAGAAAAGAGATTTTATATTTTATTTTTCTTTAATTAGTTTGTTTGCATACCACTGTGCATTCTTTTGATGTGCACTTTCAATTTTTGTGGTTGGCAGAATTTTCTGCCACAGAAATCACAGAGGGGCCTCGTTCGTTGTGGGTTCGCCGCACAGCCATAAGTACGATGCATTTCAAGGTAATTGAGGCGCAGGAAGAACTGCGGAAGTAAAAATTGATATTCAATGATAAATAATTCAGTAATATTTAATAAATTTGAATTTTTTAAATTTTCTACTTTTTTATCAACCCAATTTACTTTCAGTTCTGCAATTTTTTCTATAAACTAGAGCTTATAAAACTTCCAGATTTTTTTTTATGATGGAATATTTCTGTATTCTGAAGAAATTTTAAATATTATAGAAAGAGAAAAAAAATTTGGCAGCCCCTAATCTCTGCTGTTACTGTATAGAAAGATGATTTATTTTTCAACATAGATCCACAGACGGTCATGAAAAAAGGTGCGCCTGCAGGTGTAAAAGTTATGCACCACGCTAAACATGCCCGCCAACCAGGTTGCATACCCTCATATAATTCAGGCGCGTAACGTCAAAGATTATCTCTACCCATGGTCTTGAATTTTTTTTTATTATCCTCTAAATAATAATTGATTACTTTTAACTCACCTTTTTACAAAATTGGCACTGATAGGCTCCTTTTCCTCCATGCTGCTCGGCCGCATGCTTCATTATGTTCTCCTTGCCGAGAACAGAGAGGCCGCAGACCTTGCAGTGATACTTGCGTATCGTCAGGCTGAAGTTGGGGTCGTGGAAAACGGAACAGTGGATTCTGTAATACAGCGAATTGCTGAACTTCAAGTTGCATCCGCCGCAATCTAAAATAAAATTTTTTAATTTTCAATTTTTAGTTGAATTATTTTCCACTCACTGGTCCTCTCCATTTTCTTCTTGGACCACCCGGAAGCGGCGCTCTCCAACCAGAAGAGAAGCTCTGTGCCGGGGAGGATGATATTCAGGGTGACGAAAAATAGTTTTCCGTTGCGGACGATGGCGGCGACGTTCCTCTTTTCCCTGCTGGGCGCCGGTCGAATGTAGCGCAGCCAGTTGGAGTGGTCCTTGCCAATGGTGCTCAGGTAGAACTTGTCGTTCTCAGTGCACACCTCCCAGATGTCACGCATGTTGAAGTCGTCAGCGATGTCCATTTCTCGGATGCGTTCAGCGAGCAGCGGCCCGAACTGCGTCAGACGCTTCAGGATCACCCTGGCCACGACACTTGGCCCGTGCGTTGCGTCACGCTCCTCCAACTTAAGCAACGCAGAAGGCAAAGATTCCTCGGCAAAGCTTTTTCTTGTGCTGTCTGGCAGTGAAACCCATTCCGAGAGCGTTATGTCGTCTTTCACCTATAGTGTTTAAAAAATTATATTAAAAAAAAAATAACAAATCAATTATTTTTTATCCAGAGAAAAATTTATCATCAATTTGAAACTTAAATTATTTTATTAAAAACGTAAACCATCACAATTTCAAAGAAAACAATGATGAACTATTTAAAAAAAAACTTTGGGCTGATTTATTTTCAGCAATTTTAACTTAATTTATTTTACGAACCATTTGAATACAATAAATATTAAAACTTAAATTTAGTTGGAAATCTCAATTATAAAATATTTTTGGCATTACTTTCATAATAAAAAATATAATGCTATGTTCTAATTTTTGAATTACCTCCACGTCTGGATTATGCAGAGGGCAGTTGTCCTGGAAGTGTCTTGTGCTGCATTCAATGCACAGTTTCAGTTTGATCGCCACCCTGGGTGACTCAATTATTTGACTGGTGGGGGCGGCAACCACCCCTGGAAGCTCAGGGACCAATTCGGTGCTCAAAATCATTGGCACCGCCGGTGGGGGTAGCGGGGGCAGCGGAGAGGAGACGAAAGGCGGGAAGCGCTGGATTTCCGGCTCTGGTTGTGTGGAGGGCGCAACCACCTCCGGCTGAACCTCCTCAATCACGCAACAATCTGGAGAGACGGTCGCCTCCTTGGGAGGTTCAGGTACGCCATCCGCAGGCGCCTTTCGACTGTCAATTTCACTTCTGCAATAAATCTCAAACTGAGTATTTGCGAGTTTTGACGATTTTCTTAATTTCTCACCTTTTCTTATATTTCTTTTTGTGCTTCCGTTTGTGTTTAGACTCAGGTACATTTGGACTAGAAGAAGGTTCTATTTCTACAAAACCGTTACTTGTGTTTGGGGAAGAAAACTTTTGATCAAGTGCAGTCTCTATTTCATGAGTATCTCGTTTCACAGACGCCTCGGCCTCTGCTGCGGCGTGTTGGTGGTGTTGCTTAAGGGGTCGCTCGTCCGTGCTTTTGTCCCTGTGTTTGCGTTTCTTCTTTCCGCGAGACGAATTCGAGCTCTGATGAAAAAAAAATGTTAAAAATTTATCAATAAGTGGAGTATGTTCCTAATTTTTTTGTTGATAGAAATCTATGAATTAAAAAAAACCGCGACTTTAAAGATCTTGTATCTATACAAACACAGTTATAAAAAATTACAATTAGTAATTGGAATAATTAATTATTTCCCATTTTAAGTGGTTTCTTTGGGTTTTAAATTGTTAAAAAAAATATAAACAATTATTGTTAGTTTTGCATTTTCTTTAAAACAAATCCTCAGTTTTTAGAGCAGGAGAATTTAAAATTACTGTTCAATATTACAAGAATATACTAAAAAATTAATTTCTACCTTCTCACTGTTCATAAACGTAAGTTAAAAAAATTATCGATAATTTTCAATTTATTTTACCTTGTTAGTTTTGTTGTATATATATATACTAAATCGTTGACTTTGCAAAAAAAAAATTAGTTGACTCTATGCAATATCACAATGTCTTCCTCTCAAATAGAAACAATCAGTTTTGAAATCTGGTCACGTACCTTATTCTTTTTGTCGTGGTGATGTTTGTGATTGTCTTTCCACTCTTGCTCTGGAGGGTTGCTCGGCGCGTCTGCAGGTTCTTTGTCGAGGGCGCCTTGACCGTCATCCGCCTGCTGCTGCTGCTCCTTGGAGACTTTCTCTCCGCTACTGCGGTGGTGCTTCCTCTTTCGGTGGTGCTTGTGCGCCTTTTTGCCAGGGTGCGATTTGCTGCTCTTCCTGCTTTCGTGCTCGGTCGAGTGCGGCGTGCCTTTGTTCTCAACGTCCGTATGCTGGGCGTCGTCGTTTTTCTCCCTTTGTGTGGAAAGCAAAAAGAGAAGTACGCGATTGTTTCAAGACCGCAATAGAAATCCGAGGTTTTGTGCAACTTACGCGCAAGCAGGACTGTTTAGATCGGCGGCAGGTTGTTGCTCGGCTACAACTTCCTCAGCCGCAGACTCACCGTCCTCATCCAAATTCCCATTTTCTTCGTTTTCATTTGAAACTTGCTCCTGCGTGCTGTTAACAAAAGCAAGTTTGATACTTTTGGTTAACAGCTTAATTAAATTGTTCATGTTTGATAAATTTTATTAAATGAGTTTTGATCGTTTTTCAATTTAAATTAAAACGACCACATTCCACTGTAAACTAGTTTTATTATAAGTCTGTTTTACAACGTTAAGCAGTTTTCATAGCGCAAAATACATTCCATCTCACCAAAAATCAATATATAATCAAACATAATCAAGTGAAATTATTAATTATTTTTTATTCCTGTGAGGTGGTAGAGCGCAGAGCACAATGAGCGCGCGGCATGAGGCCGACGGGGTATATAGGAATATGGCGCGAAAGCCATTATTGATCGCTTTTTTAATGAGAGGGAAGAGTCTGCATGAGCGAGTTGCTAGGGATGGAACAAGCGGGCGGGCGAGCGAAAGTGGGTGCATGATTCACATCCGAATCTCTTCCTCTCTTTCTCTAACCACATATAACGTCGCTAGCAACCCTCTAGTTTTGATTATAAGGAGACCTAGAGCTTGTGGTTAATTCTTTCAGTCACCCTATATAAGCGTGGAAACTTTTGGAAATTTCCTTATTGTTGGTCCTTATTAAAAGGAACAAGTATAAAATGTATGAAATTCAAACAAATACTGCAATAAAAGTAATAAACTAAAATTAAAAACTAAATGAATTTATAAAGTATTTTTTTAATAGCCAACATTTAGCATTAAAATTATTTCACTTAAATCGATTTGAAATACAATGCTAATAAACCTAACATTCACAGCAATTTAAATTTGTCATCGAATTCCTTCATAATTATTATGGAAAATTTCTATTGCTGAAAATCGTATCTAACTAAGCTCTTGAAAATCGGGTTAATGTATTATTTTGTTTCAGTACATTTCCTTTAAAGCTGTAACAACTCCAAATATCCTAGAGAATCAAAATGCTTCCTACTATAGATTTAATTAAAAAATACTAAAAATCGTTAACAAGGTGAAAAAGTGGAAATCAAAAATTAAAATTTGAATCAAACTATCTCACGAATTACAATTAAAAAATTTTGATTGTAGGTCAGTGGAAACTTTAAGGTGGATAGTCTCTGACCTTTTGTCGTGTGTAGACTCGGCGAGGTCGAGCAAATGCTGCACAAGCTCAATGTCACTGTCGAAGCGGAGGCGCCGCTTAAGGTCGCTCCACCTGAGTGCGTTGCTGGCACCGACGTAGATGCTCTTGACAAGCCTCCCGCCGGCGGCACCGGACACCGTCCGGGCGTCGCTGCTGCTCGACTTGCGCGGCATGCTGCACGCATAGCTACCCTAAAGCAGCAGTTCCTCTTGAAGGCCTTGAAGACCGGCCGCCTGGTGGTCGTCGGCACCGAGCCGCGTCGTCATCTCGAATGCGCTATCGTCTTTATTCGGCCAGGCAGGGCACGGCGCCGAAGCTCCTCTCGGGGCGGCGCCCCTCCCTCGCCCTCGTCGTCGCACGCCGGCACATCGACCCGTTCCCGCACAACATGGCCACGTTCCTTCTCACAGCGCGCTCTCCTCGCTTTCGATTGATATGTATATTTGGAGTAAAAAAATCAAATGCCGCCGTCTCTCGGCAGACGCAAAAAAATCATCGCCTTCGTTCTATTTACGGCGTCCGATTGAGCAGACGGTGAGGGGGAGTCGATCCTGACCCCACAACGTCAGCCACATTCGTACACATCTCGAGACGCGCTCTCTCATTTCATTTCAGCCGCTTTAATATTCTATTATCTTTAAAGAGCGCCTTTAACAACTCTCCCGAAAACAACCCCTTTAAGACTTACTGAGCTACTCCATAATTTTGACTAGCAATCTAATCGTCCTAATTCATTTAATTGCATAGTAAATTTAGAATTTTTAAAGAAAAAAAATGGTATAAAATATCACAATTTGTACTCCTTATGAATAGTTCCTTTTAAAAATATCATGCCGGTTACTAAATTTAGTAGACTGACAAGAAGATATTGCAAAATACATTAAATTCATCAATTTAGCTTAACAATGGTTATGTACAAGTTTCAACTATGCTTCATAGTTATTTTAAATTTCCAATCCTCTACAGAATAAAATTGAGTTATAAGAATCCAAAATTATCAAATATTTTTCAAAAGCAAAACTATTTTTATTAAACTGCCAATTGAATATTATATTTCATTCCGGTTTTACGTTTCTGTTAGAGATTACCAGAGATTACTAAATAACAGTTATTTGTTCGTTCTATTAAATACAAAAATTTCAATTGAAAATTTTAGCTAGCCATTATTTATAACTTTTGAGCCACTCTTATTCAAACGCGCATATTTTTTATGCGCAGAGGTGAAAATTTATTAAAACCAAAGATATTTATTTTTTACATGATTTAAATGTCTTATTATTTCAACGCTGCAGCCTCCTTTTTTTATTTGATTTGGCCCGTTCGGCCGCGTAAAACCAGCTGCATTGGCCGTTTCCGACGACTTTCGATCCTTTCGCTCGCGCGCGGATGTGCGCGTCTAAATAAGCTGAAAGCTGAAGCTCTCTTTAAAAACATCCATGCAGGAAGCTCTCTTTAATCCAGTTGTGTAGAATCGCAACAGGTATTGAAGATGATAGCTCAATACAAAGCAAAGCCGGAAAATGATTAGACACACCTGCGCAATTCGTTGATCTTATTTATTTATTATAGAGTAGGACCAGAAAGTTCGTACTGAAAATTGAATGTGACATTTTATAGAGGAATGTTTTTCCACTTTTCGCCAATTTCAGCCAGTTCAATGCAATTGAATGAAACGTCAATTCATAAATCAAATTTTTAAAGATTTATAAAGTGTTCTATTTTATCCGTGTATTTTTGGAAATTTTTATTAAAATTTTTAAACAAGAAGAAATGTGAAATATCAAAATTTGAATTTTTGTGTTGTTTCTATTAAAAAAATCTGTTTATTCCTTGATATTGGTGAAATTCAAATGCGTCGAAAGCATTTGCACAATCATGAAAAATTTATCGCTTTGAAAATTTGAACGTGGGTTATATTTACTAGCATATTCAGCATCTTTCAACGAAAACACGGAATAAGCCACTCTTTTATCGATCTCACCCACATTACCAGCACTGCACTCGCACTTAATGTATTATAGTAATATAGCGACTGCGCGAAGCCATTGATTTTAGTCTCGGGAAGCGACGAGGGAGATGCTCCTGAACACTCCTTGGTCCTTTCGGTTGCATTCAAACGCTTTCGTTCACAAATTCAGATGTAAAATGCAATTTATTATTCCCACGTTAGTCACTAAATTTACTCGAGTCCCCTAAGTTCAGTTGCATATCTAAAAGAATTTGTCAGCATTTTATAACATTTGCAATGCAGCAGCATAAATGGGCATCTCGAGCCAAAACAAAACTCGCAGTCAAACATATTTCTAGTTCATACACATCGCTCTATAGGTTAATTCCCTTGATCTGAACAATAAATAATGAAATAGTCCTTATAAAACTCGTTGAAAATTTATGAGATTTAATATTTTATGAAAAATATTATAGATTTGGGCATTGGACAGCTTCAGAAAATGAGCGCAAATTGAAATTTTACTCAATTTATATTTAGGCCACATCGGGCCATATGGTATTTCTTTAAATCTATCTAGCTCATTTTATTATTTCCAATAACGCTTCTGTTTCTGTTCTGAATAGAGATATAGACATATTTCAAAATAAAGCGTGAAATGCTGAATCTTTTGTGTTTTCTAAGTGTGTGCTTACAATGGTGTGGAACATTTATTAAATTGAAACCATTTTTAAAATTAAAATTTATTTTCTAATTTTTATTTGTGCAAAAAGCACAAAGTTATTTTTTAAGTAGCCTTTTGCTCATAAACAAAATGCACTTTTCATAATTTTGCTAATTTTTCTAATATTTGTTTTTTAATTATTGAGAGAAAAAGTCTTTAGAATTTTATGAAAAAATTTAAATCATGTTTTAAAAATGAATAGAAAATTTAATTGTATATTTAATAAATAGTTTGACATGCATGAATGATTGAATAATTATATGATAATAAATATAATATGATTGACAATTTTTTCAGATATAATTTTTTTGCTGCATTTATCTGCTTTTGCCGCTTTCATCTATAAAGTTGGCATACCTGTTCGTTCCCATCCGGCCTCTCTGCTCGTCCGTCCTCCATATTGGATTTGCCGAAAATTCAGTCATTTCAGTCGGTGATTCGATCGGCTGAGCAAAAATGGCATCGAAGAGGATCGCTCAGTCGGCGGTGAACTGGGCCGCCCTGGCCGAAAGGGTGCCCGAGAGCCAGAAGATCATGTTGTCGTCTTTCAAGTCCAAGTCCGACAATTATCTTCGACGGTAAAACTTTGCCCTTCCAGCAGGTCGGAAAGTCATTTAAAAATCATTTTTCAATTTCAGGGTTCTTGCCAACCCTGAGGCCCCTCCTAAGATCGATTGGGCATTCTACAAGAGCCGCATTGCTTTGCCCAGCATGGTGGACACTTTCCAGAAACAGTACGAAGCGCTGAAGGTGCCCTACCCTGCCGATAACTATTCAAGCCAGGTCGACGATCAGGCCCAGAAAGCAGTAAGTAGAAAGGAGTTTTACTAATTCAAAAGCTCGAAAAAAAAATTATATTTTTCTTTTTAGTCGGCCAAAATCAAGGATTTTGTTAAGGAGTCCAACAGCCGTATTGAGGCTGCTCAGGCTGAGGTGGCCAAGATCAACGCCCTTCTGCCCTACAGTGAAATGACCATGGAGGAGTTCTACGAAGCTCATCCTGAGCATGCTATTTCCGCTGCCAACCCCACTGCATGGCCTCACCATCCTGAAGATCAGAAGGCAGCAGAGAATGTCGAGCATCACTAACTTGATCGATAGAGTGAATGATTGTACAGAGAAGTTGTTAGTTCCAGTGTATGAAATAAAACCGAATTTGGTTCAACGTTAATTTATATTTATTAATTTAAAAACTATAATCTCCGTTTCACACAATAGCATTAATGCTTTATTATTTAAAAATTTAGTTTTGCATGGCCAAATTCTAGGAAAATTAAAAAATGAAACATTTTAAATCGACTGAATACATTTATTTCATTGAATGATAGTTGTGCAAGTTTCTTGCTCTGTCTAATAAAAAGAAACAAGACTAAAACCGTTGGCCTGTTGTAAAAGCCAAAATCTCAAAAATAATAAAATTCATGATTTGCAGTGAGACAACAGCACTTCAAAGTTTCGCAGCGACACACGTTTACACAGATGGGAATGATAGATAGAGAGAGAACATAGATCAAAACTAAATATTGTCCATTTGAACTTTCACAAAGACTCCTTCTTTCATGTTAAATCGAATAAATTAAATAAATTTAATTTAATATCCCTCGTTGAACCCTCCTCCATTGCTGCGTGTGCCATAAGCAGTTCCCGCATAGTAGCTGCCTCCTCCCGTGGACCCATTGGTACCGTTGCTCATCAACGGTTGTGGTCCTCCAGGTCCGTTCCTCATGCCCGAGGCACTACCGTTGGAATTTCCTCCAGTTGGTCGCCCTCGGTCCATGCGGCCCTGGCCCTGATTGCGGTCCCGGGAATTGTCGCGCCAACGACCTCCTCCACCGCCGCCTCCTCGTCCACCTCTACCAGAACCGCGGTCTCCTCCTCTGCCGCCTCCACCACCGCCCCACCTGTTGCGACCTAAAAAATAAACACATAGGAGGTGAGAAATTTTGATTTCTTCAGTCAACATTTACATTTGGAAAAATTGTGTAGTTATAATTGTATATGTGTAAGAAATTAATCTTTGTATAAATTGAGTAGCATTCAAGAAAAATATGTGTAACAATGCTTGAGTAGATCATATTTTATTCAATCCTTACCCATTCCTTTAGACATGCTGGCCATCTCGTATAGCTTAGGGTTGATCACTTGGTTTGCTTCTCTAAGGACGGAAATCAGATCATTGGCCTGTTTGGAGTTGTTTGGTGTGAAGAAAGCATATGCTGTTCCTGTCTTGTCCGAGCGTCCTGTGCGACCAATTCGGTGGATGTAGTCTTCCGAGCAGTTGGGAAAATCAAAGTTGATCACGAATTTGACATCTTCCACATCTGTTTTCATGCAAAAAAAACTTGTATGTTAAAATGAGCTCACAGAAGATGATTCCCTGTAAGAGGAATAAAAACAGTAGAACTCCATCTTCATGCTTTTTTCCACAACAGTATATTAACTTAATGAAAGATTTTAAAAAGTTCCGAATTTTAAATATTGTCAGGCTAGTTAACACAAAATACTTTGGAAAAAGCCAAAGCCAATGTTATGTACATACTGAAGAAACAGGGCACAAAACACAGAAATTCTACTGCACCAATAACAGCAGCTTACAATCAGTCCAGCAGCCGTTTTAGCTGAGACCGTTTGTGTGCTGTATGAATAATTTAACTTGCGTTTAGTCTATTTGTTTATTCCCGAATTCGAATTTGTGGGACAAGGTCGCCAAGTAAGAAGGTTTCATTCGATTTTGTTTTTCTGCTAGAGGCAAATTGGTTGGATTTCATAATTACCTCCTTGGACCTTGTAAGCGAGAGTCGGTTGCTCCTGAAAGCTGCTCGCTCCGGTAATTCCGTTCCCCAGGCCTGCAGGGCTGAGTGCGATTGACCCCCACCCCCATTAACCGCCCTGCAGTGGCTACGTGGTTGGATCCAGCTGACCTCGTACGGGCAGAGGCCGGCCAGCCGAGAGCGTGCAATCTCCTCCGAGGAATTGAAGCCAGCAATTCCCTGGCTGAGTTGCACCAATCAATAGCTCGTGGAGCTTCTCTCTACAAAGCGCCGGTGAATCGATGAAGGGCCCGTGCGCGAGGCAGGCCCGGCATCATCACCACCACTCGGCCAGAGGCACAGACTCATAAAGTGACACTCGCCGGACGGGTCAGTGTCGCTTTGCTTTTTAGCTCGCTAGTGCCTCTGAAAGAGAGAAGACAAAATACCAGACTGGGTTAGACGATGTTAATTAATACGCTAGTTAATATTAAACCACACTTAAAATTAATCGATAGTATGCGTTCCACTCCATCCCTCCCAGGGGTATATTCAAACAACCCAAGTGAATCGATCTTCACAGGACCAATACAATACATGCTGAACACAAAAACAAACTTCTAACTCTGCGGTTTTGAGCGGGGAGTGAATATGCATAAATTATTAGCGACATCATTGGGTACGATTGTGTGGTTCCTTAAATCCAGTCTGGTGACGACACCACGCAGCCTGCCTGGGACCAAACTCAAGCAGACCAATCAGCAACAAGCTGATCACCCCTAAATATTTATTTCCAAAACGTTTCCCCCTCGAGACAAAGGCCACCCTTTCACAACTCACCAAGTCCACGGGCAGCAACATCTGTTGCCACTAAGATGTTTATTTTTCCTGTCCTAAAATCTGCAATTACAAATTCATATTCAATGCTTCAGTTACAAAAAAATTACTATTGAAATTACCAGCAAGAACCCAATCTCTTTCGTTTTGTGATTTGTCTCCATGAATGCCACTGGCATTCCATCCGTCACGCTGGATGCTACGAGTGATTTCGTCCACCTTACGTTTAGTTTCTACGAACACAATGGTTTTGTTCTCCTTCTCAGCACCAATTTCAGAGAGCAACTGCAACAATCTGATAGAGAAATAATAAATACACATCACTGTAAATATGAGTCTGATGCATCAATTCAATTATTGATTGATAGAATATTGAGTGTCGAGAATTATAAGGAGGTTGTCAAGCTGTGAATGCTTGAACTCCGAAGGCAAAATTCTCTTTTTCATATTCCCCAAAAAAACCAAAACGTATCCTGGTAGAATAATGCAGAGACACAATAGGTTTTGGGGAAAACTATAACTTTTTTATAATACTGAAGCTTAAGCATTTGATTTGTCTGTGTCAGTCAGAAATAAATCTTTATAACTTATTAAGTAGAAAACTTGATTCACAACTCACTTTCTTTGCTTTTCATATTCCTGGCATACGTCAATAATTTGCAAGATGTTGTGGTTGGCAGACAGCTGCAGAGATCCAATGTTTACTTGAATGTAGTCCTTGAGAAACTCCTCGGCCAAAATCCTAACTTCCTTTGGCCACGTGGCAGACCACATCAAGGTCTGTCGGTCAGGTCGGATCTGCTCCACGATTTTACGAATCTGGGGCTCAAAGCCCATGTCAAGCATGCGGTCAGCTTCGTCCAGAACAAGGTAGGTGCAACGACGAAGATTGGTTTTTCCACACTCAAGGAAATCGATCAAACGGCCCGGAGTAGCAATCACTATCTCAACACCACGTTCCAGGTCTCTTGCCTGGAACAGAGTCAAATCCCAAATTTAAGCAAACGCAAAAATTTAATCATATGTTAAAGATTTTACCTGTGGTCCCTTTGGCGCTCCACCAAAAACGCACGTGTTTCTAACTCTTGAGGAGGATCCGAACTCAAGGGCTACCTGCTGGATCTGTTGTGCAAGTTCTCTGGTTGGAGCAAGCACCAGGGCAATAGGCCCATCGCCCCTATTCAAACGAGGCTGGTTGTTGATGTGGACAATGGCTGGCAAAATGTAGGCCAAGGTCTTGCCCGACCCCGTCTGTGCAATGCCCACCATGTCTCTGCCACTCAGGGCAATTGGCCATCCCTGCCCTTGAATTGCAGTCGGCTCAGTGAAGCCCTGCCTGCGAATTTCATTCATGACGTAGTCAGGAAAGTTGCCTTCATCAAAAAACTGGTTGGGAAAAGGCACAGCACGCCCTTTCACCGTGACTTCCTTAACGTTGCGGTATTGTTCCACTTCAAATGATGTTCTAGAACAAAATATATTTTTAAAAAAACGTGTTCAAAAAAAGAGCAGCGATGAAAAACCTGTTAAGAAGTTTAGGATGTGGTACGTAGAAATCTTTCCTGAAGGGCATTAAGGACTCCATGTCCCATCTAGGTTTCCTCAGCCGTTCTCCAGGCTGCTTGCCCTTGTTTCCGCCGCCAAATGAACTGCGGCCGAAACCACCTCCGCCTCCGCCGCCCCCGCGACGGTCATCCCGGCCTCCACCGCCAGAAAATCTCCCCCTGCTCCCCCTGTCTCTGTCGCGGAAAGCCCTGAAAAAGATAATAATAATGCATAATGAAACTTAGCAACACCAAAGCAGTAAATGAACGCTAATGCAACATTTCTGACGTCAGCCTAACAAGCGAATGGCGCATGATTTCTGGATCATGAAAAAACTGAAAAGCTTCAACGTTAAAGACTCAAATTGAAATTTCACTTGAAACTTTCGCATGAAAGGAAAATATTTAAACACTATTTAAGCTCATAAGTTACTCACATGTCTAATTATTGACGAAACTAAAGTCGAACAGTATCACGCGACGAAAAACAAGATGCCGGAGGTCTCGAGAAGGAAAAGTAAAGGAAGTGACGTCGAATGTAATGCCTCCCACCTTACATTTTGAAACATTCACTGCGATTCGTCAGTTCTTCACTCTTGAGTGGAGGCACAAACGCGGGAAAAATATAAAATTTCGGATAATATTTGACGGATGAATAAGTTGTAAACAAAAACTGGCGAATCAGTAGCTTTCTAATTATTTCGCAAAAATTCTCAGGTTTCAGACAATTTTTAATTTATTTTTTCCTCTATAAAAAAATGCTTTCATTCTTCCTTTTATTATCGTTCCATCTTCATTGTTTGATCATATTATGTATTTTTATTAGGTCTCCCGTCTCCCACAACAATGAGTCAAATTTCAAGCAAAAGAGTTACATTTTCTGAGAGAGGACAAACAGCAGGTCTCGGCAGATCAAAGACAGCAAGAAGTAAATCACCCTCGAAAAAATCCACCACTCAATTTGCTGGTGACTCAGTTGAATCTTCACGAGGCAAATCAACAACATTTAGATCAAGCAAGGAAGCCAGAAAATTGCTAATAAGAAACTGTGATCGACCCTCTGCAAAACCCTTTGTTGAGAGACCAACAATAAAACCACCAAAAGAAGATGAGCACGCACAACCTCCTCGTGCCGTAGCTGTTTCTTTGGAGCAACTTCCACACACTATTCCTGTAATGCAAAGCAACTTGGATACTGCTAGGAAGATAAAAGAATTATCCGAAATGTCACTTGATACAGCTGCTACACATATAAAGGAGTTCCGAATATCAGAGGAAGAAGTACTTCAAAAGGTTTAACCAATATTTTTTTAAAGTATTATGTAAATTTTATACAAAATCTACCACTCTAGGTGGCTGCGGTTGCTCTTAATGTGCCGTCGTCGGAACGTCAATTCAGTAACCTGGTTAGTGTCGACTTTCCCGAAAGCCAAGTGATTAGAAGACCAAGATCAGGGTTTGTTAAGTCAAGGGAAAAGGTTGATTCATCACCTTGCTTAGATCATTATTTGACAGAAAGACCAGCCAATACTAAAGTATGGCCAAAATTTTCCCCAATCTCCATATCTTTCCAACCAATAGACCTTTATGACGGACGATCTGTTCTAAAAGCCAAGCATTTACTGCAAGAAAAAAGCAAACTGTTACTATCCTAGTTGAATAAACTTACAATATCTTTTTAGCTAAAATGACTAGAATTTAATTTATTCATATTTCAACTGAAGAAATAAATCGACTTTAAAACTTTTGATAAATCGAAGTCTCCTTTTGGTGGCACTTGAAGTAGGACGTCGTTTAGTTTCTGAGTGTCTGCTAACAGCTCCCTAAATATTACATCAGTTATTTACAAGAAATAATAATAAAGGAAATCATACCCATGTGCCATATTACTGCCAAATTTGTCAAATAAAAATTTGGAAAGATCTTCTAAAATTGGCTGACTGTGAAGTGCAACAAATTGTTTCCGGCAAATCTGATTGATATATAAAATTATTTAATTTTGCTTTGAATTTTAGAGTTGAAGAAACTGACCTCATTCATTTTGTCCACAGTACTTGGATGCGTCCAAAAGCAATCATGTACAGAAGCAAAAGTTATTCCCTTCTGTTCACAATGTAAAGAGGTTAGCATCATATGGCTCGAATCCAGAGAGTGAATAAAATTGGGAGGGAATGCGTTTTTCTGCTTCACAGTATTTGGTTGGCTATAAAATATAAAAGTGAGTAAATTTCAAGGATCAAAACTGCAAAAAAATAAAATACCTGAACGAATCCATGTTGAAAAGACTCTGGATATATTTAGTGCTAGAATTCGAGCTCATTTCAGGAGCCTTGGTTTCCTTGATGTATGGCTGCACAACAGGGAGTCCAAGTGGAGTCACCCATTCAACGTTTTTCGATTTAATCCGTGAAATAAGTCGCGCACAGTCAGTGAGCCAATCCTAATCAAAATGTGTTGTTTAATTTTTTTTCAAACTTTGCCTGTAAGTTTACTTGGATTTCTTTAGCGGATGTGAACAACGACCCTAAACTAGCAAAAGTTTTTGATGAAAGGTAACTGGAGGCCTGCCAAACCATGTCCTTTGGAAAATTGTCTAAATCTGGAAAATTTAAGATTGATAAGGGTGACTTTGAGTAATAGTTCTCAGAACCTTTCAGTTGTTTAGCTATTTGTAGGCGAGCACCATATCGTGTTACTCCGTACACTGTTGTCATCACAGTCTGCTTGATCACTTTGCGTTCAACAAAACCATTTAGCACTTGTGCAATTTGCACTCCTTTTGCAGCATCCTCTGCCCGCTCTTGTTCAACCTGTTTGGATTTTATTTTTGTATTTTAAGATTTGGATCTATACACAAAACATTTACCAAAGCAACTACACAGCTATAGACATCTTGCGGGATGTCAGCTGGTGACAGATTGACACTCAATGCTCCTGCAGTGTCCCTACCCAGGGCAGCATAGTGCTGAAGACCATTGCAGGAGCCGTCTTGATGAATGGGAAAGCTGGACACATAATTCTCTGGATTGGGAGAGCGAACTGCATTGCTTATTTCCATGCAGGCAGCCAGAGTTTGCCATGGCTCATCAGATTCCATCCACCATTGTCTTCCCTGTTAACATGAAATTAAGGTGTAAAAAGCTGGAAATTTGTAAAATTCCTAGTTAAAATCAAACCTCCACGGGATTATCTGCTGAGTCAAGAATTTCAGGCATCATTTCGTTAGCGTACTTGAGTCGATCTGCTTTTGAGTTTTTTTTCTTTAGTCCAGTCAAATTTATCACATGAATTTTCAGCCAGTCCAATCCATGCTTTCCAAGCGGTTCCCCTTTTGCAAAACACAGAATGCTCCGAGCCAAATCTGATCCCAAGTGGTTCAAGTGGGGAGAGCAAGGATAAACTCTTCCTCTAAAGTCCATATTGTGAGGAAACCAAAATATATCTTTCCGGTACTAATGTTTGAATTAATGACATATTGGTTTGTAGGCTTACAATTAAACTTACGTGATTTGCCAAAGACAGTTTGTAAAGTGCATCACACCACAAGCTGTACATTTCGGCCTTGTGGCGCCGAACCGCCAGTTGTTGCTTATATACTTCATATTTTTTGTTTTCCACCGATTCAGCTGTTTCAGCTGTTGTTTGATCAAAACCTGTAAATGCTGTCGGTGGTTCTGGTACGTCCAGCTTTGATGAACCACCAGAAGTAAAAACCTTCAATATAACGTCAAGCATCTAAAATAAATACAAAAAGATCATATTTTCTTTACAAACCATTTTACAAGAGTAAACTTACTGGTTCGTTTACTTTCCAGGGAATAGATCCAAGTTGGTTTAAGGAGTCAAAGGCAGGATATATTTGCTGAACTGGTGCTTTGTCCATTCTATTCCATTGAAGGTAAGCATGTAGTGGTAATCTATTTTGTATTTAATCTATAAATAAGCAAATTGATAGATAGGAATTAGGCAACATACCTCACGATTTCCGTGCTTTTTATTAAGTATCCACCAAAACGGATTGATGTCCATGGAACTGGCGGGCTCAGCATTGGTACATCAGACGTAGAAAATTGTAGCGATTCTGGAGCTGCACCCCGAAACAGTTTTGACACAACAGGATGAGGCTTGACTTCTTCCCTACTGAACTTCCCAGTGCATCGGTATAGCGAGTAAAAAGCAGGAAGGATGTGCCTGAATAATATTACAAGATATTGAGTTGGAACATAAGTTTTAGCCATTAAGATACTTTTCACTGAAATTGGGTTTTAAAAGATGCACATCTATTTGTATGTCACATAAAATAATTTTGTACAAAAACTTTCCGACTCTTAACTGAAGGTAGTTGGGCCACACCTTTGACATAAGTTGCTGAAATATAAGGAGGACAGTTTTGCATGTATTTTAAACACCTTACAACCATACCACCGAGGAATTTTCTGCAAATTCTTGCATAAGTTCCATCCATTTCACTCTGGGGTTGCTAACTGTCTCCGAATTGTTTTCAGCAAACCAGTTGCAATACTCTTGATAGATCTTCCCCGTCATTTCAGTAATGCCTGCATTTGTTTTCCACAGGGCCTGATACCTGTACCAAACAGAAAATAGTTTACAAAACTGTATTGCCCGTGTTGAATATAAATTTCTTAAACAAACCTCCCCATTACTTCACTGCCCAATTGTTTGTAAAGCAAATGCATAGAATTGCTGTATGACTCCGAACCTTCAGCAAGATTTCTAATTTCCTGAAATGTAATTTGATTTTTTTTTTTTTTTTTTTATGTGCTGCTAAAAAGATAATATTACCCTTAGTATGATGTCAACGTAATCGTCTGCAGGCAAGATTTTCAAAAAAGGATAGATTGTCATCTTTAATGATTGATTGTGAGTTTGCTGAAGGGATTGTAATTCCCTATAAAAAGCTTTCTGCGCTTTTTTTTTCCAAGTTCCTAGCTGCTCGGCCAAAGTTGCTCTCTAAAATTTAATGAAATGTTTTTATCTTAAAATTTTATTATAAAGTTATTTAACATACATAAAAATTGGTCACTTCAGCAGGCTGGGTATTATTCTCTACACTTTTCACCATCACACTTCCTTCTCGCTCCAAGTTAAATTGAATAGCAGCTTTCTCTTGCACATCGGCAGCAGTTAATACGTTTTTCAATCGTTTTGGATTTTCAAGCTGCAATATTCTAATTTAATTCCCTTTTTTACAAACCAAGATTACAAATACTACCTTCTGAGGATCCAAATCCTTAAGTAATGGGCAGCTGTAACCCATATTTTCAGCCTTCGGTTTCGGTACAAAATTTTGATCCAGTAGCAGACAAGATTTGAGGACCATTTCCCTTTGATCCTTTAGAAAGTTTGCTGAATCAAACAAGGATTGCATGTTTATACCCTGCAATGTAGAATAATAAGATTAATTTTTAGTGCCTTATAATTTAAAACTTTACATGGCTTGTCATTTGCCTTAACCACTCTCTGAGTTGCAGATCAGATCGGAAATTGGTTCCAACTCTTCCAACACATTCAAAGCAAGCTATGTATGAGTGCACATTAGGATTCAATTTTTCATATTTCATGATGTCCATTAACTCGCAAACTTTGTCGAAGTTTCCCTGAGTAAAACTTTAAAAAAGAAAGTTGAAAATTATTAAAAGACTGTTTACCCTTCCAGCATAACCACGTAGTAGTGTATTGTATAAATTGATATTAGTGAGTTTTCCGATAGTAGGACGCTCTTGGCGATGTTTTGACACATGGCTGTTGAACACGCTAAACGCCTTATTCAAAAATCCACAAGAAACCTGGATGTAATAAGACTTTGAGAAATGAAACATTGAAACTATCAACATTAATTTACGCAGACGTCCAAGTAGCACAAGAGGCTTTCAGATGTTGACTCCGTATGCAACAGAAATTCTTGATCTTCTAGAGGGTTTTTTACGAGAGCAGACTTATCAGCCTTTTTTGCAGACTTGGAGGACCTGCCATAAACGCATAATTTTGTATTGAAAATTTTATACTAATTTTTTTATCCCTATACTTTTTAATAGTTCCCAAATTAGTCAATGACTTTATATGTATTTCGAATGCATTGTTGTTATTGGTGACTAAATCCTGATTTGTGTTATCAAGAGTGGATATGGAAGCTTCATCTTCTTTATTTCTTTCCCCCTTTTTCTCTGTGTTGGATTCTAAGTTTTTCAATAGCTTGTTTACTTTCATTTTTCCCACGGGTTGTCTAGTTTCCTTGCTACTGTTTCCATAGACTGTAAATTTCATAGATCAATTAATATAACGTGCCTTTTTTAAATTGGTCTGAATTGAATATCTGATAAAATAATCAAGGATGGCCGCTGACACTGTAATCTGCGATCTTGAAATGGAAAAAATGTGAGATCGCTATCTCAACATGTAGCTATCTTTTGCGGTAAGTTTTTTTTTCTTAAAAAAAAAACACATCATCGGTTTTAAAAGATTCGGATTTCAGTCCTAACAAAAATGTACTTTGTAAATAAGAGGTCTTTGTTAAAAAACTTTCAAATTTCTCTAAATGACAGATACTTGAGTTTTTCTTCCAGATTTAGAATTAAATTCTCTCAGATTAAGCATTTTATGTAAAATCTCTTTCTGAGCGTGATAGCAAAAAGATCACAAATGATCACCTCATTTACTTTTGTGATTGCGATCAACATTAACACACACAAAAATGGTGCGATCGCGATAAGATCGCGATTGCAGATCACTTTAGCGATTTTTTCCATCCTTGAAAATAAATTATTATTTTAACATTCATACGTAATACATATAATAACAAAATTACCTGATAGAATTTCAGCATAATTAGCCCTGTCAGTATTTTGTTTGGTTGCTTGCTTTTTATCATCAGATTTAGCCTCTGGTGATTGCAAGGCAAATGAGCTGGTATGGATAGGTTTCCCTGTAAAAGATCAACCAAAAATCAAAAGTTAGTTTAAGATCAAAAGTATGTAATAATTAATTACGAGAAACTTCCAACCGCATGAGCGCCGCATTGCAATGAGAGCACAATTTTTGAAAGGTTTCTTCCCTGACGAATGAACTTATGGTCTTGATTTTGCAGTAGCTGAAATTTCTTGATTTCAAGATCCGATACATTTCGAATACGTGAAATAGTCTTGAGAAAAACACAAAGAATTGCCAAAACTCATGCCCTCTTCAACAGGATATGGCCATGTTTTAATTTACAAATTACAAAAACAACACAGGTGCGGAGTTGCGATCCTCTTTGGTGTGAAACACATGTGAATTTTGAATTTTTGAAGCTCACAACCTGCGCAGTGAGCACAAAAATTTGCTGTGCGCAAGTATGACGTCATTTTAAGATGATAGCAAAAAAGTTAAAAAAGTTGCACTCCACAGTGCACTGCACCAACATCACATCACACTAGACTACAGCCAAAAAATACATGAAGTACGATCCAAAGCTTTCAATAAAAATTATATAAAAAAATATTGTCTGTTTAAAAAAAAACCAGCAGATTGAAAACATGACATATTACTGATATAATTATCTAGTTTGAATTTCGCCGTAAGAGGTCTCTGGCAGAGCACAAAATCGTGACGTCATCCTTGATAAAAGACCTTTTTCATGACTTTGCCGCCATATTGGAGTCTTGACTTCCACTTCCGGTCCAGCCGCATCCCACCTACAGCGATCGGGCAGTGACAGTGTCGTTTTTATTTATGTTTTTGTGAAATTAGGACGGTTCTGTCTCAAGAAAATGATCTTGCTTGAGATAAACAACAGGATAGTTGAAGAGACTCTAGTGTTAAAGTTCAAAAACGCGCTAGCAGGGTAAGTTTGCCTCGAAGTAGCGACGTAAAGTGGATCGACCGGCGAGGCAGGGCGGATCATCATATGAGACGACTGCCGCTGCTGTCTCATTTACACTCCCTTTTTTGCCCGTGACTCATTCTCGCGTTGCAATTACAATTACAAATTGACGCGTAGCGCTAAAAATTTTCGGCATTGTGCCGTGTAAGCCGATTTATTCGACATACTTTCTTTAAAAGTGGGTTGGGCCGCCTTGCAATCGTGAAAAGCGAGAGCTTTGTTTCTTATCTTGTGAAGGAACTGCCGTTTCCTGATAAGATTCCATTTCTCAAACCGTAACTCAATTTTAAAAACACGTCGCACTACGGAAGTAGAGACCGAACCCTAAAATAACACCTTTAAATCCTCTTAATCTATGTTTTTCTTTCCAGACACAAACCTGAATCAATAGACATCACAGTTGCGGACTTTGATGGCGTTTTATTTCACATTTCCAATCAGAAGAATGACAAAACGAAAATCATTGTAAGCTGTTTTTTAATTTTTTAATAAAACTTCCAAATTTACACTTAATTTTATATTCACTTGCAGGTTAGCATTTCCCTCAAGTTTTACAAAGAACTCCAACAACACGGTGCAGACGAGTTATTGAAGAGAGAGTATGGACCTTTACTGACCACCCCAGAGGATGGTAAACTGATGTTCAATAACTTTTCAACCCGATTATTCATTTGACCTTTTTTTTCGCAGGCTTTAATGTATCAGTGTTAATTGACCTAGAAAATGTTCCATCCAATTGGGAAGAGGTTGCGAAAAAGGTCGGTCTGCTGAAGAGGCACTGTTTTGCTTCAGTATTTGAGAAATATTTTGACTTCCAAGAGCGAGGCGAGGAAGGCCACAAGAGAGCAGTAATCAACTACCGCAATGACGAAACCTTGTAAGTGAACCCCTCCAATCAACACAGCTGCAGCACAAACGTGTTGCTTCTCATCAACAACTGGCTGTTCTGTCAGTGCCAGCATGTGATCCAATATTTTTTCTTTTCTTTTTTGTTGCGCCCTTTCTTAGATTTTCATTAATAATGATTATTTGAAAGTCGTTGAGAACGTTCATTCTTATTGAGTCCTTTTTTCCCTTTATAAACACAATCCTCTGGACACTGAAAACGTTTATACATACACTTTCATTTTTCTGTTTTCCACACAATTTGAACTTTTCCCATTATCCATCAGCATTTATTATTAATCATCCTTGCCTTTTTTGGGTGATTTTTCTCATAACATTCAATTTTACTTTTTAGGTATGTTGAAGCAAAAGCGGATCGAGTCACCGTCGTCTTTTCGACAATCTTCAAGGACGAAGACGATGTCATTATTGGCAAAGTTTTCATGCAGGAGCTCAAGGAAGGGCGTCGAGCTAGCCACACTGCGCCCCAAGTCCTCTTTAGTCATAGAGAGCCTCCACTAGAACTGCAGAACACCGACGCTCGGGTCGGTGAAAACATAGGCTACATCACTTTCGGTAATATAAGTCATCATATCCGGTAAATTTCTGCTAAATTCAGACTGTTTGCAGTTCTCTTCCCTCGTCACACTAATAGAGAAACCAGAGAAAACACCATCAACTTGATTCACATGTTCAGGGACTACCTGCACTACCACATCAAGTGCTCAAAAGCGTACATCCACTCGAGAATGAGGGCCAAGGCGTCTGACTTCCTAAAAGTGCTCAACCGGGCCAGGCCGGAACCAAAGACGGTTGAAAAGAAAACTATGTCGTGAGTTTATTTATTTAAAAATAGTTGTATGGTTAAAATCTATAATTTGAATTAACTTCAATAATTTGATTGTTTTATAATGATACTTTGACAGATAATGTAGAGGTTTTTGTTTAAAATGTGGACTTTATTAGTTAATTGTTGAATCTAATATGCTTACTGCTATTTTTTTTTTGGTGAATAATGAGAACACAACATATCTTGTTTCAGGGGCCGGACCTTCATAAGGCGAGAATAATGAATGCGTTCAATAAATAACTGCAGTGTAATAATGGCTCAAGCTCCAGTGCCTGAGTCCCTTGCCCCTCCTCAATCAAGCACACGACCGAACTCTATGGTACGGAGGATCCAAATTACATCTTCTTTGTGTCAAAGCCAAGGTAAAAACTGAAACAAACTGACTCGGTTATACGGATTTTAACTTCAGTACGCTTCAAAAAGAGAGCCTGCCTCCAGGCCGGGGTTGATTTTTTATTAATTTCCTGAATTCCAATGGGCAGGGCTTAGCAATCAGGTTGTTCAAGCATTGTTTTGTGAATACTGTAATTAATCTCCCTGTGATCATGTAGAATCCTAGATGGAGAAAAGAAAACGCAATATATATGCTTGTGAGTTGTTTGTTGAATTACGTTTGCGTAGTGGATGAATTTTGCGAAATCACTTTTGAGCCACTACCTCCGGACGTGAGAAAAGTTTGAACTTGAAAGAAATAACAAAGAGTGAGTGCAATCCGAAGAACGAAGACCCCCAAGTAGATCACACAGAAAACAAAGTGAATCGAGTTTTTAAACGACGAAGGCTTTCAACCACCATTACTCGTAATAGCAAGATTTTGACAGACGTCATAAGCCATTCAATTAAAAGAAAATCATAGAGGGATTTAGGGAATTAACCTTTGATGAAAACGAGTGCATTTTACAAAAAGAATGTTTTGTGTACAGAATTTAGTATGCAAGTGTGAGCGAGAGAAAAAAGTGTAAACTCGGCAAAGGAAGAGTCATTGGTTTGATTTTTAACAAAGAATGCTTTTGTGTAACTGAGGCAATTTTCCCTATTTGAATTAACCAGCAGTGTTGAGAATGGAATCTCCAGAAGCTTGAAAAATATCCCATTTTTTAGCAAATAACTTTTTTATAAGTGAAATAATTTACTGCACAAATTATCGAGAAGTCTCTTGCATCATCAGCAATCATTTTACAATGATTATTATTTTGGGCATTCTGCTCTTGCCGTCGGCAGAAAAGATTATTTTTATTTAGCTTCCTGTGTCTTGTGCTACAACGTTTTGATACGTAAAATAAATACACATTCTGTCACAATCTAGTCTTCGTGCGTAGCCAGCCGCATTTCGGATCCTCTGGAGCGTCGTCCATTCTCCCTTTTTTACGGAAAAAATTATTGTATTCATTATCGCTGCTCGCTCTCTTCACATTCCCAAACTGCGTATAAATGTGTAAATTCAACATGCTGATGATCTCTTCCAATCAGACGAGAGAACTACTAATGAATTAAAAAGTAATTTAATAACCCACAACAAACACTGAGCCCCACGCAAGAGGATGCTACATTAACTGATTTCTATTGTATTACTATTGCTATAACTACTGTCCAATTTTAAAAAGAAGCTTCTCGGTTACAATTATTATGCTTGTTAATGTTGTTGATTCCTGCTCTTGATCCGAGGTCAAAAATGTGCCCAGAGCCCTCGGGCTGACGAAAACGTCAGTCCACAATACGGGGGCGTCTCCCGGGGGCTCTGGTCAAGATTTGCAGCGCCTCGTACGCGCCGGAATATAAGAAAAATTAAAGACAGGAGGAATTTCTATAAATTATGTTTTTTATATAATACAATTAAAATTTAATTAAACACAACCCGCAGTTTTTTAATCAAATCACAGCCCAAAAGATGAAATTCAACTAAATATGAAAATTTTTATGTAGTTTTAACTAATTAATATTTTAATAAGGAGTTAAATGAGATTTATAGTAGTGGTTACGATTTTGGTCTTTGGTTTTATTGTATCAAAATTTAATTCCAACATGTGAAAGTTAAACAGGAAAATTAAATCTTTATTAATTTAATTCAGACTATTAGAACAAGCAACTGGCAAGACCTAGGATGAGTACAATTAAGTGTCCACAGTGCATGACTTTTGGCTGTCCGACAGTACTGCCCGTCCACAAGGGACCAATTACAAGGCCCAAGCACCACAGCCAGCCTTCCTGCTCTTCCGTCAGCAGGTATTGTTGCCTGATTTTTGGGCCGCAAGTGGCAAACAAAATGCCACATGAAACGGCCAGGGTCAAGATGCAGCTGGCAAAGTTTACAATGTTGTCCATCGTACCTGAAAATTAAATGTAAAATTTTTTTAAATTACTTCATTATTTCTTACCTGGTCCAATGATGAGCAATCCGGCTGTGGCAAAAATACCAACAACGCAACCAAGAACTGTGAAGAATCTCAAGTAGTTTGAGTTTTTGGGAATGACCAGGGAGGGCAGCAGGCCAAAAGTGGAAACCAGAAGTTGAGCAACAGAATTTTCCATTGTGCCAAAGAGGAAATAGTATTCAGTCAAGGGTGTCAACATTGCCTGCAGAATCGTTTTTATTTTTATTTAATTTCGTTAAAAATTATTTAATGGACAATTTCAAATCACCTGTAGACTTCCGAAGAGAAATGCTGTGAGAAGTTGGGGGCACAACCAGTTTGTATGATTCTTGGCGCATAATGAGCTCACAGCTAAACAAATTCAAAAGATTTTAATCTACAATTTTTTTATAATTTTTAAGTAAAAATCATATTAATTTTTTTTTAATTATAAAAAATATCAGATTAATTACGTTTTTTATTGGCGATTCTGCTAAAGTCTGGCGCAGTCTCGCAGTCAGTCTCGTTGAGAGGGTTGCCCGGCGTGGACACAGAAGGCGAACAAAGGTTGTTCTTGGAGTCAGCTAAGGTGATTTGCGAAATTCGCAGCGGCAGTCGCGACTCAGTGCCCATGAAGTCTTCGGCCGTTTCCAGCAATTCGTCGGACTCGGTTAGCAAGTCGGTCTGTTTCGGCCGCCGCGACTGACTGGCGGCCGCTTGTTTGTGCTGCAAGCTGATGACGCTGGAAGACCTGAGGGCGCTCACTGGCGTGGACAGATCGTCTCGGGCAAAAATTATAGAGCAACTCTCAGTCGATTGGTCACCATCAAAACTCAGCAAGTCGCCAGAATCTGCAAACTTCACAAAATTAGCAAAGAACTTTTATATTTGTTAAATACATAAAAAAAAATATTTGTTAAAATTTTAGTAATATTCTTCATTAAATGTTAAAAAATCATGTATTTATCTAAAGGAAAAATATTAAAAAAATTTCAAATGTTCAAAGGAAAAATATATGTTACTAATTATTTATATTTGTGGAAACAGAATCAAGCTGTGTTAAATATAGACCAGGTACATAATTTCAGAATTTAAATCTAATTTTATGATAAAATGTAATAATTAAATATAATATTTAAAAGAAGTTAATTTTTCCTGTATTTTTTTTATTACTTTTTAAATTTTATTCTTTTGTGTACCGTTTGGTCTGATAGATCCGTAGCTTTTATTGTTGTGCGGCTGCTTCTTCTCGTAGGCGAGCGCTAAGGTGTCTCGGAGTCTGCAAAGACGGAGGTTGCGCGCGAGATGCGTGAAGCCGAGCAGCGTGAGGACGGCGCAAAGAACGAACAGCGCGCACGTGACCACAGCCGCTTCGTTGCTGGACGCGGTGGAGCGGGTGGCCAAATCGGACAGCAGGCCAAAGACGGGCGACACCAACCAGCCAAGGGCCACGCTCAGGTGCAGCCACTTCTGCAGGACGGCGAACTCGTCGGCGCCAGTGCTCCCTGACAAATCTTTTTTTATGGCAAACAGCGAGCCCGCGCCGAGACCTACAAAATTTTGCAAAATACAATTTTGACAATTTTTTTATTGGCAAATTTAGAAAGTAAAAAAGAAATCAAAATTCAAACAACTTTCAGAGAGAAAAAAAACGAAAGTTTGGGAAAGTGAAATAAATATTATTGCTATTTTCTTCCAGGTATTGAAACTTATGATGCATTGAAAAAATTAAAATCAAAATTTCTAATTTAAAGCTACAAAAAAAATATTTTATAAAGAAATTAATTTTTTCAAAAAACAAATAAATTGACAATGTTTATTAATGTATTAATTTTTATAATATAATAAAATCTTTAAGCGTTTTGTTAAAAAAATTACTCTCATTGATCAAATTTCCAACCTGAGAAGAACTTGCTGAAGATGATAGCCCATAGTGACGGTGCAAACAAGTACATGAGTCCGCTGGCAAGGTAGAGAACACAACAGGCGAAAAGCAGCGGCCGCAATTGGTAATTTGAGTCAAGCAGCCACAGCAGAACTTTTGTCGAGACACAGCAGCCAAACCAATAACCTTTGTGTCAAGAAGGAAATCGTGCGTGAATTAATTGCTTGTGAAAGTTTAGACACGGACTTATTATAAAAATGAATTAAATAAGTTGTCTAACAATTAAAAAAAAAAAAAAATGTATTTCAAATTATTTTTTGTAAAAAAAAACCATAAAATTTTTCTTAATTATTTTCAATAACAGATTATAATTTTCATTCATGCTTACAATTAGTGCTTATAATTTAACAACTTACAAAAGTAAATTGTTTCAATATACTTTTTAATTTTTACGTTTACAAAATTGACAAAAATGAAAATTAACTTTCAACTATAAGAATATCTGATAACAAAGTGTGATTTTTTAATCATTATTTAATAATTTGGAATATATTTCAATTTTTCTACTTCATTTTAAGAACGATTAAAATATCTTTGAATTTAATCGTGTAAATTGGCAAAATTACACTTCATTAACTTTTTATCCAGATGAAGTGTGCACATTTTTTCAGCTACTTGATACGTGAATGCCATATATCGCCAATTTTATTATTATTTGGACAAGAGGCGCCGGAATTCACAGCACGCGTATACATATCCGAATATGCATGCGCACATTTATACGTACATGCCAAAACGACGCCTAATACGGCTTCGCGTTGGACGCCGATCGAGTGCAAATATTCCACCGCATTCGGCAGGAAAACGCCTGCCAAAAATAAAGCATTTAAAAATGACAACAAAAATAAAAATGTGAAATAAAATGTGTTTTTTCTAACCGTATTCGACGCCTGCCGAGAAGAAGAAGAAAAAGGTTGAGAAAAGGGCCGCATTTTTCAAAGTGGCCGTGTTCATCTCGTTTGACCGTCCCTTTGTTCAGTGCATGCCTTACACTAATTCTTGCGGCTCAAGAATTTAGATGACTATACAACATCACGTGCACTCGGGCAGTCGAGAGTTGGAGGAGGAATAACCAGTCTTGGGCGGGCAAGGAGACCGACTGACTCTTGACCGGTGCTCGCCGTAATCACTTCTCTTTATTTTCCTCCACCATCGCCTCTTGTTGCATGGAAGAGGCCTTATTGCGTTCAAGCTCATTAACTTTCCGAGGTGATGGCACCTCTATCTCTGTCTGTTCAGACGTGAAGAATTATAATGTGCACAGAAAAAGTAAAAATCAATTTTTTTTTATTCTTTTGTCTCATTACTTTATTCAAATATTTATTTTTCTCAAACTCAAAGAAAATTTGAGTTTTTCAAGAGAGAGTTACGAGCTAAAACATAAAAAAATTAACAAGGTTGTTTGTATTCCACTTTCTTCTGTATATTCACAAAAATTATGCAGCACACTCACGGATTCCTCGTTCTCGACAGAAATTTATTTATATATATTTTTTGTTTCTGGGAAAACACACACGCAGCTTCCGTACTTCTTGCTTGCTCTTGTTTTAGTTCACAACTTGTTGCGTTTTACAATAAAAATTTTTACACAAGGACTATGTAAAGTGTTTGCTTCTTTAAAAATTTCTCAACAAAAGCTGTCCCTTGATCACAAAGTTTTTAATCTTGTAGAGAGACAGAAAGGGCTTGCTTTGATTCACGCAGCAAATAATTATTATGTACTTCATTAAATAATTATTATTATTTACACGAAGGCACTGACACACACACTTTTCCCGCATAATTTAGTCATCTTTGTCTTTGTCAGACGGTTTGACGTCCACCATCTGGTGAAGCTCTTCTGGCGTATACCTAAAATCACAAATTTAAACAACATTAGAAATTTTGAATCAAAATATTAAATTTGCAAAAAATAGGAAAGTTAAATGGAGAGTTATTTTTATAAAAAAATTTCGTGACTTGAAAACTTTCTCGAATGATGTTAATCTAGTGACTTACTCTAGAGAACACTGTATAATATTTTGATCTAACATAGAATAAATATTTTGTTTGAAATGCATGTGTAAAATGTGAAACGCACCCCAACAAGCTCTGGAGATCGCAAACAAATCGGTAGACGTAGCGCTTGCCGGCAGTCTTGTGGATGATGTTTTTGTCATAGTAGTAGCGGAGGCCGCGGCTCAGCTTCTCGTAGTTCATTTTCGGCTTGTTCTTGCGCACACCCCACCGCCTGGCCACCTCGTCCGGGTCGGTCAACTTGAATTCCCAGCCGTCGCCGGTCCACGAGATGAAATTCTGGCACGATTTGTCCGTCAAAAGCTCAAGCAGGAATTGCCACAGTTGGATCGGTCCGGATCCGGTGAAGCACGGACCAGGTCCATTACCACCTAAAATTTCCAAATTAAATTAGAAAATTTTTGAAAATAAAAATCATACTAATTTTTTGCAACCCCGAATCTGTTCTCAATTTCTTATTTTTTAACATAACTAAAATTAAAGTAAATAGTATTTATTTGACTAAATTATAATAAAAGTGGAGATTTTTGTACCTGGAGTGGCTGAGATGTGCTGGGCCATCATTTGGAGGGCCGGCGGCGGCTTGTTTTCGGCGCCACCAGGGGGTGCGTGGTGCATCAGGTAGGGCGCGTGGGCCTCTTGAGGGGCCCAGTGCTCACTGCTGGGCACCGTCTGGAATGATGCAGCGTCGTACTGGCTCGAGTAAGCGTCGGCGTACGGGTCGTGTGGGGCACCGTATCGGCCTGAGGCAAATCATGGAAATTGAATTTAGATAAAATTGCCAAAATTGATATTGTAAAAAAATCAAAAACAGTGAAAAGTCAAAATTCGTAAATTCGTGATGGGCAAATCTTTTCACACAGAACACACTCTTTACCTGCGAAACTGAGATCAAAGGTGGTCAAGTTCAGAACTGAAATATTTTAATTTACAAAAATCAGCCCTTTGGGTTTCAGTACCAGGATGTTTTAAATTGAAAGATTTGTTTTATTTAATTTTAAATAAAAAAAAAGAAGGTTTTTGGAGCATGAAAAGTAAAGTCTCTAAATATTAAGGTTTAATTTTATGTTATCATCAAATATTGAAGTAAAAAATAAATAAATAAATAAAATTTATGTTACAAAATAAGCTGCTTATTATAATTTAATTCGATCAACAGAAAAATTTAAACACAGAATTGAACATTTATGAAATTAAATTAAAAATTTAAAATTCCATCAAATATGGACTGTCAAAATTATATAAATAAAAAACTTTTGTACGAAGACCTTTAGTCTCCATTGATTTAATTTAATTTTTTTTTTTAAATTTAATGGATAATTAATTTTTTTTTCAACCAATGAAACTTACTCGTGCGGCTGTAGGGCTTGTACGGCTGGGGGAACTTTTGTTCGAGCAGCGCTGGTGGCGGCGCGCTTGGGTAGAACTCTGGCGAATTTTCGAGCGGGTGGTGATAGGCGGTGTGCGGCGCCGGGTGCTCCATCGGATGGTAATCGGTGTCCGTCTCGTGGTACTGCGGCACGTAGCCCTCCTCGTGACCTTGGCCCAGGTCGGCCAGGTGCTGAGGAGAGGGCAGGGCCTCCAGTTGAGAGCTCGTGTAACTTCCGTCCCGATCGTTTTCTGCGGGCAAAAAAGCAAGACTGTTATTTTTTCATGTCAGTGCTGAACAAAAAAAATCCACAGTTCAGTTTCGCCCAGCAACAATTATCATCTATTGCGGCCAGAACTTAAGATAAGCAAAAGGAAGTTGGACCGCAAACAAATGTCAGCCGCGCCGACCCCCGGAAGTTAGAAGTCGTGCGAAAATGTCAAGTGGATTAATTGCTGCCGATAATTTATGATGGATTCAAAATAAAATTTTACTGGTCAAGTTTTAATTGATGAATTTGGTATCATTAAGATTGGTTAAAAAAAAATAATGAGGGGAAGAAACGAAAACTGATTCGAAGGAAACAAAGAGCGTGGTGCTGCGGATTTCCAAGAAAAGTGCACAATAAAAGTCATTCTCACTTTCAGCGCCATAAAGTGGCACATAATTTGCAATGGGTCTGCTACTTGAGTTTTTATCGTAAAGCACGTTTTGTAGAATTGTTGCTGGTTGCCATCTCAAAATTGCTTAAAATTAAAAAAATAAAAGGAATAAGTTTTAATTCATTATCCAGAAATTTTCAAATTCACGAGCTTCATTAATTGGCTTGAAAATATTTTGCAATCAGAAACTTATTAAATTCGTGCTAAAAAATGCTATCAACAATAAATAATAAAAAATAACGCCAAAATTTAATTTCAATTAAGAAAATAATAACCCTAGCACCGCCTAGCACAACAGCAATAATAAATATAGATTTTTTTCAAGTTATCTGAGAACAAAAAAATATTTTAATTGGTTATTGATTAAAAATGATAAAAATTCAATCTCTTTGAAATCATTCTTAATTTCCATTTAATTTAGTTTAATCTCTACGTTTAATGTCTACAACCCAGGCAATTGTAGTTTAGTCTGCCTTTTTAATGAGAAGTGACGCACAAGAAAATAGTCCGAAAAGTAGAAATTTACGACGGGCAATCGCGTCTCGCCAGGCACTGATTTCGGCCTCCTCTGTAGTTTGATGCACGCGAGCAAATTAAAATTTTCATTTTGCGTGACGCGTGCGACTCACCTTCCTTCATGTGGTACAGGGTGTTCCTGAGGTGGAGGTACTGCTGCTGCGACGTCGGCGGCGCCCCACTCGGAGGCGGCGGACTCGACGTGTCGGGCTCACCTCGCATCTGCGCCGGGGACCGAAGAAGGCCGCCGTAACCACCTGCGAAAACCAGACCAACCAATCGTAAATTAATAAATCACACCTGGCTGCGGATCGTTTGCGTAAAGAAATTATAAAATTATATTGGCGTGCAAACGTTTATTTGAGTGCCGCCGCCCGAGACAAAAAAGGCGACGAAATCCCCCAAGGCTTGAATCAAATATTGTAAAATTCAATAAGCCTGCTTTGTTCTGCGTTTAGACACGATTATTAGCATAATTAATAATTTATATTTTATTCGTGACCGGTCTGGGAATGCGAAGAATTTTCCTCCACAGGCAAACACATAAAAAAAGTTATTTTGTTAAATTTACTTTATTTTTTCCGCATATGTATTTTTTTTTTTTTTTTAATATTCGGCTGATATAAGGATGGATTCAAACTTGAAAGGAAAATGTCATTTATACATAGTAACTGCATTGTAAGTAAAGAAAAATAAAATTTTTTTAGTTCTGATGATTAAAATAAATTATTTTAGGCAACTTCTTGTCATCAGCGTTGTGCAGGTTGCATTTGTTTAAATGTAGTTTATTACCTTGAGGTATTTTTGTTTTAAGTTCGAATTTAAAAATTTGAATTTTTATTTGTCAAGAAGAGCCAACGGACTCAAGTTCCACAAAAAACAATTAATTTTGGAAAATAATTTCTGCTCGAGAGATCGCGCGATGCGTATCGCCAGCTGTGTTGGATTTTATTTCTCTCAAAACAACAACAAAGTGACGGCCCTAATTTGTGCCGAGTGTTCTATGCGTCGTATGCATATATGCGTGTGTGTTTGTGCGAGAGTTTTCTGTGAGCTAGAGAGAGAGACCGGATGCGCCTCGCGCACACAAAGCACGAAAATGAACTCTCGCGGCTGCTGTCTCTTATTTCCGGTCAATATCATGCACCTCAGCGCGCGATCCGCGCCATGATACTGAACGTACCCTGCCGCGGAAAATCATTTTATTTTGCGGTGTTTTATTTCATAAGGACACGTGCGAATCCATTTTTCAAATCGGGACACTCGCTCTTTAATGACGCGCACGGTTTGCTATCGAGGGCGCGGGGAAGAGCGATTATTTACGAGGGCTTGCGTTTCCCATTTATTAATTGACGCAGAAAGGAAACTGTTTGAAAAATCCGGAGATTTACTGAAAAACGAAAGGGACTTTTGATTAAAATAGTAGATTTTTTTCTTCAAAAACCAAAAATATTTATAAAAAAATCAGAAATTTTTATTAAAATTATTTATGATTTTTCTCTTTGTATTTTGTAAAATTGAAGCAAAAATAATTTTTTTTTAATATCTCGGTTTGGGGCTAATATTGCAGTTCGAAAAATAAATAAATTGATTAAAAGCATAATTGCTATTTTTTAGGTTTGTATTAAAATATTTGGATTATTAGTAATAATATGAAGAGGTATTTCTGAAAAATAAAAATAAATATTTACTGATAACTGATAAATTATATAAAAAATATGGCAATAAAATCTACTAGAAAGGAATAATCTAGAACACAAATAATTTTTCTGGGAATTCTTACTCAAAATTGCCAGTCATGCGAACAATTGGAAAGACCCATGGGGGGCACACAAGAGGTAACATGCATATTGGAAACTTCGCAAAACATCTATTTTGAATGATCGAATTGATTAGGAAAAAATATTCCCAACAGGACTTCTTAATTTTTTAAATTTCATAAAAAAGGTATAAAATATTATAAAAAAAAATTTAACAGAAAAATTCATTAACACATCAAATTTGTGACAAAATCGGACATTTTCCATTACACGCAAATCCCCATTTCCTTTTCCCGAGGAAAAGCAAAAAGAGTTTCCCTTTTCCTGGAGGAAGAGACACTGCTGTGTGATTAATTATTTGGCACTGCGCATCATCATGTGTAACCGATATACGTGGCAATCATCAAAGAACACCCTGTTATTTACCCTTTCCCTCTCGATGGCACCCCTCGCGGTAATTGGCAAACACTTTCTTTGCTCGATTGATCCCCGCATTTGTTTATTACCTGCATCCCGGGAAAAGGGCAAGAAATAGTCGAGATAGTCAATGTACATGGTCCATGGGACACTGCGGGCTGCAGAGCGGTGGCTCGGAAGCTGCCACGCACGGCACTTCCTGCGGCGGCCGCCGGGCGGGGGGACACACCCGGCGGGCAGGCACAATCGTTACGTCAGACGCCGCCGCCGCCGCCGCGAGAAAGCGTGACAAAGTTGAACAATGGACGCACGCAAATTAATTAAGTGCGATAATCCTTTGATCTTTTATTCGCACCCCGAAGCCCCGCGAGCGATCGCAGAGAGAAATTGGCTCCGGCAGCAAACAGAGCGCAGTATTGGGGGAGTTTGGTTCAAGTTATTTTCGACTTTTGTGCGCGAAAAGGGTTTCGAGCGAATTTGGCGAGCGAGAAGCTCTACAGATTTGCATCAAACAAGGGAGTGTGAAAATTGCAACTATAGGCAATCTGCGCGACAAAGGCGCCCAGACGGTTGCATACTTTGGATTCTGGGGGATGATGATGTCAATGATTTTAATTAAAATAATTTAAAACGAAGACAGAATGGAATTACAGAATCATTCCGTATTATAAAGAATATAATTATCTTATTGTTAGTGAAACATAATTCAGTAGTAATTTTTAGAGGAATTATAATAACAAAAGTAGAAAATATAGCTTTTTATTTCATACTGGATTCGGAAACTGAGGAGTTTGGTTGTTGATTATAAAAAATATGAACAAAATCGTTAGAATATAATATATTTGATTGCTTCTCCATGTCAATAAAATGCCAAAACAAACTCTTCAATCTCAGTCAATCGTATCTCATCACATTCCAGCAAAACCAATGTTTGTTCAACGCCCTCACAATTTTTTTGTATTCTTTCTCCGAGCTCAAATAATCGGAAGCAGCCACTTGTGTGCGCAGATCATCCCCCATTTATATCACGGGCATCCGATGATGCAAACACGCCGGAGGCAAATATTTGCTTTTTGTACATCTCATGTTTATGTACACCATTCACGCGCGGCTGCAGCTCGCGAGTGCCAATCAAAACGAATCAAGGCGCGCGCTTTGTGTCCCGTGTGGAAAAATTCCTCCCCATCTGCCAAGGGTCGACCCCACCCCTTTATAGGGGCGGATGGAAAAAAATTACTAAGAAAACATGACGCGCACCTGGACGCGGACGAATGAATAGCGTCTTCGAGAAAGGGTCACGCTGCCGTTTATAGAAAAGAATGAAAAAAAAAGAAAGGCTCTACTCTATATTCGAATTGTTCGATCGGGGAAGTGAACGGGAAGCTCTGACGTTCCACTTCTGCTCCCGACAATGCATTATAAATATTCACGCCACCGCCGAGCGCGATATAATATATAAATAAAAAAAAAACAGAGAAGCAGCAAGCACTGTCTATACGCAAACAATGAGTGTGTTTTATTTTATGCATCGATAGCAGCCATTCTGTACCGAAATGCAAATCGCTTAGCATTTTGAAAGTCCTGCATGGGCTTTGATTCAACTTTTGTCCAATCAAGATACAAAAAAAAGGGAAATCGTGGTGTAGCTGGAACTTTTTGTCATATGCAAAATTAACAAAGGCGGAAAAAGTTTTAAAAGGATTTTTTTTAACTTTTAAATAGACAAGCAGATCAATATTTTTAAATTTAATTAGTACGATTTCCTACATGAACATTCTGCGTTTTCAAGAAAATCAAGAAGGTGTAGATAATGCTCAATTAAGTGGAAGGAAACTGAGATTTAGAAAAATACTTTTAAATATACTACAACAATAATATTTGAATGAATGATAATAAAAAAAAAAAAATTAATTTTCAGAATTTCAAAGCTGCGCCACAATATAGTACGTTGAAATGTTAAGAGATTTTGAAGTGAAGATTGTTATGGCAATATTCAGACAAAATTTAGTGAAATTATTTAAATTTAAAACAGTTTTTAAACAATTTGAATCGATATAATGAAAAGATTATCTCAGGATTTCAGCACCTGTGAAATTTTAATTTTTACAACTTTTACACCAGCGGGGATTTTTGTATAAATTTTCTAATTATTTACTTAAATTTGGGAGAAGGAAAAACTTAATTTCAAATATCGGTATTTGTCAATCATTGACAATAAGTAAAAAAAGTTCGTTGGAACTTGAAATCAATTGATCAATAAAACTCTCAAAGAAAAGCTTCGGTTTCTTTTATACTCGTCTCTTGACCTTCTTGAGTTTTCGATAATGTGATAGACCGCAACGATTTGTCCACTCAAAATAAACCAATTTGCCCGATTTCAAAGCTTTTCCGCCGCTTGTGTACAAAAGCCCTTTTCTCGTTCGGAATTTGATATTTTAAACGCGCGGTCGCACTTCTTCTTCTTCAGCGTGCGGACAAAACGACAAGACAAAAGCGCGCCTCCCTTTCAACATCTCGTGGTACGTGCACGAAACAACCCCCGCACCGACCTGCCCCACGGCGGATGTGACGATCATTCATTCCTCAGGTGGCACCGCCGCACGTGTCAGGAAGCTCTCGCGCTTTTGTCTCTCGCTTCCTGTGCGATCGCAGGCTCCGAAAAAAAAGTACACTGCCCGAGGAGCCGCTGCCGCCGAGTTTCGTGAGCAATAAATATCGTTCTAAGTAATAGCCGATCAAATTATCGTAATGAGACACTGCACGCGAGGAGAATAAATATAATATTTGTCTCTCACCTTTCCACAGCATCTCTCGGGCGCGAAAAGTCGGCGGCACGCGCAAATTGAAGTTTTACGGCCGCAATTCGGCGATACCGAGAAACGACTGCCGCCGCCAGAGATTCTTTGCGAGAGCAAATTGGGTTGGAAAGGGCCTGTATCATCCCACCACTAATAGAATAAAGAGAACGGGTATAATAGCTCTGCACACTCGAGTTGAAACAAAACCCGCGAATAATGAGCCTCGTGCTGAATAAACAAACCGGCGGCGCGTCTTTTGTCTTTTTTCGTATGCATGCCGCGGTGAAATAATCATTTTTGAGAGGAAAATTCATATAATATAATACTTTTGGTTTCGTTTGTGCGCGCACGCGAATCTCATAAGCGCTTCACGACTCTCTTTTTATATAATATCTTTGTGTGTCACATGCACCAACTTCCTGCTCCCGAGATAGCGCTAAATTAACAGAGTCGATTGTTTCGTCGCTAAAAAGACGATAATTAAAAATGAGAATAAAAATTTATACTATTTTGTTGAAAGACTTTGTTTGAAGTTTTGCTTACAGACAAGCAGGCCGCAGAGAAGTTTATCTCTTCCGAGTTCTGAGAAAACTTAATTACTCTTGGCGAGACAATATTATTCTATAGAGGGCGAAAAACTATAAAAATGATACAAATTTCTCAATGCACATTAAATTTTAACAGGTTAAATTAGGATTTTGCAAAATAATATTCTATTTTAAAGCATAGGTTATTCCTCAAGATATTCCAAGATTTTGGAACATCTGCTAATTTTGTGGCGTTTTATATTATTTTCAACTTTTTCAACCGATGGGAGTTCTCATAATTAATTGACACTGACGAGCACTTTGACTCCAGTGCCAAATTGAAATTTTGGCATGAATATTCAGCAGCTTCCAAGGATCACGGCCAGGAGCGAGAAAACGCTCAAGTGCGCCCGTAAATCTACGCAGCTCTCGCGAAAAACACATAACATGCATAATTCAGCTCGCGTGAAAATTCGCGTGTCTCGGCTCCTCGATTACTACAAATGGCAAAAAGAACGCCGCTAATGTTCGCTTAAAATAGTAATAAAAATTTTACGTCAAAACAATATTTAGTTTTGAAATTGCAAGCAAACTTGATAAATTTTGGAACAATATTCCTTCAGCATTTAAAATTTGCAAAATTGAAGACGGTGTAAAATTTGTTTAAGCTGAGAAAGGCGGAGAAGTTTGCTTTTTAATTACAAAATGGAAAGGCTCTTTGGTCACGGCCGGCTAGCCGTGCGCTGAGCACCGCCGCGTCACTGGTGTTCCGAGGCCGTCACGCTTGGTGCTCCCTCCCCCGCGCAGCGCCATTTTGTGCTCGATTATTCAGGTGGAGGCCGAGTTGGTCGCCGCGATTTCAGGAACCGAGCATTGTTTTACAGCCATCTGGCTTCACTGGCGCAGATTCAATGGCTTTCCTCGTTACCGAACCGAATAAATAAATTCACAGCAAAGTTCAAAACTTGATTTCAGTCAGTCCATTCCAACTCGCTATCCGCAACTTTTGAGCTATGACCCTTTAAGTTTTTTATTTTGTAAATATGCAAATCAAAGCGAAAATTTCAAAAACTAAATCAAACTTTAACCACATGAGACGTGTATAAAAATTGAAACAACAACTGCGCACAAAGAAAGTTTCTCCAGGAAAACTCCCACATTTCTTATCTGGAGAACAGAATTTTCAACCTTGGCCTCTGCTGTTAAGTTCAACTTCATTAAATTTTTATAAATAAAATAGAAAATAATTCCTACAATTTGTCCAATACTTTGCTGAACATTTTAAAAGCTCCCTTTATAATTTGGGTATGCAACCCGCAGGACAAATGATAACAATTTAAATTTTTTTTTTATTTCCATAGATTGAAATTCGTGACTTACCTGTCTCTGAAGGCATGTAGGACGAGGGCGAACTGTGGAGGCCGCGACCTGAGCCTGACGAGGACGCCGCGCTCATGGGGCCGTTGGGGGTGGGGTGGGGCGGCGGCGAGCCGCCTCCGACCGGAGGCGCTGTGGGCGCGCCACCCATGACGGGGGTGGCCTTGTGGGGCTCCCCCATCGGAGGGTAGTTGGAGAGGAAGTCTGTGAGATCAGGCACGCATACGGGCTCGTAAGTGGCCGTCTCCGAGGAGATGATTCGGTCCCTTTCGACGTCTGCGAACAGCAGCGTTCGGCGTTAATTAAAATGTGATTAAACGCATGTGGGTGCCGCCGAGGGTCCTTTGTTACAGTCGAGGGTCAATTTAATGTTTACAAGCAGCGAGTGCCCCTGACAATAATAATGTCAGAGAAATGAAATAAATTTTAACTTTCTGAGGGGAGAGAATGGATTTGGAGCACTTTCCGGCAATTTGAGTTAAGTGGAGGAATTTTGTGAAAGCAGGGGTTCCTTCAATCTTGACAAAATGTTAAATTTATCAAGGACTAGAGAGATTTGTTGGTTTCATTGATGTCAAGAGGGCTTCAAAAATAAAATACCAACAAATATAAATTCAATGTCAACTCACCTTTCTGCAGGATTTCAAGATGTTCCCACAGGATGTCGCCCATGTAGGGTGGCGCCCTGCTGAGGAACGTCTCTTTGCCCATGCTGCAGATGTCCCGGCCGCGCATATTCAATTGCTGCGTGGCCAAACCTTCGAGGGAAAACTCGCGGGTCGCCCACTGCAGCCACTGCGCCACATGTGATTCGCTCCACTGTCTCGGATCTGCCAAGGAACAAAAACAAATTGAAGAAAAAGTTTTGGAATTTTTGAATAATAATAATAATGGAGGCAATACGAGATCATCACGTTTATATTAATGCTGGTGGTTTCTGTATGAATGGAGACAGCATGCTCTGGTACTTGATGCGAGAGAGCGAAGAGGTTTATTCAATGGGGCGCTCGCTCGCTCGCTCTCCCGCCCCGTTTATTTCATTCGCTTTTTTTTCATTTCAGCAGTTGCAACAATCAAAATAGCCCCTTCTCAACTCTCAATGCCGGTTTTTTCCACCGACATCAAGAGGATCGAGATATCATAGGAGAGTAGGAACGAAAACACGTGTTCCGAACCAACAAAAGGGTCGTCTCGCGGGGAGAGTTTCAAGAGAACCCCATTAGACAACCCGCCAGAGAGCGGGAATTATACATACAAGCTCTCCACAAATGGAGCAAAAGAATTGAAATCGCGCTCTGCTTTTTTCATATACATAACATCGCGTCGAGATGTGTTTTCATGGCAAAAGTTCAAGTGTCTGTTATTTTTTCGAGCGTTTTGTGTTTGGCAAGAAAAGGTCCATTCAGTCCGAGTAAGAGCGTCTGCTGATTTTTCATCTTGATTGGCCTGGTTCTTAAGTTCCCATTAAATCGGCAAAACTTTCCGTTAGAGATCAAGTTATCAAAAAGATTTCATATTTTTTCATAGAGATTGTTAGCAGCAAAATATTCATCAACAATTTTGGCATTTTTTCAGCTTTAAACCTATAAATTATAATGCTGATGAAAAATTAGAGGAAATTTATTTAAAAAATTAAGCAATTTTTTATTGGTTTTTCCCTCTTACGATTTTATGCTTATACTTTTTGATTGCGAATGTTCTAATGGCTCAACTAAATGTAAACGTTGCATCATTGGAAAAGCTCACAATCAGACGAGGAAGTGAAAATAAAAAACCCTTGAGTCACTCTTAATTTTTTTATGAAAAGATTTGTTTTTGTTTAATATCAAAATATAGATTGTGTATGATTGTGTGATTAAATACTTTCTTATATTGGATGAAAAATGGAAAAATTAAACTTCTTTATTTCCTCATCATGTTGGTTGATTTCTTTATATCCGATTTAGATCACTTTAAAAACCTCTATATTTAAATATATAAATTTCAGAATTAGAAATAGCATAATGATTGCCTTTTCTTTTTCATATATTTTTAATAAAAAGCTGTGTTAATTTTTCTTTACGTTTGAACTAAATTGTAAATTGTTTAAAAAAAATCAATTATATTAAAATGGAAATTTTTCAAAGATTTTAAATCACTGTGCTTGTGGAAATTAAAAAAAGTGGAGGCTTTCTATTTTTTTTTTTTTTTTTCACTATATAATTAAGCGAAGGACAAACATTTTGGTGCACATGTCAAGTCAAGAGTTATCATCGTTAGGCGAGCACATTATTTTCGTGGAGAAGAGAGCGGCGCCGACGGTGCGTTGTCGGACGCTTGTCCTTGCCTGAGTATCATTACTGGTTCCGCTCGGCGGCGCACGGCCAACATTAAAACTGCCATCATGAATAAATCGCGCGCCAGTCGGCCGCTCTTTATTATTATTTTTTTTATCCGACTTTTTCTGCCGCTCTGCTCTTTTGTTCCGAGGAGCATCGGGGGTCAGGCGGTGCGCGTCTTCCCACGGCTGGACCCTTGACCTCGCCGGAGGCGGGGCCTGAGCGCATTGGCTCCGAACGCGCGCCGCCCAACCCTTTCGCGCGGCGTGCGCGCGGTCCACGGCCGCCTGGTGCTCAAATGATAATGCACCGCGACCGCAGCCAGCGCACCCAGCCGCAATCGGCCATCGCAGGAAAATTTCTGTGTATTGTCTCCGCGCGAGCAAAAAGGGAATTCGTCTCGCGCTGCAGCCGAGAAAAATATCGTTGCGAAATAATCCCGCACAATGCAATTTGTTGCCGAGAATGACGCGGAGAACAATGAATTTGTTGTGTATGTGTTGCTGGTTGGTTGTAATTGGAGCTATTTGTTGCAGTAATGAGACAGGAGACAATTTTATGACTTGAATTTTACAATTTTAAGATAATAAATTCCAGTGATTAAAATCTTAAAAAGAAAAACATACAAAATATATTTATAAATTTGATGGCAATAAACCTTCTGCACATCTGATAATAAGCTTCAAAAATATAATTGTTTCTTAAATGAGAATTTTAAAATTTTCCATGTGGTTATGAAACGCTAATTTAAATTACTTAAAAAAGATTCAGCTGCTCAAATATTTAATATAATTGTCTGCAAAAAAAAAATTAAAATTTTCTCATTTGCATCGTAATTTTTGACTTAAAATATTTCATGAAATTCGTTTGTTTTGGTTGTGCAAATTTTTTTTAGATATAACATTTAATTTTTTGTAATAATTTTGAGCCACAGGAAATAATTTTACAAAATTTCAAAATAGCACTAATTATTAAACTTACGCAACTTACTTATCGGACTCATAATTACGTTTGGATATCTCAAATTGGTAAAATAAAAATCAGTATCCCAGCATTGCAGTCCGCTACTATTCTCCATGACACTCACATGAAGACTGACACAAGCAGAGAATAAAAAAATTCGCGCAGGAATTTTAGAAAATTCCTTTGCAAATTTCTGAGACTTTGACCCGCATCAATTGTCGCACGATTGACATGAAATGAAGCAGTGTTTGCCGGTTAGGAAACGAATGCGAGAGCAGGTTTCCAATATCAAGTCTGACGCAACGATTTTTCTTTTTCAATTAATAATTTTGTCTGTACACGCACCGAAGATTGTCAATTCTTTCTTCTCTTATTTGGCTTCCCCGCGTCGCCGCGTTGATCGGCCGCGGTCTCGTCCTATTAAAATGCAAGACGTGTCCCCCGCATGACATCAGGGTCTGCATTAATTAATGGATGTCACATATTATAGGAAATGTAATATTTCGTATATTATATATTGAGCGTATACAACACGCACACTGCAGACACACACCACAGTCGCGGACAATGGCATTTTTTTCAGTGCGTTCAAAAATGACTAATCCGTTCCTCCAACTTCCTCATTTGGCTTCGCTGTTCATTGTTTGACGCGAAAATATTAAAATAAATTTCAAGATCACAATTTAATTATTCAAATTAAACTTTGTTGCGTGTCACTCACTCGTGTGGATAAAATATAATTATAATTTTTTATTCATTTGAAGTGTTGACTTGACGTATGTCGATTAATCAGCAGCTCCCCCTATGTGCTTTATAGAGTTTTATAATTTAACGAGTGCCCCTTTTGACTCCCCTCAACCCCCTGCGTCGTTTAATCTTTTGAACGCGCACGTCAACCTGTTGGAAAGTGCAGGGGCAACAAGTGGTTTCAGAATAAATAATTCCGTACCTTTTGGGATGATCAAGTGGACTTGTTCCTTTTCCCAAGACGCGAACGACGCCTTCAGGGCCTCTGTCATCTTCTTGTTGGTGCCCGGCGTCAACGGGGGCACCTGAGTTGGTATGTCTGAAACAAAGAAGATTAAACGTAAATTTTTTGCTGGATCCAAATAAATTAATTCATTGCTGTTTGAAAAGAAGTAAGCGATTGGAATACATAAAAAAATATTAGGATTTTGACTGAATCATGTATTTGCAAAAGTTTATTTTTAATTAATTGCTGCCACATTTAGCCAAATTTTGAAGGTAAAGGTTTGTCAAAAAAGCAATTCGTGGGAACCTTGACTTTTAAACGTATACTTTTTTTTTTATCAATTTCAAGCTGGGGCTTTTTAATTATTTCCCAGCATTCCAATTTGCAGTTCGTGATGTTGATAACCATGAAGTAAACGGCGGTCAAAAACTCTTACAATATTATCGCAAGGCGATAGCGTTCGAGCACAATTTTCCGCATTTTCGGAGGGCGACACGTGTGTGGTATCGAAAGGTCTTTGAGTTTGAAAATTATCCTGAACACATGTTGGCAAATTAGCCCCGTCAGTATAGGGGAAAGGTACATAATATGAATGTGGGGCAGACAGGGTACGAACGCGCGCACAGATGGGCCGCATGTGGTGTCAAAACTCAACAGGAGCAACCGACGCATCATCATCGCATCGCACCCAAAGTAGCAGAAGCGTGCCTTCTTAAATTATATGCCATAAAAAGTGTGTGTATAATAATATAGACCATGGAGGAAACGTCTGCGCAGGCTTTGGGACGAAATCCAGAATGTAAACCATGAGTTTATAAAAGCAGGAAATAAAAAAATTAAATGAGTTACAGAAGAGAAAAATTAATGCCAAATAACGAATCAATTTTTACAGTTTTGCTTAAAAATCAAGCAGATACAAATTTTGAAGAAAACGATTCAAAAGAAAAATTAATGTTAAAATTTAACGTTAATTTTGTATTGAATTTAAAAGTTTTAATAATTCAATGGAATATTTATTATATTAGAAAAAATAGTAACATGACTCAACTTCCTTACTTTTTATCACTGAATTTAATGGACTATTTAAGTCCCAATGATTCAATGTAATTTCTTTGTAAATGCAGAGCAGAAACTTTTGTCGCCAAAAAATTCAATGAATGAAAACTAATTTTGACTTTGAACTTCAACAATTTGAAAACGCTAGTGATTAGATAGGCAAAAGGAAGTAGTCGCCTTCCAACGCAAAGAAAGTTAGGTAACCGTTTTCTTTTCCTCCGCGTGATAAAACAACCGGCGCGATGCAAAATCAGCTGCACAACACTTTTTACTTGACGGAAAAACGCCCAGTTCTCCGAAAAAGGAACAAAACTTGCCTCGTTTCCGTGGGTGTCAGACCGCGACTCGCATTTCGTCACCGAATCAGCTGGGCCCCGACTAGAGGGGCCCACGAGGGCCCTTTTGGTGGAGCATCTATTTGGAGAGACACGAGCGGGAGCGCGGCACGAGCGAAACTGCAGTGAGCGCGAGAGGCGCAGGTGGCTCGGCTCACCTGCCCCACACATGGCGCGCGATCTCGCCTGCCTGCTGCCTCGCGGCCCGGCCCCGCGGGACCCCACTTGGGCCCTCGACCCGACCTTTCCAATTTGCGAAAAAAATTATCCAAAGTTCAACGGAAATTGGCTTTGGCAAATTTCAAATTTCAATATTAAACTCGGAGCAAAATTGAGCTTTTAAAAATGTAGCAAAATAAAAAGCACCTGCGTTGCACTTGGGTGTGTGTAATTATTTAACGAACTTCGCCGACTGAATGCCGGCGAAATGAGAGACACGTCACTTAACGGCTCGATATAGTTTTATATATATGTGAGGGCTGTTTTATTATTATTGTATGTGTTCCACGCATCGCTTCGTATTTTATAATTATCTTCTTTTTTTACAATACTTTTGATGCGGAGAAAATGCACATTTTTTTAAATTTTATTTATAAATGAAAAGAGTAATTGCTTTGACTGGCAAAACGATTGTATAATTACTACAGCAAATGCGCAGCATCTCTGTCAGTCATTTAATTATTGCTCTGTCGGCGTGCCAGAGATTGCGGAGAACGAGTTTTTTTGTGAGCGCATAAAATTCAATTACATACAAATTACGCAGAGAAGTATAGTCATTCATTGCTGCTGGTTAGCGCAAATTGCTGCAAAAAGGGAGATAAATCACCTTTCGTCTGCAATGAATGGAACTCTGCCAAGTTTGAAAAGGAATAAAAAGTATACAAGTTTGTAATTACGTATTTAATATGTAATTCATTTTATTTCTCTCAGAGAGTTACCGAAGCCAATCAGTCCAGGCAATTATTTAATAAAATTTAAAACTTAATTTTAATTTAAACCCAAAATTAGTTTCTGATTTAAAAAAATTTATTAATTTAAATTGTTTGAAAATTTACTATTAAATAAAAATTCCTTTTATATCCATGATCACCGTATAAAAAATTGAACAAAGAGCACCAAAAACCCGTTCATTTAAGTCTCTATCTAACAGAATAAGTCCCTTCCTCAGTGTCTTCCTTATCTTTTTCAGCCATTTAATAAAAAATTATATATTCTTTAATTTTTTTCTCTTTGGCATGGAGGTTTTTTATATTCATTCTATACATCAAGCATTCACTATTCACTCCCCGGTCCATTCAAAGGTGTGCGCATCTCATCAACCTCTCCTTCTCTCGGTCGTCTCTTTCATTCGATTGGCTCGAGATGTCTGTCTTTTTATATATTCAATTGATACACTCGGTGCTTGCTTTTTCCGAATGATTGATCTCGCACTCATGCAAGCAAGCCAATGGAGTCGGAGCCGCGAGTGCACCGAAAGGGGCGGCGTGATTAGCGAGGCAGAACTTAGAAAACACGCCTCGCCACAGGAAGCCTTATCTGCGGCCGCGGCTGCTTTATCAACTTCCTCGCGCACTTGGGTGGACCTCGCGTTGCACCAAGCTCAACAAAACGTCTTTGCCTTGAGAGCTTGAACGAAAAATCGAACGGGGAAAACTCTGCAAGGAAAACATTTCGAAAATGCGTATCGTGAATACAAATCAGTCGAAATGTTTGTGGCGATAATGAGAGTTTGATTGATCGCGTCAAAAAAGCTTTTGAATTATGGCTTTCTGTCAGGATAACGAAAAAAACCATTTGTGCCACCCAGCAGGAATATATAACTGAGCGTTCGGCTACATGGTTATCGGCGCAATTGAAACATTTGGCTGCGGCGATAAGGTTCCAGTGCTTGCGGTTTTCTTTTTCTCTCTTGAATGCGCAGCACAAAGTTATATCGCCGCTCTTGCAATACTCAACAAAACCCAATCGTTTGTCATAATGATTGACGTCAGAAAAGCAGAGCATAAAAATATATAAGGAATAAAACAAAAGACAAATGCAGAGCAGGAGATTGTGTTGGTATCGGAGGCTTCAAAGGGTTAGATATTTTAAATAAATATGTACTTTCACCACTTGTTGAAACCTTGAATAGACAATAAACTGTATGCAAAGCTTGAAGTAATTCAAATTTCTTCAAAGAGAAAATATTGAAATTTAATGCTATATATTTATCATAATAATTGTTTTCAAACTGGGAATTTCAATTGAAAAATATTTTTTTTTTTCGAAGAAAGTTCAAATTTGTTAATTTTTATACGTTTTAAAAGTTTTTTTTTTAATTTTCACAAACTCATTTTTTACTCTTTTTTGTTTATTTGAGTCACTTTTTAAGGACAAATTATCCCTGCAGGGTGGGCATTGGGAAATCCGTCGCAACATCAGGATAATCCACTCTTCAGGGTCGACATGCAAATTCAATTATTTATTGTCCACTTGTCTTACAAAATTTTAAGTAAAAAAACGTATAAGTATTTAAAGGCGAGAACTGCCTCCTTCCTGTTCGAAAACCATCCTTACACAGAAACAAATTGAGATTTGGTGTCAACGCGAGCGATTAGCACTGCGGCACTTAATTTGCGCCCACTCGAAATCCCTACTGCTGAGCGAGTGTTGCTTGCAGATAACGAAGCCGCGGGTCTTAACTGAACGATTGTGTCGACTGGTAAAAAATATATATGGAAAAATTTGTGGCGAGACTGACTGTAAGAATAAAACTGAAAGGAAAATAAGAAAAAGTGGTCGGAAGGGAGGCGAATTTAAAGAGAAGAGGAACTGGAAGTTGAGGGCGAAAATATAACAACAGGTGACTCGCCACTGCCGCCGGATAGAGAGTAACAAATTCATGCACCACGGTTGAGGAAAAGGAAACAGGAAAAATCAGGAAAGGTCGAAAAGTGCCGCTAATTTTTTATACTTTGTGCATATAACTCAGATTTTTGCATGGAATACGGATATGGAAATCATATTATTTTATTTGCTCACTTTCAAACAATTTTTATTAAGTATACAAAAAAAAGAGAAGAGAAATTAAATAAAAAATTGAAAATAATTTTTTGAAATAAATACGTTTTTGTTTCGTTCACAAATTTTTACTTCAATAAGCTTAATCTTTAATATCTTTAAATAAAATCATATTATATATATTAATTTTTTATTTCTACAATTTTGATGTTAAAATTTATTTCTTTATTTTTCTTAAAAAATTTTAAAATTTTTCATTTAAAAAATTTTAAAGTTTCTCTATTGAAATTAAGATGGATTTACTATACTTACATACATGTACATTTTGATAGACTGTTTCGATTCCAATTTTCATTTTTAACTTTAATTTTTCCATCAAATTTACATTTTTGTGCCGGAATAAAAGATCTGTGAGAGACCGTTGGCGCATTATGCACCTATATCTCAATTAATCTGACGCCCAGAGCGGCTTAATTAGCTCGAGAATAGGGGTGCACTAGTACGGGTTTTTCCACTCTAGCGCAGGCGAGAAAGCGACGGTTGGGCCACCTGATTTTCAACCGACTCGGGGGTCAGATGGCCAGCGGCGGCAGCACCTGCGCGCGCTCAGGGTTGGCATCGATATGCACGGCACGTCGTCGTCTTCTTCCTTTCAGCAGGAAACGTCAATGGATGTATTATAAATTTAGCGGTCGAATTTTA